AGCGCCTTGCACTCGAAACAGCCGCGGCGTCCTGGGTCCTTGTGGCACCTCCCGACATAATATTCTCCGAATACCACTAGATCATGGTCTGCGGCCAGAGCCGTGCGAAGTACCGTCAAATCTGGCCACTAATTCATCCGACCGCACACACTTTCATCTCCGCCTGGCTGGAGGTAGAGGACCACGGGCTTGAGGCTGGCCATCTTGCCCGTCTTGTGTCCTGTGCGCTTGCCTGGGGTAGGCGACCAGTTGAAAATCCATCTCGCCCGCTGCACGATTCGGCTGAGACATATAAAAGGTTTTCCCTGGCACCCACAAATTAGCATGGCACCATGAGTCTGAGCGGTCGATCATATCGGGAGCGATCTAATGGGACATCAGGCACCCGCCTTGCAGAATCCACCACTTGCACTTGGTCCACCTGAAGCGGCACCGGTTGCGGCGCCATCCGAAGGGTTCTCTATCGAATCGGGAGCCCATAGTGCTTGTCATTCCATGGGCAACCGCCCACCAAGGACGCCAGCAACACGGGTCCAAGACTTTGCAGACAAAGAAAGCATCCGCTGCATAGACGCCACGATGTTCAAATGCTTCTCGACGGCGCAAGAGGATATCCGCACTCGAGTTTCAGCCTGGCTTGTAGATCCGGTAGCAATCCATCACTAACCGATCGGCTGTCTCGCCGCAACTTGATACTAGGGCCTCTCATGCGGGTCTAGGGGACCGTCTTCCTGCAAAAAGCAGACACTGCCCAGGCAGGGAGGCACTGGCTCAGGCAGAAGGCATACAGTATGCAGGTAGCCGTATCGGGAGGAACTCGATCTAAATTAATGCAGTCAACGCTCCCATCCAGCTTCACAATCGGTAACCACTTCAGCGAATTACCCTATTGGGTAACCTTACCCTAGAAGCCGGCCAGGGGTGCTTGGTGCGACAGCAAGGCAGTGAGCATAAACATTGGGGTGAGGTTCGGCGGCCTGTCACAACATCGTTCCAGTCAGGTGGGTTGCATTCCAGGGTCTGCATATGCTGGGTTATTACTATACTTGGCATTTCAAATGTGGCGCTCGTGATATGCAAAGAACAGAGCAGATGGAGCTGGGGATGGCCACGTCATGCTTTGATCCGGAAGCAGTGGCCAATGCCAGAACACTGTGAGTTGAGAGCATGGTTGTTCATAGGCCCTAATGGTCACCGCTCATGACACACCCACTCCCCAAACAACTCGTCCTTTACCACCAGCAATCAGACGACTCGCTTAGTCCGAGAGTCCGAAATAAGCTTGGACGAACGCCGAGTAGCGACTCCGGTCGTTACAAATGAAGTCTGTAGTCCCACGCCGGGCGTTGCAAGCTCGTGGTCCTGGTTGTCGAGTCGCAATGCCGCCTTCTGTCCCTCTCGGGGTTTCCGGCCATGGTATGTGTCCAGGTTGGTTGCCATTGTTCATCCCAACTATTGTTGAGGCCCTGCAGGCTGCACTGCGTCTGGTTTTCGGACGAAATCATGGATCACTGATCAGCCCTTGCTTCCCATTGCCCCTTTGGTGACTGGGCGATGCTTCACACCACACGGGCCAAACCCCTGGGGATTATTTGGCGCATTGGATCCCTTTCCACCAGGGTATGCCGGCGGATGGCATCGCTATGGTCAGACAGAGAGGCTCAGAGCTGAGGAGAAACATGTTTGATTCCGCCCACTCCGCCAGCACTCCCGAACCATATCGTCACGGACCAGTACCTTAATCGTACGTGTTCTCACGATGCTTTGCAACCCGGGCTCACGTCTCTCACCAGAACTTCTGTCCGCGCGGGTGTGTTGTTGGGCAAATACGCAAAGCATCCGAGACCCCGCTCGCGGAGAAAGGGTCAAGTTCCCTGCACCGAGGCCGATGACATTCTGCTTCTAATTCACTGGACAGTATATCAGTCTCCTTATTCGGTCTGCTCCCCTGTCATAGCAGCCTTCCGGCCATCATGGAAAATCGATGGAACATCTCGGGAAACACTGCCACAAAGAATACGCTCCCTCTACCAAGGCACATCCGAAACGACGACAATGAGTCGCAGTTCGCACCTGGAACAGCTCCTTGCCAAAGTGGTACAATGGTGTACAGTGTGACGAAGACAGGACGTTGTTCTTGCAACAGCGTCACCTGTTGTACCTTGTGCAGCATCCCCGTGCAGCACGCGGATCGAAAATAGAGCCCGCAGCTGACTTCGGATTGCTGGGATGTCGATAATGACTCTGTATCCTGTCGATGCAAACTCTGCATCGGTGACTTCGACCCGCTCACAGCAACGCTCAAGGGCGTGGGGACAATATAGAATGTCTCCATCTTGACCTGGGACACGAACTTGACCTCGCCCAGGACCGGGCGCACGACGAGCTTCCAGCCCAAAACAAGATACACTGGTTAGAATATGTAGGCGGCGCCGAGTTCCGGAAACCGGAGGTGCGCGACAGTGATGCCGCCGACACCGCCTTTGAATCAGCCGGCGAGGATGTGCGTACTCATTCTCAGGCGATCCCGTATGCTCTGGCCTCGGCCAATTGTTCACTTGACGCGAATCCACGTCCGCTCCAATGCTGGTTACCTGAAGGAATCGTGAAAGCGTTCCTGGTAAGGTCGCACGAGCGGCAGGGGCAGTGGTTGGTAGCTTGGCGGTGCCCTTGCGGTTTGCTACGGTTCACTGCAGTTATCATACGATTTGCAAGCATGGACGCCCATCGTCGCCTCGGGACACAAGGCAGGATATGCTCTCAAAACATTCCATGTGCGCTGGCATAATACAGGTCTGGATTACTACTTTTGCGGGTCTCCAACCCTCAGAGCCATCTGTTGGATGACGAAAACCTGGGCACAGAGGCCACGGTCAACAACGGCAAGATTGAAAGTTGCCGGGTTATCGTGCCATGGTGTCAAGCAAAGCATGGCATGTAGTGTTAGTTTCTCGGAGCTGCAGCCTCATCTTCACCGGTTAGGGGTCGGCCGAGCCCGGGCAATTCAGGTCATAGAAGAGAGGTACGGCATAGTCGACGGCCCTTCCTGCACCTTGCCTGTGGCAAACGATATAAACCGGCGGCATGGCAGGCATTCAGCGGCTGTGAGGCATGGAAAACCGACGGTGGATGTCAAAGGGTATGACCGTATGCGTTGACGAGAAGCTAATCAGGTACTGGCTGTCACGCGGGCTCGGGAATCAGCCAAAGCCCGACTTGTATCCGAGTGGTCTTCGGCCATATTGAGATCGACCAAGGATTATGATGGCTCTGCGACCCACTGAGCCAAGCATTGACGTCGGCTGGTAATGACATATGTGTGTCATGGTCCCGGGTTCCAGAGGTCTGTCCTATATCATACATCAACCCTTGAAAAGGTTCTTTCTCTTCCAATTGCTGCAATTCGCTCACAGCGCAGGAAGTAATCCGCCAATACTGATGGCGCTAATTCTAAACGAAGCGCTTGCTCGAGGATGGTTTGCCGCACCACACGGTACAGGAATGAGATAACCTGGTATCTATGCCCACAAGACATAACTCGGCGCATCGTTACACCGATGCTTGTTCGAGTATCAACAAGAGCTACGCGCAGTATCGATGCGAAAATGTCTCAAAAAATAGACGAATACTTTGAAAACAACCGTCGTGCCAGTGTAGTTCTGTACACAGCCAACTAACAGGGCATGGTGCGAACACGACACGGCATCTGATCTACAAAAAACGCCATCCCATCTCTAAATTAGGTGGGCTCGCCCGGCGCTGGGCATTCTCTTGCCGACGTGGCCCGTCAAGACTCTCCCCCCCCCCACAAACCTCGTGAGAGGCTGCAGGAACAGCACCCAGAGGAGGATCATCCACGCTATCGGCCGAGCATAACCGGTCTCAGCTGACTGCTCGGAGGGGAATGGAATTTGGCGCACAGATTGGCTAATCTGCCCTGCCTCGTGGGCGGCGTTCCGCCCTCATCCCCCCAGAGTTCCGCAGTGAATGCTCGAGACCCTTGATCCAGACACCGAAGCGGGGAACGGCGGGAGAGCCCTTTCCGGCGTGCAAGGCTTCCCGCTCCTTAGCGACCGACGTCTAAGAAACGACGCGGGGCTTTCAGTCAAGTTCGCTGCATGCCTCTTCAGCCGGCAGGCTTCTGATTGGGCGTGGTTCGCGAGTTCGACCAGGAGCTGGGCTGAAGCCTGCCTTCAGCTACAAGCCACATTCTCCGGTTCGGGCTTAATGACTTGATAGTCTTGTCTTGGGCACCGTTCGACTCCACCGCACACCGCCATCATGCCGAATGCTCAATGCCAGCAATGAGCTGTCGTGGCCGGCGAGCCAGAGGTTGACTTATCAGGCTGCGGCTGGGTAAGAAACCGTGACAACTCGAGTGAATTCCCAGACTCTGTGATACAGCGTCTTTTCTGGTTCAGCCGAGTGATCACAAAGCAGTAGACGTGGAGTAACGATGAAATACGAACTGGGACGGTGACGATCCCCTTGACTCATGGTTGGCTAACACGACATGCGGTCGAGGCTCACAAGAGGAGGCCAGCGACCCATAACTGATTATATTCCTGTCTGCCTTGCCAGCCCGCATTGTTATACACCATCGCAGCACATCAGTCCGTATCTGTACCTCGCGAGGTGGAGCTTCTACCTGGCCCAACCACCCATACCCGTCGGGCCATGACACCAACCACAAGTTGCAGGACAAGGAGCTGAGGCTGAATTCCTTTGGCGTACACTGTCTTTTGAGTCTCAGCGACGTTGGGGGGCGCTATGGCCAGCCGGTTCTCCCGCAGGGCGTGCTCGGTTCGGGGACTTTCACCTCATCCCGGACAGGTGTGGTTGCCGTCGCGCAGGCTGCCTGTCTCTGACTCCCTTTTTTCTCCGATAGCCTCTCCTCGTATTCGTCTTTTTCTTTCTATAACCCCTCGCTCCCTGCCCCTTCTCCTCGTTCCCACCCTCTTCCTGTTGATATCTACCGGGAACAACTAGGATCCATCAACATGGGACGACTCACTCAACTAGGAGCTCTTGCTTGCTTGTACCTGGGCGCGGAGTCCAAAGCACTGAGATGGCAGGACGACACCCCGAGCTGGGTCCCGCCCAGGCAGACCATTGCCGCGATGAACATGGAGGAGCTCGGCTTCAGTCCCAGCCCTACGGCGGCGCCCGACCCGGCCAATGTCGAACTGAAGCTGGCTAAGCGCGTGAGAGGCGACGACACCTGCGGTTATATCTCTGGTATCTCGAGTGAGTTGAGCCTCGACGACATAGTTTAGGGCTATTGCTGACCTGGGTACAGCCGATTCCATCTACTGCGATGTGGGAACTTGCGTCATCAACAGCTTCCTTTCTGTGGCCGGGTGCTGCGCGTCTGCGGCGGTGACAGACTGCAAGATCGCCAGCAGCTGCTTGCCGTCATCGTCCTCGAGGCTCTACTCCAGCGGTGATACGCTCATGCTGTACTGGTACGTTGCGCGTGTCCATTCCGCCCGCATGAGGGCTCTGTGTCTCACAGACCAACAGCTCCTCTTCGGCGAGGCCCGAGTGCCTCACATACGTCTACTCCGGCTCGCTCTTCAACCGCTACACCCTCTTTGGATGCGCCGCCAGCGAAGAGAGAATCGTCGTCTACGCCAATCCCACAGATACCTCCCTCACGGACGAAGGGACAACGTTGGACGCTGTAACTAGGACAGCTCCCTTTGCAACCGACACCACCGACACGGAGACCGAGGCCGGCACCTTGTCGCGGACATCCCCGACAGCCACGTCGAGGGGTTCCAGCGGCAGCAGCAGCGGTGGCGGCGGCGGCGGCGGCGGCGGATCGTCTACCCCAATAGGTGCCATTGTCGGCGGCGTGGTCGGAGGTGTGGCGGCCATCGCCCTCGTCGTTTTCGGCATCATCTTCCTTCTCCGCAAGAAGAAGAAGAAGGACGCAGCCGCCGGCAACGCCGGCAACCAGCCGGGCCCCGTCGTCTATAACGGCCCCCAACCGCCTCAGCAAGGACCACCGCAGATGTATCAGCAGCCGTCGCCGGGAGGCTACGGCCCTTCCCCTCCGCAGGCAGGAGTCTTCCCGCAGGGCTTCGCTCCCGTGGACAACAGGCAGAGCATGCTTAAACAGCCGTACGACACCACGACGGGCTCGTACGAGCAGACCGGTGTCAGCCCGCCCTCGAGCCCGCCGCCTATAAGTCCCTCGCCGACAGACCAGTCGGTGGCACCGCAGTACGCTCCGACCCAGAACGGCCTCAGCCCGGTGTATTCGCCCCAGCAGCAGCAGCAGCAGCAGCAGCAAGGGGGCTACTACAACGCGCCTCCACCACCTACACAGGCACAGCAGGTGCCACCACAGCAGCATTACCAGCAACCCGGGTTCTCGTCCGAGCTGCCTGCTCACAGAGGTGATGGCGAGCTGCGGGAGCTGGCTTAGATGGTGGAGGATTGTTGGAAGAGGACGAACAGCGATGATGGATTTAATTCGCCAAGGTCATGATGTTTGCGAAACCCACTCAGCCCCATTCACGGGAAAACGGGTTTGCACAAAGACGATGAAAGGAGGGTATAGGGGAGAAATAGAGGGGTTGTCGTTACGTATATATGCAATACCCTAACGTCTTTACACGGCCTGGACGGGGCTTACGACCCCTCTATAATGCACAAATGATCTTTGTTTTTGCCACCAAGCATGCATCGTGGATACGTCGTCATGTGCCTTTGATGCCGGGCAAGGCTTCACAACCGGCTGTGTCTGTCACGGCGCCAGGGCGTGTTTGGGTTGTCCTGCCGTCCCGGGACCAGATGGTCCACGGCCAGTGTGTTGAGAAAGCCCGGGTGGACCTGGTCGAGGCTCGTGACGCCGCACATCTTCATCGTCGTTTCCAGCTCGTCTCGCAGAACTACACAAGGCCAGTCAGTCAGTCAGTCAGTTACGGCCGGCCCGGGGGTTTTTCCTCGAAACACTGAAAAAGGAAAAAGAAAAGGTGTGAGAGACGGGCCCAACTCACTCTCAATGTACCTCTCCACGCCCTCGGCGCCGTAGTTGAGGCCATACAGCAGACCCCTGCCCAGACCAACCGCCTTAGCGCCCAGGCACAGCGCCTTGAAGATGTCGGTCCCGCGGGAGACGCCGCCGTCGACGTAGACCTCGACCCTGTCGAAGACGTGCGGGCAGTTCCTCTGCAGCTCCAGCAGGACCATGACGGTCGCCGGAGACGTGTCGAGGCTGCGCCCGCCGTGGTTCGAGAGCACGATAGCCTCCACGCCCGCCTCGGCGGCGCGCTCGGCGTCCATCCACGTCTGCACGCCCTTGAGGACGATGGGCAGGCCCGGTACCGTGCGCCGCAGCCAGGCGATGTCGGACCAGTTTACCGACGCGTCGATGTAGCTGCCCATGATGCGGCCGAGGGCGCCGCCCTTGGCGTCGTTGCCGGCGCGGGCGCCGGAGATGGGCGAGGATAGGGACTCGTCGGAGCGCACGCGCTCGTCGGCCTCGCGCTTCCCCGGGATCGGGGCGTCGACGGTGAGGAACAGAGCCTTGACGCCCTGAGCCTGGGCGGAGCGGATGAGGCGCTCCGAATTGGCGCGGTTCTTGTCGACGTACAGCTGGAAGAAGACGGGCACGTGGGGCGCCGCCGCACCCTCGGCGGCGGGAGGGGAGGGGTGCGTGGCCCGCGCGGCGAAGATCTCGTCCAGCGGGAAGGACGCCGAGACGGACACGCACTGGGGGATCCCGGCGGACTTGCAGGCGCGGCCGAGCTCCTTCTCGCCGTCCGGGTGGACGAGACGGGCCATGGCGGTCGGCGAACAGAAGATCGGGGCGCGCACGGGGTTGCCGAGGATGGCGGTGGATGTGGAGACGGAGGCGACGTCGACGAGGATGCGCGGGCGGAGGCCGATGAGGGCGTAGGCGGAGGCGTTACGGGCCTTGGTGTGCAGGTCCGTCGCGGCAGAGGAGATGAAGGCCCAGGCCTTGGGGGAAAAGGAGACGGACGCCGCCTGCTCGAAGTCGTGGGCGGAGATGAGGGTGTCGAGCGGTGGTTTGGAGGGGAGGGCAGTGGGCCCGGGTGGTTGGTCTCGGCCCATTGTAGGTTCGGGCTCTGGTCGCGCTTGCTTCTGCCGCTTCTGCTGCTGCTGCTGCTGCTGTTGCTGTTGGAAGCTATGCTGTCGAGGCTTCGGCAGCGCGGCGCCGGGGGCCAGGACGCCCTTGTGGCGGTCCGCGGGGAGCGTCGACCTGACGAGGTTGGGGCCGTGGACCTCGGAGTAGACGTCGGTGGCGTCCTTGCCGGCGCACTGCAGGATCACGGCGATGCCGCCGGGGTGCTCGCGGACGAAGTCGGAGAAGTCGTAGACGTGGGCGTCTATGACGAGCCAGAGGTCGCCGATGCTGTTGTGTTTTGATACCTCGGCGGACGTGAGTTTCGGGGGCATGGTTCCGGTCGCCAAAATGTTTACCAATTGCTCGCTCGATACGCACACTCGACCCGGCATGGGTGTTGTGGAGAGGCGGGGGCGGAGCGCGCAGTCGGAGTGAGAGCTTGAGTGGCCATCTTTGTAGGTTGCCACGGGCCGGACGCTAAGGCTCGAGTTCGGGGGGCACTGCACCGAGAGGGTCTCTCGGTGGTGGGGTTGCCGCCTTTGATGCGGCGGGCACTTATTTAGTGCTGGAAGGCTGGTGGGGGGCTGAGGGGTTCCCCAGGAAGGGTTTCACTCGCTAAAGCATGCACGGAATACGACCATGTCATTGCGGTAAATCACCGGGGTAGCATCGGCAGGCAGCTAGCTGGCTGTCGATTCTTTTTTTATTTTTTTTATTTTTTTCATTCAAAAGTTTTAGGTAGGTTTTTCTATACTACTACCCCCCTTCCAACCTCGTCTCACCCCGCCAAAGCTTTGCCGATAAGAGTTCTGGCCCTCTCGCTGTGGTCCATCTTCAGCGCCAGCGCGTGGCCGGGCTCGCTCATCTTGGCCCACGTCTTGCGCAGGATGCCGATGATTTTGTCCTCGTCGATCTCGTCCTTGCTCTCAAAGGCATCGAACTGGTCGTCGAGGAAGACGAGGCACGCCACGTCCTCGAGCACCTGCGTCTCCTCGTCGGCGCTCAGGTTCTCTTTGCGGATGAGAGCCGCCACGCGGTCGACGTCCTCCTGAGGCAGGGCCGGGTGGATCTCGGGCGACGATGAGATGAGCTCAGCCACCTGCGCCGCGGCCTGGGACTTGAGCTTCGCCCGCCAAGCGAGGTATCCCGGCCGGGTCATTGGATACGTGTTGCGGGGGGTCTCCCATCTGTTGAGTAAATTCGCCAGTGAGTCAGACCTGTCATGCTACCGGCATTGTACCTAACCCATCCCGGAGCGGGAGGTCATGCGTCTTGTTCATCGTCTCATATGCTTCAAGAGTTGCAGCTAGTACTACTTTTTATAAGAAAAAAAAAAGATTATGCAATAAATAAATAAACAAATAAATAAAAAACGGAAAGGGTGCTTATGTTACCTCCTGAAGTGCTGGGCGCGGCAAGCCAGCTGTAAGACGGGAGACGCTGAGGGACATCGCACAGCCAGCCAGCGGGTCATCTTCTGGGCATAGTCGAGTTCAAAAGGGACAGACTCGACACCCGACGGCCTGGGGTCTTGCCTGTGGGCCTCGTCGATCAGCTCGAAGGCCTTTTGATAATTGGGCGGCAGCTTAGGCAGTGAGGGCGACGTTGCCATTGTTGCGTGAGTGAGGGTGTAGTGTAGGTACTGTAATCGGCCGTGTGTTGTGTTGGGGTGCGACGGGTTGGAGGGGGTGGTAGCTAAAAAAGAAGAGGTTGCCGCTGTTTCAGGCTTCCGACAGGTTTCTTGGTCCTTTCCATGACGAGAAGCTCGGCTATTCATAATCGCTGCTCTATAGCCGCCGCTGCTGCCACCAACAATGAAGCCCTGAACGACACTCATGAGTAAGCAGGGGCGAAGGATGACTTGATTGGCTGCACCCACTATGGTGCATAGTAGCAGAGCCTCAACCCGATCCCCGGACCTTGTCGTTGACATCAACTTGATAATGCCACACGTCCTTACATGCCATGCCTGTACCTACATGATAAACCCATTTATCTGCTACGCTCCCCTCCCCGCACCGGCCCGTCGACTGCAGCTCCTGCTGCTGCTGCTGCTTCTTCCTTGCAACCTCTACGTCACACTTGGCACGTTACAAGACGACGGACAAGCTTCAGCATGTTCTCAGTAAATCATTCCAACGGGGTCCCCGGTAGACTTCGTCCCATCATGTGTCTGCGCCAACGCAGATCGCACAGCCGCCCGGTCTCGCCAGATCTGGATCCAGTCATACTTTGGCTGGACCCCGAAGTCTTGTTTCGTCCCTTCGTCCCATGTTTAGAATAGCTGCGTACGAATGTCTGTACACAACCTACACCACCTTACACATGCATACCAACTGACTTCCGGTCGACCTGTCTGTGTTCTTGGCAATTCCGCCGTCTTGGAGAGGCTGGACATGAACCGTATTGGTAGCTTTTCCGGGGACGCGTAGTTGTAGCCAACTTCGAGACCGTACTTTGATCTCCCACTCTTGCTACTTTCAACCCCGCGGCCGACAATTTTTCCATATATTGAATATGGTGGACACATCATTTGCCACCTTTGTCCTTTTGGTGAAGGGATTCGTGCTTTGACAGAGTGTCGCCCACACTCACTCTTACCTATATCATCCGCAGCAACGTCTCAACTTCCTCCCCCCCTCCCACCTACACCTCAGCCCCGTGTGGCAGTTCACTCTTTTTCTCACTAATCCCACATTGCCGTCACTAGTTTGGCAGTTTTCTTCGTTCAGCGTCTCGCTCGCCTGATGCAACTCCATTGAAACGTCCCCCACCTATACTTGCATCTCAAGCCGACAACAATCGATAACAAAACATATCTCTCTGTCCACTCCCATTGCGCCATCTCTTTAAGAAAAGAGCGCTTCTTGCTTAATCGGCCACTATTTCCGCAATCAAACGATCACGATAATCAAGGAGAGGACCCACCGACCGGTAGCCTGTTACTTCACCACGAAAAGCCTCCGCCGGAACAGAACAGGCCTTCCCCGACCGGCAGCTTCTCAATTCATCCACTCATTGATTTAGGTCACTGAATAAAATACAAAACCCGCTCAATAAAAGCATCGTCTTGGAGGGAAATTGTGACGAGAACCAAAGGTACCCCAGACAATACCTTACTACTCAATCCACTACCGCTTCAATCCTCCAACCAGTGAGAGAACCACCCTAGGACAGCAGCTGCCGACTCACTACTGGCCTCACCAAGATACAATTCAGCCAGTGCAGACTTCTATCAAACACCTCCACTGCCGGAAACCTAATGTGAGCTCGGCAGACAGCAACGTCAACATCTTTCTTTCATCTTACCAGGTCCGCCTTACTGACCTTGGGGAACTTCGATCTTACCAGCACTCAAGGAAATATTGCCAAACGATTGATCTTCATTTTCTACCACCAATCGTTATTTGGCTGGCTGATACTTATGATAAAACAATAATCAGCACCGGTGTCGACCAGGAAGTAGCCATAAGTTAGTGTTCAACTTGCAGACCACGCACCTTCCCTTTTACACGATTAACTCATAAACTGCAAGACAAGGCCCCAATTTTCCAAGTTTACCCTACACCTCCGCGGCCATGAAGAACTCAAAGAGGAGCAAATCAAAGTATATACCGGACTCCGCAATGGAGGCTGATGACGGAAAGTCCTCCAGTACGGCAGTGACCACTGACTCAGACGACAACGCCAGCGACACTGTGACACTCGTCGACTTGTTCCATGACCTAGCGGTCGGCGACCTCTTCGGAGCCAATGATGACAATCTGGCTTCGGCTGAGTCTTCCGCTGCCCCAAGCTCAGAAGTGAGCACCGACAACCAGTCCACTCCCAGCGCGGAGGCAGCCATGGCCCAATCAACCACATCTGGGGGAACCACCTCGAATGAGTCCAGCACGTCCGGCGACGCGTCCCCCGAGAGCGGAGGCGCCTCGTCCAGTACGCAGTCGTCCAACAAAGGCCATTGGACACCGTCAGAAGACGCTCTCATCATCAGTATGAAGGAGGGTGGCGAGAGCTGGGCCTCCATTGGCAATGCCATCAACCGGGGCAAGAACGAGGTCAAGAAGCGATGGCACGTGGCCAAGGCCAACGCCGCGAACTCCGAATCCGGAGGCGACGCGCAGACTGAGACGGAGTCTGAAGGGGAGAACGGCCAAACAGAATCCACGACCGACAGCAAGACCGATCAGAGCCATTATGATAACACCGACAAGCGCCAGGAGGGACACAAGGCCGACAACAAGCTCAAGTCAAGAGCCGAGCGAAAGGCTGAGCGAAAAGCTGAGCAGAGGAAGAACAAGGGCAACGCGACGTCCGATGGCAAGACCAAGGAACCCAAGAAGTCTCACCCCAAGGCCAAGCAACCCAACCGGAAGGCCGAGGAGCAGCAGCCCTCCGAGGCTTCAGAAGCGCACAGCACTCCGAAACCCTCCTCATCCAACTCCGTCGGCGACTCCCCCAGCTCGTCCCTCCGCAGCCGCCTCGCCCTCCTCCGCGACACAACCTCGGCATCCTCCTCCACATCCTCCGCTACTAGCCATGATGGTGACGACGGCGACGATGCCAGCGACTCACCCGCCAAGTGCTACCACCGCGAGCTCGCCCGCCAGGAGCGCTACATCCGCCGCCACGTCATGCCGGCCCTCTACCCCCCTCTTCCCTACCCGCTGATGCCCCCTCCAACCGCCTTACGCCCACCCAGCCATGCTGACAAGCGCCAGCGACGCGACGATAAGATCCTGGCGTCCCTGGTGTCTCGGCGGGAGGCGACAAAGTGGCTCGAGATGCAGGCCAACTTCTTCAACGTCACAGGCCGGATGGTGCCGCTGCACATGATCAAGGCGCGATGCGAAGCCGAGGAGGGCCGCAGCAAGGTGGTGGGCGTGTGGAACTGGGCCACCTCGGTGGCGGACGGCGACAAGCTCCTGGATCCGAACGAGGGTGCCGACGTCCCCGAGGACGCCCTTGTCGAATACGACGAGGAATGAGGATAAACGTCCTTTATTCTATTACCTAATGAGAGCTCTCTAGTGGGGGTTAATGATGAACGACGGTAAAGGATGGGATGCCTTGGAAATTCTGGTGAGGGATGGGATAAGCCCCAGTCACCATAGGATATAATAGTTACGACTGGGATCTGATCTTCACTTTTCACTACCCACCGAGGGGGGACGGGTGGGCTTGAAAGACAAGCAAACAACGAAATGTGCTGAAATGGGCGGCCAGGGAATAATAACGAAACACAAAAAAGGATAGGTGGCGGGCGGGTATTTGCGCCGATTTGTTTTGCTCTGGGATACTCCGGTCTATTGATGGCTGCGCTTTCGGGATCCTCTCTAACTTAGCTACCTAGCGAGCGTTGCTTCTTCCCCCCCTTTCTCTCTCTCTCTCTTTCTTTTCCATTTCTTTTCCATTTGTTCTCTCGAGTTTCACTTTTCTCAATCGAGAGAGGATAGATAAAAGGCCGACGTGGATCTTGGGTCTTGGGGGTTGGCACCAAAGGGGAGGAGGTTAACACGTCTTTTTTACATAGATAGTTAATAGTCAACTGAGACCATCAATCAAGCCTTTGTTAACTTCTCCATCTCCCCCGCCCATTCCTTTCTCTCTTTCTCTACCTCTGTGAGGTGTATGTAATATTTTCCTCGACCTGTATACGACGTATAGATCTTGAGAAAAAGAAAAAAAAAACCAGATGAAAAAAAACGCAAGAGAAATAGATGGCTTGATTTTCCAACTCCGACAACGACAAGAATAGTACAGTCCACCACCCACCGCGCGTCACGGGGTATCAATGGAACAAACAATTACAGCATACGGCCACCCACCTGTGGCGTACCTAGAAACACCCCTTTTGAGGCAAACCTCGTGCCCAGCGTATCCAAGATATAATTACATGCAAGAGCCTTGAGAACTGACAAGGCTCGCTTTCCTATCATGTGCCGCCCGACCCTAACAGATGGGCCTGAAAGCGTTATGCGGAACGGTAGAACCGTATTTGACGTATCGTCGCAGTCCGTTAAACGACAGTGTTGCTGATGGCTATCAATATCGCAAACAGGAATCCATACTTCAGGGTCTCAACTAAAGACCTGGAGTCGATTTCCAGAGTAGATCCAGTAGACGCAAAGTGGCACTCTTGACCTCGGATTGGCCGTCCCCTTCGCTGCCCTCCGAGGGATTGACAAAGGTGCTGGCGTCCGATAGTCCTGCCTTCCCGCCTTTTATCGATTCAGTCTGTTGGCTGAAGTGTGAAGGATGGGCCTTCTCTGGCGACGTAAAGTGAACTCACTAACCGATCCGTTATTCAGATAGGATTCTCCATGCCGGGCGCCATCGTTGTCCCTGGCGGCGCGGCCGGACTGGGACTGGACCCTTTCGTCAAGGTGTTGTTGCTGGATCCCAATCCTCGCTTCATCATTTTCCCCAGGACGGTGACCAGTTCGCAGGCATCAGCAAACATGTCGTCATCCATTCCCTCTGACGCTCCGTAGACCTCAGAAATGGTGTCCTTGGCCAGCTTGCGGCTCCCGTCGGTATCGTGTACGCAGTCGTAGAGGAAGGCGGCGTACTCCGTCTTGACCGATAACCGCAATGAGTGGGAACCCCAGAGATGCTGATCGGCCAGAGCAATGGCTTCCTTAAAATACTTTTGGGCATCGGGAAGATAGTCCCTCGGCGGTTCGAGAAAGGCGGCAGGGAAGTCCGAGTTGCTTTGAGGAGGGAATCCGGGCGGTGGGTTCACCGGTCCACCCTCAAGGGCGTGCGTCGGCTGTATCGACCCCTGAGATGCGTTCCATTCCTCCCTTGCGATTCCCTTGCCCTTGTCAAGCCTCGGGGGCGTGAGGCCGGCCATGGTGTCGGGGGTCGCAATGCCCATGGTTGACACGGCAGGTCTGTTATGAAACAGGACGAAGATGTGATAAAACGATGCCCGCAGCTTGTATGCCAACACACGGAGCTCCGTATGGTTTCCGACCATGGGAATAACATACTGCTGGAGCATGACCAGACCTTCCCTCGAAAGCCAGATGATGTGAAGGACGAGATCAGCAGACTGGGGCGTTCGGGCCACGTCTGGACGACGCTGTTTCTTCGCCGTGACGAGCTTCTCTGCTAGGCTGAGCGAGAGGCCGAGGATCTTGTAGAGCATCGAGGACAACAAGGGGTTGTCATTTTCCACAGTCTTTGCCCATTTGCCGAGGAACTTTTGGTCTACCTCGGAGGAAGCCATTGGGACCTGTATCGCGGGTGAGATAGCGGGGACCAAAGCTCTGATCCCGGGGATGTGTCCAGATGGGGGGCCGATCTCAGTCGTCTCTGGACTTGGCGTCTGATTTGTACCAAGAAATTGGTCCCTTTTTGGGGAGAGAGTTGGCGGGCTTCTTTTTCGCCAAAGTCAAGGTCTATGAAGGAGAGTATGAACCGGCAAATGAAAAGCGATGAAATCCAAGAGGCTGGAAGTGAACTAATTGCCAGGGCAGTAAGTGCAGACGAGCCGGGAAACGAGACAAGAGTCAGGCCTGCTCGGTGAGGGTCGGTTCAAGCGCTCTTAGTGTCACTGCGTTTAAACTGATTATGAGACTTGGTTAAGACTGCGACGAGTAAGCAATAGTGGCGTGAAGGTCCGAGATCGACCACTCACAAGTATAATACATTAAGTGAGTACTAGGTGAGGGAGTAGGGTGGACGTGGCGAGTGCAAGGATGCGGGACGCAGATAGCGACTAGCAAAGAGACAATGTCGACTGAGGCTTAACCAGGAAGACGAGGATGAGATGATTTGTTTTCGCAAATGGCATGGCGACGTTGCTTGAAGATTAGGTCAACTATTGTCGAGTGAGTGGCCCTGTGGAAGTTGACGTAGCTGAAGTCGTCAATTCGGGCAGCGAGGGCGATCCCTGGAAGGATGAACGAGCGTCGAAGGGTATGCTGGTGAAGAAGGCGGTGAGGGCGGGCGTGGGTGTGGCTGCGGGGGCGGGAATCAGACGTCAAACGAGGTCTATTCTGGGGACGGGAGCAAATGCAGTGGGTTGAGATGGGATTCGGCGACCAGTGGCAGTAGCGGCCGTCGGATTGAGGTGGGACGGAGCGTTGTGGTAGAAGTTTGGCTATGAGGGCATCGCGACCACAGGCGAGAACGAGTCGAGTGACAGCGAGGTCGCGGGCAGGTTCTGAGATGGGTTCGGGCGATGTAATGTAATGTAAGGCAATGTAGGTAGCTGCAGGTTATATGTGCCCTAAAGGAGAGTTGCGGACACGGACGCAGGAGGACTGGGGCGTGCGGTCGTATCGTGCATGGAGTGTGGGCCTTTGTGAGCGAGAGCAGCGGCGCGGTGCGGCGCGGTGCGGTCGCGACGTGGAGCCTGGATGCCGTGGCCGGCTGGGAATAGAGGGTGTCCAGAAGATGAGATGGGACGAAGCAGAAGCAGGAGCAGGAGCAGGAGCAGGAGCAGGAGCAGGAGCAGGAGCAGGAGCAGCACCGGCGGCCGTGGCTGATGTCGTACAGAGATGAGAAGCAACGAATGACGGTGGGTGTTGAAGGCTGGGTGAAGGGGGGGGGGGGGGGGGGGGTGTAAGATGCTGCAAGATGAGTTGTCAAACTCTGGGGAGAACGAGCGCCGAGCGCGCACCGTGTCAGTGGGAGGGAGAGTAATCAATGGGGTGAGAGGCCTGGTCAGTGGCATGGGCTGGAAGCGAGCGACGAATGCCAGATTGGGCGGGAAAAACGGAGGAAGCGAGAGAAGAGACCCGGATACCAATTCGGATTACAGCAGCCAGTGACATCAACCTCGAAAGGCTGGGGCCGGGGTTGGGAAAGGCGGAAAGACAGCCCAGGAAGGAAATAGGTAGATGGAAAAGGAAACCAAGTACGGAGTACCTTGGGATTCGGGGCCGGGTAAGGGTAGCTAGTAGAGATCAACGGGTCAAGGGGCAGATGACATAAGACGTTCCGTAGAGTCAGTCAACAAGGTATTAAATAGAGAAAAGCTTGCCCAAAGCTGCTGGAGCTGGAGCTGGAGCTTGGACGGCCCGCTTCTGAACCCCCAGCATGGCAGGGAAACAGGCGCGACACGCCCACCACCAAGGTGGGAGTGAAGACGGAATTTCTCCCTTGTCTCTCCGCCCAGCTGTCTCCACCAGCTTCTCGCTTTCTCCCTTTTCCAGGCTTCTGCCCGAACAAACGGAAGCCGTGGAACCGTCGTCTCAATTACCCATCATTTTGACCGAACAGCCGCCCGCACAGTCAGTCGTCTGGCTGCTTTGCCGCTGCCAGTCGCCAGTTGCCGCTGCTCGCCGTCCCATCTTTACACACAACCACTCTACGGCCCTCCGTGTCTTTCGTCTGACCCGATCCCCGGGATGCCTTCTGAGCAGAGTTGACGCCGAGACAAGATAGCGTGGGCTAGGGCCCTAGTCTTGACTTGCGGAATCGCGTCCGAGACAAGCCAACTACCGACCGGCCACTCTTCCAAGGGTCTATCTAGTCTACGGGATTCCGACCATCGTTTAAAGACCGACTTAAAGACCGACTTAAAGATCGACAAGCCTCCGCATTGAGTCGCCAAGTTCAAAAGTTACGCTACTGCTGCTGCTGCTGCTGCTGCTGCGGCGGCGGCGGCGGCTAGCTGTCATGTCCAAGAGGCGCATCTACTAATTACCTCTGCCACACCCATGGCAACACTCTGAGACGCCAGGCATGCCGTCTCCCCTGATTCGCACAAATTCTGCTGGCTTGCTTGCTTGCTTTTTCTCTCCCTCTTCAGACGTGTCTCTCGGGTCCGTTTGAAGGTCGTCATGCGCCCACACAGGCTGACGCACTGCACTTCCGCGACCAGCCTCCCATGAGCTGATACCGGTCCATTGCTCCCCAGGAAAACCCACCCTCAGCCGTGCGCGGGCTGTTTAGGAGCACTGGCCTACTACATAGTACATCATCTAAGCAACATAAGGAGCCTGGAGACGCAAAACGTGGCCGATTGTCGACTGTCGAGTATCGCTCCCGTCATCCCCGAACAGCAACGGGGAGCCCGTGGGGTCTTTGCCCCGGTCCGTCTGGGGGTTTAGCTCACCTTCCAAAACGAGCCACTGCTTAAACAGCGTGGTGTATTCGCCGATACAGGTTGCACAAGTCCTCTCGTACGAGTGGAAATGACACAAGTTGTCCGTCGTGGATCAAGTTGTGCTCGTCGGTGTTCCCATCAAGAGCAATACGCGATACGTACCGTCAGATGCCCCCCCCCCCCCCCCCCCCTTTGTTTCGTGGCGACCTGGGATGCACTAGCCCTTATCCAATCTAGCCTCGAACATGCTCTGATCTGGCCAACCGGATGCCGCGCGCTTTCTCAAAGCAGGGAAAACGTCCCTTTGCCTTCAACTCAACTCTCTGATCTGATCCCAGCCTTTTTCTTTCTTTCTTTTTTTTCTCTTCTTTCTCGCTCCGCGGCCCCGGACCCCTCGAGTCCCAATAGTTTTGGTCGCCGTCGCCGTCGCCATCGCCATCGCCATCGCCAACCTCTTGTGCGGCCTCCCGGGCGCGACCTGACGTCTGCGGGAGTGGGCATTGGCCACAAACAGGTTGTGGCAAAACTGGCGGTGAAGAACTAGTAGTAACCGGATGCCTGCGGCTCTTGTCTCTTCTGCCATCATGCTTACGACTGCACGAGCGGCTTCTCGCCTCGTTCTGGGCCCGCTCCGCCTGACTTGCTCCCAATTGCATGCTGACTGAAGAAAAGCAGTACGGAGTAAGATACTGAAGAATGGCTGGTGCAGTAGACCGGACAACTTGCGGGGACCGGCTGAAACCCGGCCTGCTTTGAGACTAACGGCCAGCATACATGTGCCCATGTGCGTGCTTGTAGCGTAACCGTCAAGGGTGAAGTCCACACGTACCCCTTGGCATGTGCTGTCGACGCAGGCGACGGAGGCCGTCTTGCCTTGCCGCCCGCCCGAAACCATGCACTCCGCCACTGTCCTCCGCTATCGCTACTTCGTCATCTGCCCTGGACTCCAGTCGTTGCGCGCACGACATGATTGGGGTCCGGCACTGCAGCCCTATCTGTCACCATCATGCCTCGATTCAAGGGTGAAGTTGAGGGTGGGTTAGCACACGCCTTGCGGCCCGGGTTGACTTGCCTTATGGCTACCCGAGCTCTCCCAAGATACAGATGATGCCGTTGTTGGGCAACTGTCGTCACCACGTGGACGTGCTCATAAGCCAGTGCAACACACCAACGCCAGCTGTCAGTCGGCCCTCTTCGTGGTCAGTATCCGAAGCGAGCTGCTCTACTGGGCATAGTTGTGCCTCCGCGTCGACTCTCGAGCCAGTTTGTCCGATACCCCCCCACGTATCGTTCCTGGTTTTGTGACCACCGAGGTCCCCGTTTGCCCTCCCCGGAACGGGATGTTGCAGCTTCCGAGGCCGCGCCGAGATCGCAAGATCTCGCCGCCTCGGTATGGGATGCGTCTCATTGGGTTCTTATCTCGCGTGTACCTGGCTAAGGCTTGACGTGCTGCAAGGAGGAGGGAGGCTTCCCACAGCTGCCCAAACGGAGCTGTCAGGAAGATCGAGGTGACGCCGTAGACCCTTCTCACCGGTTTGATGCCTGACAGGAACAAACGGATATGGCATGATTGCCCGAGCGACGAAGCTACAAATAGGACCCCCCGGCGTCAATGTCTCCATGCCCAGCTGCTGTTCGATGTCTGGAAGCTCCTGTTGAGCCAGCATTACCTACATTCCTTTCCTAGATATCGGCCTCACCAAGGTTTGATAGCATCGCCGTGTCTCCGGCTCCATGTGCAGACCACGTACACAGTCTCTCGCCTAAGCCATCAGCCGCCTCCTTCGAAGACGTCAACGGCCCGCACGCAACTCTCCTCGTCAACGAGACGGTCTTGACTTCTCACCGGCCACACGGCCGTCTGGCTAGCATCACCTGGATACAGGCTCTTAAACGTTTTTTTCTTTTTTCCGTCGCCACTCAAAACACACGCTCCTTCAACGAGTTCGGAAGAAGAAGAAGAAGAAGAAGAACACGAGCACGCATCTTACCCAAACCGTTGACGACGCACAAAGGCCCCCCCCCCCCGGGAAGCCAGGTTACAAACATGTGCCAGTACTACGCCCACGCCTTCACCTGCAAGCACCTCTCCTTCACCTTTGCCCGCTTCTGCCAGCCCGCCAGCCTCATCCAGAAGCCGTGCGCCAAACGGCAGGTCTGGCAGACCATCAGCCTCGACGACGCCTGCGAGGAGTGCTTGATGTGGTTCCCGGACAGGTATCCGTGTCCGAGGATGCGCTACAAATGATTTTGGGGGAGGGGAGGGGGTCAATAGGATGATGTTGTGGCATAGCATGTGATCATGGGGATCTTTTTATGGCAACTACGAGAGCTCTGGAAGCTCTCGTGTTTCAATGTTCTTACCCGGGACTCTTTTCTTTTTTTTTTCTTTTTCTGGCGTCACGAGAACACGGTGGAATTCGCACCAAAGGAAAAGGAGGCTAGGAATGGTCGAAGAGGAGGGCCTCATTGGAGAAGAGAACTGGTTCGGTATGGGATACCGTCCGCAAAGGGGGGACGGGTTGTTGTAAGCTCCGAGGAAGCTCCCGAGCCCGCTCAGGGGTCGGCCGAGGAACAATTGCCGGCGGAGGTGGTATAGTATAGTAGCACAGTCATGCCACCAAACGGACATTGGCCAACGGAGCGGCAGGCCGGAATAAAGATTGCCCCCTACAGACAGTTTTACAAACGCCGTACCGGCGGCCGGTCCTTGTTTTGTGGTGCGATGCAACCCGATTAGTCTGCGATGTGTCTCTGGACTCCAGACCGGTAGAGCTTCAAAAGAAATCCCGAAGCAAGCGTACCGACACTCGGCCACGCCCAGCCGTGTTTCCCCGCCTGGGCGGCCTGCTCGTCGTTGAAAACGACAATCCGTGGCCCTTGACGGAGGACACCTTCTCGACCCGGGTACCAGCTACAGAGAGAGCTCTACGAAGCCGACGGTCCGTCTATTTTGTGAGCGCGACCCCCCTTACTCCGTAATGACCCTCCGGGAATCCCATCATCGTACAAAGACGTGCCCCTGAAGAGCAACCAGCGTGGCTACAATCTCTAGCCGCAATGGCACGTATACGGAAAGGACAAGACAGAATTAGTACCCCAGAGCCGGTGCCCTGCGAATGGCGTCCTCTCACGGCCCCGAGGTGGGCCCGGGTGGCAAGACGTCGAGAACCGATATGGACGGCGGGCAGCGGAGTGGTCCAACTCTCTGGACAAGTTAGGGAACAACAGGAGCCCAGCTAGCTGCAGACCAGGAGCAGCGGCAACTGTTTGGGTCATAGGGTGCCGCAGCAAAGCTGATTCTGAACAAGACAGATCAGGCTTCTGGAGAGTACATATACATCATCGACCCCGAGTTAAGTAGATTCATCTCCGAGTTGGGGGTACCAGCTCCTAGAAACATGACCCATCAGCTGCCAAACAGAGCCGCTTTTGTTCACGTTGGACCTCACTGGGAGATTAGACATGGGCATCAAACAAGTTCACAAACACATGTCGTTCGACCTGAAATAATAGCCGAATTTGAAGCAGTATGGCATTCCCCGCTTGATCCCAACGGCAGAAATCCGCTCCCACTACCTACATATGGATATATATAAGAAAATATGATAAGTAAAATCCCAACTCCCTTGTTGATCCTGGGTATATAAAAAAAGAAGAAAAGTATGCCTTCCGCAGAATATAACTATCCCTAATACCAAACTCTCGTCTCGCTGAATGTGTATCATGATTTTATATCCACGACGAGACCTGCATACGGGCATGGGTGACCGTTGCTGGTTTCCTTCGTCGGCTACCAATTGGCAGAGAATCACCGTTGTTCTCGTTCTCAGCCAAGTCTTCGAAATGCTGATGCCCAACGGTAATGAGCTTGATGACATTGCCGAAACCAACCGCGACCGACGCCGTGCCGACCTTGACCATCGGGCCAAGTGCTGGTATGATGAGATGCGAGCCGATCTCGTAGTCGTCGTGGAGTGGCCTCGTTTCATACAGCTCCTCCCCTCCCAGCTGTGAAGCCACCCAGACCTCCCAGTTATCCGATGATCTGCTCGGTCGTTTCTCTATCCGCTGATACATCCTGCGGCGGAGGCCACCGGTGGATGTGGGGGACGACTCGCCACTGCTTGACCCGCTATCGTCAATAACTCTCCGCACGCCCACGAGGAAGCCGTTGGGTAGTGTTTCCCATGTGCCCGGATTGCGGATTTGCCGCTTCGACTCGATCGTCTCGGACCAACCGCTGCAGCTGCGGCTGGAGGGGAGTTCCGTATTGCGGAAACAGATGACGTTGCCATCCTCCTTGGGCGTAAATGTGTGTATGATACAGTCACCCGTCTCCGCGTGGTTGTACGCGATGCTAAATGAAACGAGCCCGATCGAACCGCATTGCGGCTTCCGTCGTGAGGAATGAACGCACCTCAACGATCGCGGTTGGATGGGTTCTGTTCTAAATGTGTGAAGGAGAGTTTTCGATTTCGCGTCAATGAGGTCCACCGTTTGAGACCTGGCGACTAGGAACGAGCCAAGAGCCGACAGCGGCACGATCTGGCTCGCATCCCGATCTTCGACAGAGTGAGCATCGAGGCCTTGTGACGCCCAGGTGTCGTTCTCTTGCTGGGTCGCCACATGAATGCACCCTTTTCTTGATGTCGTCAGTATCGACAGCTGCGAAGAGCCATGCGGAGCGATCTTTTGCACAAGCGGTCGGACCGAGACCAAGGGGCTCTTGCAGATTGTAAACTCCATCGGCTCTTTCATCCCAGGAATGATCTGCGTCATGGTCCCGTTTCGACGCACAACGACAAGCGGGCTTGCGAAGTCAAAACTCGGAGTGCCAAAGAAGAACCCCTCTGGCTTCTGGCCATTGAGTTCTACCGGGACTGGCTGACCCCAACGTCGCTCGACAAGGTTCCATAGAAATACCTTGTGAGATGACAGCAAGGCCAACCAGCTGGATCTCTTGTCCGTGGCAACTGCCAGAATCGGGAAGGGGTTCTCAGGGGGCGGCTCGATATCGGCCAGCGAGTAATCCCCACCTCCCGACCGGACGTTCCACACACGGATTGCCCGATCCAGTCCCACGGAGATGATGTGCCCGTTGTATGAGGATGACATCAAGACAACATCCAAAGAATGAGCCTCTGGAAGAGATTCGATCGCCAACAGAGGTTGGTCGCTCATGTCATCATTCCGTCTCGACTCGGCATCGTCTCCCCAGAGCAGATAGTTCATGAGAAGACGGACAGCCGAGAGGATGAACAGTACGGTGGCGAGGAAGTGCTTCAAGTGATGGTCGATAAAGTCGTACACGGCCGGCAGCAGGGGGCGCTCCGGCATGACGGGCGTGCGATCTGCGCCCTTGAGGACGAATACCAAGGGGTCATACACCCGGGCGATGTAACTATGGGACCGCGGCTTGATGACGTTGATGACCTCGCGAGCACTTTCGTGATCTTGAAGGCGAAGCCAAGATGTAGGGCTTCGCGCTTGGTGGATGTCGACTAGCAGCGAGTTCTTTGGCTGGCTGAAGCTGACGGTATCTCTGGAGATCCTAAAAACCCCCCACAGGAGCCGGATGAAGGTGTCGTTTTCGAAAAAGTGCCACTGAGCTATCAAGACAAAAGTGATCATGATGACTGTACCAGCGATGCGGGTGGACAGAGCTATCTTGCCCTGCAGCATCGCCTCAAACCAGCTGCACTTCAGCGGCTGCTCCTGTCCGTGTCGCTTGTTCTTCAAGAACGCTTTGGCCAGTGCGTCACTGAGTTCTGTCCGTCGCACATCAACACTGAGGACGGCCAGGAAAAACGTAGACATGTAGAAGAAGTCGAAAACAATAGCAACAGCCACAAAGGTGCAGAACGCGGATACGCCGGGCGAGACGATCTTGGACAGACCCCACAGGATGATGACATTCTGTGCCGAGCTAGCCAACGCAACGTGTGCTGTCTCTCCAAACGCGCGGCTGATCCGGCTGCTTGTGCTGTTCTCCGAGGGAGTCATAATGACGGCGTTGATGAGTCTGAATATATTTTCGAGGCTCATCGAGAGGACCACCACAGGATACGCCGCTTGCGGAATGCCAGACAAGTCAACGCGGAAGATGGCGCATACCGTAAAACTAGACATGATGGAGACAACGACCTGTACGAAGACCGTGACTATCAAGCCGATCTTGGACTTGACCGCTCTCAGTTTAGACAGACTGTAGAGAAAGTAGACGCCTGCCAGACCGTACGCGAGGGCAAGAATCACCGTGTCTTGCATGGATATGGGCATGAACTGGAACTCGTACAACTGGCTGGACATGCTCTTCCCGTCCGCCGGGTAGGCGGTCCATTTGTCCTTCACCCGGGTCGCGAGTGCTTCGGCTCTTCTCTCCCATTGACGGCCGACGGGTGAATCGCGCATATGGATCAAGGTGATGACGAGCGCATCGGCTGCCAAGAGCTTTCTGTCTTCGAAGCGCTTTCCACTGAAGACGATGGAATGCCTGAGAGTAACATTGACCGAAGTCGGCTGTGTTTTTTTGGCGTTGACCGTGGAGACGATGTTTTCATCATCGGATATGCGCTCCCGTGAGCAGGACCAGTATTGAAGTGGCGAGTGGAAGAACCACGATTGGTTGGTGAGGCCGTTGACGACGTGAAATGTATCCCGCTCCTGAGGTGCAAGATCAGCATGGGGGTCGTGAGCCTGAGGGTTAGCGGCGGGCCGCCACGGGCTGAAATCTTTGGTGGGACCAAGCAGCTCGTCCTGAAGTCCAAGGGCACCAAGCAGTACATCGCGGTCCAAAGCCTTCATATAGCTGCCGTGGACCCATATGGAGCGCATAATAACGTCGGGCTCGGTACTGTTTTCCTTGAGCGGCTGCGCAGCAGTCCACACATGGTGGGGGAGGTTGGAGGCGCCATTGCTCAAGTCTGAGGTGTAGAGGAACGGGAAGGGGTATATGAGAATTGCGGCGACAGCAACGGAGATGATGAGGGTCGTAACAACATGTCTCGCGGCGTATCGACCGTATCGCGCAAAGGTTCGGCGAAGAGGGTGGTTCGGTGCAAGGACGGGAGCTTCGGTCGTTCTGATGGCAGGTCAGTCAGAACATGCATGGGATGTATTGGCACAGGATCATGAAAGGGGAACAGCTGCATACCCTCGCAAAGGATACAACAGGTACCAAATCATCTGCGGCAACGATTGCAAGTAAGCTTGCAGCGACTGCAGCAGAAGAAGAGGTCGACGAAGTTGCGAAAGCGGACGGACTCAATCGAGCAGGCAATCCATCCAGTGTTTGACTGTGGTAGATAGTGATGATGTCGATGTCAGACTGCAAGTGATGGTCGCCGCACTCATGGTTCGATTTGACGGTTGCGGGCTACGTGAGACGACCAAAACGATCCAACATATGGAGCGGCTAGGGAATCGTAGGTTCTTCGCGGTCGATGGCTGACAGGGGAATCAATAGGATGGAAATCTTTTAATTTAAGATTAACGCGCTCGGGGAGAGATGCGGACGAGTCTAATAAGTAAGGTTACGCGGCGGGATGGTGGAGGGGATTGGTCGCAATTCGTCGGCCTCAAGTCCGTCAGTTGATCTAGTGTCGGGGAGGCGTGTGTGCGTGGAACGACGGCAGCGGCGATAGGACCAGAGCAGGTGCAGAACAAGGCCAGCTATGTTAGGTATTTATCTAGCTCAGGTGCTGGTTCCGGAGGCGAGACCTGGAAGCACGTTGAACGTGGGAAGCTGGGCGAGTCGATTGAGCCCGACACTTTCTTCGGCGGAGGGTCAATGTCGATGGATGTCTTGGTGTGTGGTTGTGGTGTGTCTCGTCCTGTATGATTCGACTGACTGCGGCGCAGAGCGAAGCAGTCAACGCCGACGGTGCAATTTTAAAGGCACCTAGCGTGGAAACGGCGACGATGCGGAGAAATGATGCGGCACAGGCAATACTGACAAAAGCGTGTGAGCGGCCCTGAGCCGGCGAAGTGGAAGGGGGACTGATGTCGACGGGATGAGACGAAACCCTTTCGCGGTGGTGGTGGAGAGGGTAGGATGATTGGATTGATCGAGGAACTGGAGGTGATCTGACAAAGGCTGATGATCTAGCGTGTGGCGCAAACCGCAAATAGGTAGGCAGAGAGGACAGCACTGTACTGGGCACGCAGGGGGGTATGATGTGCAGTAGTTGCAGAGGGGTGCACTTCAGACAGACGTCGTCGCTCGTAGTGTAACGTAGGAGAATGCCCGCAACGCGCCGACCTGAGGCTGGAAGGGGCCTCTCCCCTTCTCGCTCCCAATTGCGGTACTGGATCCCGCACTTGAGTTGCAGTGTACTCCGTACATCGCAGAGGTATCGGGGAGAGGTACCGATGTCCGGGGGGTGGGGGAGAAGTGGATCCCAGCGATGGCCAATAATGGCAGCATTTTGTCAAGGAACATGGGATGACTTCCCTACGACATGAGCGCGAAGGGAAAAGACAAAAAGATCAAAGAGAAAAAGGAAAGGACAGGAAAAAAAAAAAAAAAAACTTAAACTTTAATGAGACCTTAGCCATCCTTGTAGCGCGCCGAAAAGGTAAATGCCTAGGTAAAAAAAAAAAAAAAAAAAAAAAAAACACGGGACGGAAAAAGAAAGTGCAAATATAGAATTAGAAGGGTTGCATCAGACTAGAGCGCTAGACGTGGCTCTGGGCTCTGACGGGTAACACAAACACCGCCTCTCTTCATCCTTCACTGTGGTGGTTCTGTCCATCGCAGTGCTCGGCGCTTGATGAAGGGCCTTCGAACCGCGAAGGTGACTTCAACTTGATTCAATCTGAAGGACGAAACAAAAGAGACACGTGAAGCTGAGAAGAGAGGTGGCCGAAAGAGCCAAGCCAGGGGCGTTTTGGCGTTGCTGCCAAGCTGGAGCGTCTCGAGTCTGATAGGGGGTCCAATGGGGGTGTGCAAAAGGTGGGGGGATTGTCCACTGAGGACCAGCAAAGTCCGACGTCTGCACATCTTTGGATGGTGAGACAATCCCAAGGGCCTGCATGGGAAGAACTTCTTCCGCTGCAACATACCAACCGGCTTTTCCGTCTGTGAACCCCCCTTCCAAACTTTACCGCATCACCGGCCGAACCCCACTGGGAAAGCAATGAAGACAGAAAATGGGGGAAAGCATGGCTCAAAACAAGAACATTCCAAATCAGACAGCACCAAGCAGGCAGGCGGGCAGCGCATGCTGAGGAGAACAAGGTTGGGCGTGAGGGGTAATCTGGAGACGTCTTTTCGGGGTCGGAGTCGAGATGGGTGAGAAGCTCAAGACAGGCATGGCGTAAACCTACCGGTACTGACCGGAACCCTGAGAGCAAGGCGTCAGCCGTAGCCACCTCATGCTTCCGAGGGAATTCGTCTCCCGAGGTTACCGGCAGTTGTCCCAAGCCAATCATGTGCAACTCTCGAGCAGGATTTTCGATAGTATTTTTGGGACATTCCAGAAGCGAGGCAAGAACAACGAATGGCATGCCCCTGCCAGCCTGTGTCGCCCGTGTTCCTCTGGTGCACCTTGGAGCTGGAAGCTTCTTGAGTACGGGTGACCCTGCCTGGCGTCCACTAGGACAGGCCGTTTTCCCAGAGACGGACAAGGGAGAACCTATCGTGGCTTCCGAATGCCGTTGCCGTACTGGTAGTCGTTGCGTGCTGCAGTGCTTCGAAGGGGGTTCCAATTGGGAAATGGCAACCGACAGCAGAGCGCAGGGCAAGGAGAAGCATTGGCGCGCAGTTCTTTGCCGATATGTTGCTGCCGAGTCGTGGCACCGACGACGTCGCGGGAATGCCTGGTGTCTCGTTTTTGCTTGAAGCAAAGGCCAGGTGACTGGGTGGAAACATACCAGGGTCCTGATTGAGGGGACCGAGCGTCGATGGGTCTAGCCTCTGGAGGTCTGTTGGATGTGTCTGTGTAAAGTCAGGCTGCATTTCCCCCTTCTCTTTGAGCACCATCAGTGCTACGATGCGCATGTGCTTGACTGAGGAACTCCCGACCAAGAGCGAGGAAGACCGAAAGCAACCGAAAGCGACCGAAGGAGAGAATGAGAGAAAGAGAGACTAGGTGGTGGTTGCATCTCATCGTTGGGCAGTGGCGTTCAGCACGGTCCGGTCCCTGGCGCCAGTCGAAGACCGCCTTATCAGGTTTCCAGGTTGACACTTGAGACCCTGAAAAGAAGGCGCTGCTGCAACCGCAAGGGTGACGTGAAAAGCCATAATCTTGGCGCGCACTTTCGGATTCCCGTCAACCCGTCTTGGGCGAACAGGCTTGCGGCTTATGCGTGTCGCGTATCTCAAACGATAGCTCAGAGCGGGGGTTGTGTTGTCGTTGCGAGAAATGACCCCCTGCCATCGTGCCGTCTTGGAATGTTGGCATCTTTGACGAAAGCAGTCGAAAGTGACATGCTATTCTTGTCTTCTTTGTCGCCTGGCGATCCTCATGGGTAGTGGGCCGGTGGCTTTTCCCGCTGGTGTTGCTGCCGCTTTCGGGCTCCTGGACTGCTCGGCACGGATGCTCCGCCGGGATTCGGGATGAATATGCATTGGAGCTGCATGGTCAACGTTGAACATCGTCAAAAACTCGGTTGTCACTAGCTGATAGACCCAATTAGTTTGATTCGTGTCGAGAAAAGGGGTAGCCGTCGTTGGTAAAGCAATATTGGTCCATCGTTCGTAAGTCGAGGGAGTGATGCCATTGTTCGTGCTTGGTAGGCGGGGAAAACATAACCTCACAACGATACCAAAGACTAGAGCACACGTAGACGATGGAAGTTCCAGCGGAGGAACAAGAGGGAAGGACGGGCCGGCCGTCATAAATAGCAGGAAGGGAGGGGGAAAAAAAAGGCCCCTCGACCAGCTGCACCCAGCCCCAGACGGGATCTACCTAATCTATAATTAATCGGTCTCCTCTCTGCTATTGTTGCCAGAGAGAAGAAAATAGGACAGAGAGCTGCGGTCTGTGTTTGCTGCTGCTCGGAATCCCAGGGTTCTCATCATAATCAGGCCATGAGGATCCTGAAGTGGCCTGACTTCCCACTAATGTCGCTCCCCCCATTGGCTCCGCTTTGCCGTTTGCGCTTCGCACTACTATCCCAACGTGGCAACCAAACCCTTGTGCCCCTTATGCCCCTTTGGTGCGTTGTGAACTTGTGATGTATTCGCCAATCGAGCCCCGATGGGCATAGGAATCCTTGCGCTCGCGTGTTCCTCGCCTATGGCGCGTTCTTTTGGAGGACGCGATCCGGGGGGTGGGTTGTATTCGTTAGTAGGGCTTATTTTACACCGACCTGGCGCGGGCCGTGTGACCCGAGATATTGAGCAGCGCAGATCCGAAACTATCGATATCGCAGATCACCAGGCCTATCAAGACCGGCTGAAATTGAACCTCGCCGGGTCGTTTCGACTTCAGGCTCATAATATGTGAGGAACCGGAGAACCCAATATGATGGATGCCCTATGGTTTACCAACTATTCGACTTGCAAGTGACCCGTTTCGCCCATTTTATTTTTATTTTGTTTCTCGCCCCGATATGTATCCAATAACAGGCATTATACGTTTTATTAGTCGTGCTACCGCAACTTGCATTCGGCTTTTTCTCCCATCGCCAGCGCTTGAGTACCAGCACACCATACCATAACCCGAGACCATGAACCCAGAAACCCCCGCGGCCTCAGGAGACCCCCTGGCCGAGCTCATTACCACGTACAACGAGCTCAACGGCGCTTTCATCGACGAGTTGGACGAGGAACCGAGCCCCCTCGAGTTTATGCGCTACGTCGCGCGCAACACACCCTTCGTCGTTCGCGGGGCGGCGTCCTCCTGGCAGTCGAACAGGACGTGGGATAAGGATTACTTGGTGCAGATGTTCAAGGATCAGACCGTCAACGTCGCGGTGACGCCGTTTGGGTGAGTGGAAAGGTCTCACGCGTCTCACATCCCGTAGCCTGGGGGTGTCTGTCGTCTCGTCATCGTCGGCTTACACGACGTACATAGCAACGCCGATGCCCCGACTGAGCACGACGGGGACGTCGTCTTCGCAAAGCCACATGAGGAAGACCAAGACTTTGAAGAGTTCATCAACCACGTAATCGACCAAGAAAGGAGCAGAGACACAGCCTCGGAAGTCCGATATGCCCAGACCCGTACGTTGATCGCTCCCATCCGTAGTCACTCGAGCTCACTTGATGTGAGAATGAGAGATGCCCTCGAGCTTCATATTTATTCCTCTCTTATGCATCGCCATTTCTCAAGTACAACCCGCTTCATCATGCTGCTCTCTCTCACGCAGCCCCCCCCCTCATCCCGCCTATCACGATAAAAAATTACAAAACTCATGGAGACGAACGTGAACTCACGCACGCCCCCTTTAGAAAACGACAATCTCCGCAACGAATACCTCCCCATCTCCTCCCAGGTACCGCCCTCGATCCCCTTTGCCCGCATTGCCCTCGACCGCGACCCGGATGCCGTGAACCTCTGGATCGGCGCCTCGCGCTCCGTCACCGCGCTGCACAAGGACAACTACGAGAACATCTACGTTCAGGTTCGCGGCCGCAAGCACTTCGCCCTACTCCCACCCTGCTGCCACCCCTGCGTCAACGAGAGGGCCCTTACGCCCGCGACTTACGTCCGTCGGGACGGCCGGTTGGAGCTGACCCTAGATCGTGCCGAGGACGGGGTCGGCGGACCACCGGACGCGGTTCCTTTCGCGACGTGGGATCCGGATCTCCCAGGCGTCAATGCGACGCCCTACTCCCGCCTCGCCGAGGCCGTCCGAGTCACCTTGGAGCCGGGTGACATGCTCTATCTCCCCGCTATGTGGTACCACAAGGTTTCGCAGTCCTGCCCTGAAAACGGAGACGGCTTCGTCCTGGCCGTCAACTACTGGTAAGTCATTAACCCCCAAGAACACCTAACCAGTCCTCTTCCGTGTCATAGGAGTCTAATATCATTTCCAGGTACGACATGGAATTCAGTGGACCGCTATATCCTATGAGCGCCTTTGTCAGAAACGTCGGCCTCCAAACATGACATCAACGACATCGACAACATTTGGGGTGATATAACGAATGGCTAGACGCCCTCCAATGAATAGAATAATCAGCGTTTTCGCCGCTTAGTTGAGTCTCTTCTCAACCCTAGCATGTGCCTTCACCATATGTACAAATGTGTATGCGCGATATACGCCCTGATTACCTCGAGAAGGTGGTTTTTTCCTCTTTCGTTCTTGCCCTAACCACTGTTCAAGGGTTTGCACTTTTCTCTTTTCTTCAATTCCAGCTTCCATCAAAAGAATTCGGTATCAGCGCAAGGTCTTGTTTTCGACCCGCCTGATCCTGGAGATGGATCAGAAGCCCCTTTCGACCCAACATGAACGCCGGAACCCACCCTGCAAATCTCAAAGTGAATCATGTTACACTTTTCCCCACCCTTGCCCCCAGAAATCTCGTCTCCTTTCCTGTTGCCTTTGCCTTGGTTATGATGCATATAGTATAAACGCAGAAGACAGATCCAAGTGGGTATGCGTCGAAGTGAAGAAACAAGAGGCGAAAAGCAAGCCTGCCCCCACTAGACGAGACTGCAAGTCAAGTCCCAACTCCAGCAAGCAATTTGGCCTAGGAAATACAAAGAGTGGATGCAAAATGAACTGCCCGCCCACCAAAAACACCTGAAAGCATCGACCCGGATTAGTTGAGGAATCCTTTACACGCTGCCGTACCACACAGGCAGGGAATGCGATCCAGGCTGCCAATTTCACGCTCAAATTTGTAGTCATACGTCAGCTCCTCGTCTGCGAATGGTTAGCTCCATGTCATGCTGAAAAACGGGTTGCAAACAACGTACGTTGACCAATGTCGCGGAGGGCGTAGATGACGATCCGCTTGCTTCCGTCGACCTTGATGATCTTGGCTGTGCAGTTGGGCATACAGCTGTGGTTGATGAAACGGGCGATGCCGCCCTTCTTGGTGGCGTCGATGACCGTGTTGTCGTCAATACGGAACAGATAACTGCTGCCCATACCGCTCTTGAGGTAGCGCTTTTCGCGAATCTCTGAGATGGATTGTCTGACCTGTTCTCCGACATACTCGATGATCATGTCGTCCTTGTTGATGTTTTCCTCTGTGTACAAACCCCAGTTGTGAATCGCGGACCGGGCAAACTTGACAGGCTTCTTCCGCTTTTTAAGCTGGTTGAACTTGAAGGCATCAGAGTCGCCCGATATCTTCTTCTCGTCCTGGAGTGCTGACACGTGACGACGATTGTTGGCGCGGTTGGCTCTTGAGTTGCCCTTGGCGACAACCTTTTCTGCCGCAGTGAGCCTGCTGGCCTCAATTGCAGCGTCCTTACCATCCCTCTGGTACTTGGCTTGACGTGCCTCTCTGGCCTTTTGGACCTTGATGTGGTGGGGTAGGTACTTGGACTTTTCGGCGTTGAGTATCTTCTTGACTCCTTCGGTTCGTGCAGCCCCGGTAGCGTTTGGGACATAGTAGCCATCAATGCCTACGGCCTGGTCGACCGACCCGGAAGGGGAGTTAAGCTCCCGTACACGATTGCGCCGCCATAACCAGAGGAGCGGGTCTCCGAGGTCTGCTCCAGCAAATCTCTTCCTGAGTTTGGTAACATCAGGGCCATCGCATGCGGACAGCGCGAACTCTTGTAACGCGGAAATGCTAAGTTTGAAATCGCCAGACAAATCGAGAGCGGGGGTGGGCGTAGTCGAGAATAAGGCCGGATCTACCTTCGTTGGTAGCGGCAGCGGCTCTGGTTCCTCATCCTTGGTCTCTATTGGCACCGGCTTGACCTCTTCTGAAAGAGTCTCGGTCGGGGCTTGTGTTTCCTCCTCCACTTCCACTTCCACGGGTGTCGGGATATGCTGCTTTTTGAGCGCCTCCCTTTCCTCAAACATCTGTTTCTTCGACTTCTTCTTCGACTTCGTCTTCTTGGCTATACCCTTAGAAGTTGACAGTGGAGTCTCGGATCGAGTGCTCTGTGCATCGAGCAAATCGGCGTCAGGGGTAGCCTCTTCCGAGATCTCATGAACCAGCAACTCGGGTTCGACACTGTCTAGCGTGACCCCAAAGAGCTCCTCATCGGACTTTTTCTGACGCTTGATTGCCGACTGGATCTCGAGATCTAGTTTTCTCTTCTTCGTCACTGTCAGATTTTCGCCAATAGCAAAGCTTGCTTCGGTCATGGAGTCTTCCTCCGCTGGTCCCCAGGAGACAAAGTCATCCTTGACTTCGTCATCCGTGCTCATACGGCTGCGCGGCCTAGAGTCGGGCTCTTCGGTATCTCTCGCCAGAGACTCTCTGATTGCAGCCTCGTCGTCAGATTCGGCGTCACTGTCGTAGCTCTTGAGACGGTGGTGCAGCGACCTGAACGCATTGCGACTTTGCGGCACCCGCTTGCGCGAGAAAGGATCGGTGAAGCCATGGTGGCGTGATCCTCCCTGAGCAGTAGCCTTGGCCTTACGGATTCGAGGCAGGGCCGATATCTCCAGACGACCTGTACGACGCTCGATGGGGTCTGCGCCTGAGTTGGGCGTGCTGACACCGGGGCTCTCATCACCAGCGTCGACAGTGACAGATGGAACAGACCCGACTGGATCTTCCAGATGCAGCTGCCGTCGCTTTGTGACGTGGTTTAAAGGGTCCAGGAAAGTGGTCAGAGTAGGAGCAGCAACCCTCGTACGGATGTGCTTGATCAGATGCTCCGCCAGTTCCCGGGTGACCACCTCACAGGCTTCGAGGACAGGATCAAAGTTTTTAGCTCTTTGCCGCTTCTCCTCCTCTACGTCTGCCTCTTCTTCTCGACGACGACGGTCTTTGTCCTCCCGTAGTCGCACATCACTTCGGCGCTTGCGTTCGGGGCTTGGGGTTCGTCGTCTGGGCGGCGGGGCGGCGGAATCGGAATCTCGACTGGTCGTGGGTGGAAGGGAGAGCTGCATCACCATGTTGTAGGTGAACAGGTCGGTGTGATTAGCAGCCCTGTAGCATTTCATAGCTTCGTTGCGGCCATGGTAGGAGTTGGGGAACAAGATGTAGTAGCCAGTACGGTCAATGCGGATATCTTCAAAAGCGAACGCTTTAAGTCGCTTCTTCATGTGAGGTATCGTCGTAATCATGACGGGAACATGCTCGTGGGCAACAAAGATGTAGGGCTCGCACGCGAGTTGCTTTGCAATGATTTTCTCCTCGACAGCGACGTGCATCTTCGGTTGGCTTGGCACCCAAGCGGGAACCCCTGCCACGGCCTGCCTGTGGGAAGACGGTCCCTTTGGTGCCATGGGCGGCGGTCCAGGGATCTTGTCGGACACGATCGCTCGAGGGCCTGTCGGTGGCGCCTTCGTGATGGAGGCCTCTTGCGCAACTCTGTCTTTGTTGAGGGCATCCTCCAGCATTTGTCGGCTCTTCTTGCCTTCAGGATCATATTCGACTCGGATTTGGTTCGCCTCAATGCGCTGCCCATGCATCGACTTGACGGCTCGGCGCGCGGCATCAATCGCCTTGATAGAGGTGGGCCTCGACCGGCTGGGATGCGCATCCTTGTAACGGAACGTTGCGAACCCTAGGTAGCTACCAGTCTCAGGATGCATCTTGTTGCTGCTCTCTGCAATGTCTCCAAAGGTCGCGAAAGCCGCCGTCACTTTGGAAAATGTGATTAAGGGATTGAAGCCAATAACGACAATCTGTGTTGGAGGCCCTGGCCCGATGGAGGTCTTGGGGTCGTAGGGGTACGGTCTCAAGTTGTAGGGCGATTGTCGCAAGCGAGACTTGGGGAGGTGGAAATCGGTATTGATGTAACCCAGTCGCCCGCCCTTTGCAAGGCGAGGGTCGGGAGGAGGGGGGTCATCTTCCTACTCAGTTTATTAGCCAGAGCTCTCACGCGCAAGATGACGCCCCCCCTCCACGGGGCGGGTATATTGTGTTTGTACATACCAATCCAAACTCCTTATATATCGGCTTGGCATCTTTCCTGCCATGCTTCGACAGGGTCCGGTCGATATTGGGGTCATATGTGCACTTGATGCCTTTTCGCGATCGAGTAGGATCTCGCGCAGGAGTGCGCTCAATCAAAGGATGTGGTTCCGGGATTTGTGAGCTGTTCAGGCGTGATGGAGGGATATTTTGAGAGGCCGGTGCCTCACCCTGATCGGTATTATGTACTTGTAGCATATTCGTCTTCGACAGGCTGACATTACCCGAGTTGGAGGGTGATTCAACGGACGTGGGCGGCGTGCCGCTAGATGTAGGGATATAAGATATACCGTTGGGAACAGCTTGCCGCGCAGTCGTGCTCAGGACGGAGGAGACAGTGCTCTCATAGGAGCTCGCAGACCCAACGGTGTTGAGAATATCTCCTATGGGGGACTCGCGGCCGGCGGTTGGCTGTTGCGAGGTGTCGGAAAGTAGGCCATCAGCTCCGGATGTTCTTCCGCCACTCGTGCCGTTGGGCAAAGGGGTGCTGCTGCTGCTTTTCGGACCAGCGATCGAGCCGCCTGTTGTATCTTGAATCTTGGCCTTTGCCTTTTCTCGTTCGGCTCTGTCCTTGGCGACGCGGGGGGCTGCAGGGAAGAACTGCGCGAAGCTCGCCGAAGATTGGCGGGTCATCGTGAGATTGTTCTGCTTCTACCGCACCCGCCTGCCACCAAACATCGTCTCTCTTGTGTACCGGATGGTTCAAAGAGCACGGTTCATCGCCAAAGCCAGCGGCTGTAGAAGTGTAGCGAAGGGACGAAGCGCGTAATCGATGTTCACGCGACTGAGGCGTAGCCACCGATACGGGCGGTTGGCAAGGGGCAGGAGCCCAACTACGTCATCCAAAGAAGGAAGATACCCAGTCGCAAAGGGATGAGGTTCGATATAATCAATCGGAAAAAGTGCAGATGAGGCCGGATAAGTCGTGCGCTGTGACCGATAGACAGTGAGGCTGGAGAAAATGTAGCAGTGAGGTCAGAAAGTTGGAGGTTGAAGAGTGTCCAAACTCTTCAGGGATGCGATTTAGCGGAGACCAGCCACGGAACAAGGCGAGAGAGGACCGTAATAGCGTTACGCATGGATGTTCTAGGTAGGTACAGACAGGACCTGAACTCTGAATCATGTACCACTCTGCAAAATTAAAGCGGCTGGGTACATTGAGTGGGCTAGCCACGCAGTAGCCGGCACGTGACCCAATCGCGTCGAACAGTCCACTTCTTTTTCGCGTCTGTCAAGGGGGAAAGCGACAAGGGCGCCACAGAAACGAACTTGTTCTTTGGGGCAAGAACCAGTGAGGTATCTCATGTGTCCTTTGCTCGGAGACAGTTTCTTGGTTGTGCATCTACCTTCATAAGCAGCACTTCCTAGGTTGGCACCACTTGAAACAGTCCTAGGCTTTCCGCATACTCAACATATGAAAGCAATCAAAATAAAAGTAGCCGCGGCCCCTTCGACAATGACCACGCAGCCGTGTTAATCATGTTTGCTTAAAAATGCCATTCCATTCAGTGGTCAACAAAATAAATACAATGTTGTGATGAGCCTTATTCCGGACACATTCTTTGGTCGCCCGTTCGACCTTCTTCTTACGGGTGTAATATTGGGTAACGATGTCAGCCAAACGCCTCCTGGTCTCCTGCCACCCGGTTGTTGTACAAATGAGGCCAATCCTGTCCAAACGCCCTCTAATGACCTGATTGAGTGATCAGAAACTCAACTTCATTTCAAACTCCTCACCCTCCTCAAAGTCTTCATTTCGTGGACCGGCGCTACCGATACCATCATCCTCATCTTCTCCAGCGGGGTCAAAGATGGACAAGAACTGCAACCGGCTGAGATCCTCGTTCTCGTCACGAACCTCTAGCTTCTGTTTCTGAGGTGATGCGTCACGCCTAACAACGGTCTTCTGGGAGGCAATCGTGGAGATATCTGTCGAGGCTGGTCGGGCTCGAGCTCGTCCACTGATAACGGATGAGGCCGTGCGGCCCTTTGTATATCCCAGAGTGTTTCTCGACGCTGCTTCTCCTACGGCGCTCTCGGCAGCTGTAGACTTTGAGGCTATGGCGCCAGCTGCGGGTCTGGCACGTGGAAGCAGGGCAGAAATAGGCCTTCGGGCTGTAGGCTTCTGCTCCACAGTCCTCTTCTGTTGAATAGTGGAATTCGTCGTCATAGAAAGAGCAGACGCGGCCCGTCTAGAGGTAATGGTAGGAGGATATTTAGGGGCACCTCCCACGACTCTTCTAGTGACGGCCGGGTTGGGGGCCGGGGCGGGGGCCTTTCTTTGGGAAAAGGCTGCAGTCTCGGGTACGTCGGAAACGGACCAGTCCATTTCCCGAATGTCACGGAGAATGCGCTCATCACTCTCCTTCAAGGCTTTCTTGAGGTTTTCCTTGTGCTTCCTGTCTTGCAACCTGACACCGTCTTCACCCAGGGGGTTGTAGAAGTGGTTGTAATAGCCCTTGAACATATTCTCCGGCTTGAGGCCCTCAAATGTCAAAACTCCATCGGGAAAGACATCCGACTCGTAAGGCAGATCCTTGGCGGGGACTGGCGCATACTCGACGTCAGGCTCCTCGACCACGCCAGATTGGTCATTGCGAACTTCGAGCTTCAAAGGGCCGACGCCGGGAGAACGCTGCTTGAGCTTCTTGGTAGTTGTAGGCTTTGTCTGGGTCTTCTCAAGGTCCTTTCCTCCGGCATTCTGGGTAGACCTGGTCTTTGCGTTGGTGGTCTTGTTTCCGAGTGGCGCGCGAGCCCGTGTTTCTGACAACAATGTCAGTCTCTTTCTTTTTCTTAGCCACAAGCCAAGGAAATTGTACCTGACGGGGTGACGAGGTTCTGCTTCTTGACAGTGCCATGGATGTTACCATTCGACTTGGGCGCAAGAGCCATCTTGGCTCCTCCAGCGGCATTCTCGTCGTTGAGGGGAATCTTCAAGGGCGTCTTCGGGTATCGAGCCCCGGGGGTCTTGGGGGCCAGCTGCCCTTTTCCAGGTGCCAGTCGAGCGGCCTGAGCTGCGTTGACAGCGTTCTCGTCGCGAAGGGCCAACATTTTCCCTGGAGCCGAATGCGAAAGTGTCGATCGATGTTTCTGGGGCTGTTGGTGTCGTGAAGCGTCGTCGTGTATATCGGTGAATAGTCGTTATTCAGTCCCTTGTATTTTGGGGCTAGCCGCGTCGGTGTCGTTCAGAATGAAAGAGATGGGAAACGGACCCGTCTGTTTTGAGGCTGCGTTGTCAGGGCAACGAGCTAAGAAGAAGCTCAGACCCTGCGGAAAGCCCCGTAGATAGAATGCTCACTTCTCGGAAAGCATCACCAAACTGAAACCCCACCTGACTAACCCCACCCCACCGCTCGGGCCTAAGCTAATCCAATTGCAGCTGCCTTCCAGTGTGAACATCAGGCCTGGCAAGCCTGGCTCTGTGCCGGCATGCTGAGTGAGGGTGGTCCGCCACAAGTCACACAGTGGGAGCGGACTTGCATGCAGAGGGGCAGTTATTTCAACACCTCACACTTCCTCTCGCTTCCATCCCCCGACAATCGCGACTTCCAATCCCGTCACATCCTCAACACTCCTTATCGCAATCAACCTGCACCAACTTGACCACAGTCCAAAGCCACTTGTAGCTCATTATCATCATGGATCGCATCAAGGAGGTAAGTGAACTGTCCTCGTTCGAGCCCCACCCAGCTGCTACCGGCGGTCTGGAGGGGTAGGATATCCCCTTACGACGCCGTGTCATCGGTTGCTGACGACGACTCTTCCTCTCAGAAAATGAACCAGCTCCGTCTGGAGGCCGACGAGAATGCCGCCAAGGTCGACGAGCTTCAGGCCAAGGTTAAGTCGCTGGAGCAGGAGAACCTGTCCAAGGAGCAGGAGATCACCTCCCTTCAGCACAAGAACGGCCTGCTCGAGGGTGAGGTCGAGAAGCTGGAGACTGCAATTAAGGATTTCAAGAAGGCTGCCGACGAGAGCACTACCACTGGCACACAAAACGAGACTCTTCAGCGAAGACTCCAGCTCCTCGAGGAGGAGGCCGAGGAGGCGGACAAGACCCTTCGGGAAGCCAACGAGAAGTACGTTCTGGACCCTGTTCACCGAATCGACGACACCCCCCTTTTCGCTTCCTGACCCCTTTTGTTCTCATTAAAGTCAGCCCCACCGATGGCCGATGCATACTTACACCGTCTTTTTACAGGCTCAGACAGACTGACGTCAAGGCCGGCCACTTCGAGCGCAAGGTCCAGGCTCTCGAGGTAGAGCGCGACCAGTGGGAGTCCAAGTACGAGGAGATGGCCAAGAAGTATGCGGCGACCCAGAAGGAGCTCGAGGAGTTCCGTAACGAGATTGACAACATCTAAGGCTGTTCTTGAGGGGGCGACGTTTTGTGCAAGGCTTTTTCTTCATGATAGATTTCCGGCCTGGAACAATGTGTTGGCGACCTGATCATGAAGCTATCCCGACAGCGGTAGATTGCAAATGACGGGACGGTTCGCGACCGAGTTATAGCAGCAGCCCTTGTTTTTACTCCTTTTTTTGTAACCCCCGTCAACACCGAGTGTTTGTTCCGCTTCCAAATATGCATGTCCTTTGTTCGCAGCAGACATGAGGGCGACTACACAAAACGACTCAGACCACGCTGGCCGTGAGGCAAGCCCGAGGCAGCAGTTGCAGTAGCAATCAATGCTAAAACCATTATACCCTCCTTCGAACCACTACTCTTTCTTGAACTTTGCCTTCTTTTTGGCTTTTGCCTTCTTCGCGCCCAAAGACCGTTCTAACTTCGTCTCGTAGCGAAATTTCTTCTTTTTGGGCCACTCCTTGCGGGCCTTGGTTGTTGTCGCCTTATCGTTGTCCACCCGCTTCTCTGCCTTGGATTCATCTTGGCTGTCCGCTTCTGCCTCGTCGCTGTCATGGTGGAGCTTTTCGAGCCCGTCCCGCGTCACAGATATGGCCTCGACCTTGACTGTTGTATACCGGTCCTCGTCTATGTACTCGTCTTCGTAGTCCACGACGTCTGCCTGCTCTTTGGGCGCCTCCTCAATGCCGTCCCACTCCTCAAAATCTTCCGCGTTGATCTCCTCATCCTCGTCCGAGTTTGCTGCCTGGGCCTCTTCGAGAATAGCGCTAACAGCTTTGACGTGGTCTTCGACTTCTCGTTGTCTCTCAACTCTGAGCTATACGTGCGGATTGTTAGTCGGAAAGTTTTATAAACAGCCACACCAACATGTAAGGGGCAGGGGACAATGAAACCTGTTTCCCGTACCTGTTTCCGCATTTCAATCTTCTCTTCCCGCGCCTTCTTGGCCGCTTGTTCCTGCGCCCATTTCACCCGTTGCAGTTTGCGCTTGTGGAATCCAGTCAAGTAGTCCTGGCGCGCGTCGAAGTCGAAGTTGACCTCCTCCACTGCCGATACCGCCTTTCTCTTTTTCGACACGGTTGGAAGGACTGACTTCTTTGGCCGGGGTTTGGCGAACATATTGGGGTTCAGTTGGTTGTGCCGTCAAAAACTTGTCGAAGTTTGCTGGTTCACCGGTGGTTTTTGGGCGCTGAATTGAAATTTTTGGGAAGGGTCCTCTGCACCACCAGCCTTGCGGCCGGCGCGCGCGTCCGGTCCTTGCTGCTGCTGCCTCTGCCAGGGCCCACTGGCGCGGGCCAAGCCGAGGGGCTAAATGCGCTGGACAGACCTCGCTAACGTGCACCCGCCACTGAGAACCAGGTGACACCCCGAAGGCTCTACCGCATGGTTTTCAACAGCCATACATGCTGACAATTGTCCGATGGCTATGAGTTTTCCACAGTGTGCATGAGCATTCCGCAACCTGCCTGATGGTAAAATATAGATTGCGTCTACGTGGGTACTAGCTCCGTAAGTCACTGCCAGTCGAAAAGCGAGGGGGCTTTAATGAGGTAGGTCTACAAGGCTCAATTTCCAGCAGTTGAAAACACCTGTAAACACGCTCGGGGAGTGAAGTGGTACAGGGAAGAACATTACACGCTTGCTGCCAAGATCTGCAGCAAAAGGCATCACCGTAAATCAGCCGAGCCCTGCAGTGGTGGTGACTTTTGAACAAGTTTTAATCCCAAGTTAAGGTCAACAGCGGCCAAAAAGCGAGATAGCAGAGGTCGAAGAAATGTTGGTCCCAAGACATCGCTGACGGGGGAGTCTCGTTTGCAATAAGTGATAGTGCACTATTGTCGATAGGCTGATAAGTAGGAAAGACGTTGGAGGACGTGATATGTATCTAAACGAGGGCCACTCAAGTTTTTGATTACGCAGAACACTGCTTAGGCGCATGCCCGCGAGCTACGTCGTCCCAGGAGCTAATCCGCAGCATCACTCCCAGCAGCACGACGAAGGCTAGCCATCGCATCCAAACGGGCAAGTCTCAACACATCATCCAACCATGCGTCTATCAAGAACAGCAGGCCTCATGGCCTTCTGCGCCTCGGCGCAAGCGTTCACCGACTCGTCACCTTTTGTGATGCTGTCAACCGCGAAGTACGTTGAGAAGTCGCCTGCATACCAATTTATCTTCGTCGACATGCTGACATCCCTCCAGCTTCGCGCAGTCGGACCCAGCCCAGCTCCAGACCGAATCTCAAGTCGTCAAATCCGTCCAGGAACTTCTCTCCTCGTGTCCCACGGACCGCTACCTCCTCGTCGCCCAGCCCAACGTCAACGCCGCAGACATCCGTGGCCCGGACGGCGGCGACTGCAAGGCCCCGAACCTGTGCCGCGCGATCGCTAGCAGCGACGTCCACGGTGTCTACAGTGTCGCTGAGGTCGTTGGAGAAGTATCTATCGGTGCGTTGACCGACTACATCAAGACTGCGTGCGCGGGCAAGACGGTCGAGATCGAGCAGACCCGACTAGCCCCCCTCGGACATGACACTCGCGAGAGGGCCAGCACGCTCGCCGACAACGACTACGTCCTGGGACGCAATCTTGAGAAGATACGTAGCGATTCGGACTCGTACACCGTCATCTATCTTGCTAGCCCATCCGAGCCTACCTACCAGGCCGAGTTCACTGGCGAGCCTCTGCACGCCGAGCTCAAGCGCCATGAGGCGAGCATGCTGCATGCCAGGAAGGATAAGAACCAGACCGAGTGGAATAAGCTTCCCCTCTTTGAGAAATACGTCTTCTTCTCTCCAGGTAAGTACTCGTTGGAAACATCCTCCACACTTTGTAACCTCGCAGAAACTGGAGAACTGACAAGTGCATAGGCATTTTCCACGCCATCGTTGCCTCCATTATCCTCTTCAGCATCCTTGGTGTCGCCATCAGGGCCCTTGCAAGCCTTGAGATTCCCTATGGGGCTTTCGAAAAGGAGAACGGCCCCGCCGCTCATAAGAAGGGCCAGTAGATGTATACCGTATACGCCCACAGGAGCATTCAACGAATGCTTCCACGGCGACCCGTGTATTTCAACTTGGGAAAATCGTCAGGAGTTACTGGCTGGCTTTGACATGTTTCGAGCAAAGGAGGTGAGGACAGCATGGCATGAAGGGCGGATTGCGAAAGTGCGGTTTGAAGAGACCCGATGCAGTGTTTTCGCAAATCGCATGAATGTGTATTTCTATAACAAATGGACTTTTTTTTCACTCTTGTGGCCGCCCATCCCCACTAGACCTCTTCATGATGTCGATGAAACGCCGTAAACGCCTCCCTTCTCAAGTCCGATATGGCCGTCTCAAGTCTTTGCAGCTCCGGTGCCCGCAAAGACCGTCATCGCAATCCGTCGTCGCCCCCCTTCAAGACCTGCACTACATTGGGCCTAAACCAGATGGCTCGGCAGCAGGAAGTTGGCGATACCCTCGCGGATGGCGTACTCGTGCCCGCACTCGCCGCAGACGAGCTTGCCCTCCATGATCTGCGTCTCCATGAGCAGATGGTGCAGGTCCTTGAGCATCTTCTCGTCACCCTCGAGCTGCTCCGCCGAGGGGGGCTCGGAGGGGAGTTCGGGGAAGCCCAACTTTTTGCGAGTCGTCAGTGCCATTCTACACTTCGTCGATGGCCCGAGACAACGGGTTTTCTTTCAGATATGAAACAGCACAGCATGCCAAGAAACGAGACATCCGGAGAAGGCCAAAGTCACAAGATAACATGCGAGAGAGAGAGGGAGGGGGGTGCAAAAAAAGAAATTGTAATACACAAGGTAAGAAAATGAATTAAAAAACATACCTCGGTCGCGTTCGTTCGCAGGGCGGCCCAGTCTAAGCGGGGCAGGACGTTGAGCAGGAGCTGGGGGTTGACCTCGATGTCGTCCTGCACCAGCTCCGCGTCCTTGGGGTGTAGGGGGAACGAGGCCGCCGAGGATTTGCAAGTCTTAACCGCGCAGGTCAGAAAGTTTAGGCTAAGAATCTTCATTTTGTTTCTTTCTTTTGGGGGGGCGGGCGGGGAGATGGTCGTTGTGGTATTTTCCTAGTCTATTAGATGTTGTTTGAGTCGAAGTTTTGGCCTTCATGGAAATTTTCTGGTACCCCACACGTGATGCACTTTGGGGATGTGGGCGTATGCAGCTATCGGACTACTCATCCGGGAGAGGACTCGAGACGAACACGATCAACATCACGACATGCACCGCTCAAGGTATCAGCTACCGATACCGTGTAATTTGGCTTGTACTTCTATCTTTTTGGCAAATCTTTTCCTTGTTATATTTCCTTGCCTAATGTTGGTCATTCTCTCCCGCATCCCTTGCCTTTTATGCCATCGTCTTCTCGTGGCCGACACTGTTCCTCAAGGCACGCGACTTGCTGATCTTGAGGTAAACGGCGATAGCGGCAACAACAACGCCAAGGAACATGCCCTTCTGGAGGAGGGACCAGCCCTCACCGGAACCGACCTCCAGAGGGGTGTCCTCGTTGGAGTAGCCTGCCGCCCATTCGCTATTGCCGAATTCGCCTGTAGAGCCAGGGGGCGTAGCCATCAGCAAACCACGTACGATTCGTTTTGTTCATTTTGGTGCAAAGTCATCAAGAGGCAGAGATTGTATGGTACATGGATGTGTCGGGTTTGGTGAGGAAGACGGAGACGTGAGGGATAACGGGTGTCATAGTACGTGCTCAGAGTTCCACGTGGATACCTTCAGGGGGCACCTCCAGCTCTCCGCTCTTGGCGATCTTGATCGTCTTGACGGGGCGGTCGCCAGGCTGGGTCTGGGTCTGCTCAATCTTCTCGACGACGTCGTAGCCCTCGAGGACCTCGCCGAATACGACGTGGCGGCCATCGAGCCAACTGTGGTTCTCGGGTTAGTACTGCGGTCCGGCTGGGTGGCTCGTGCATTGGGAGTGGTAAGCTTACGAGGTGACGACGGTGGTGATGAAGAACTGGGAGCCGTTGCTGTCCTTGCCGGCGTTGGCCATGGACAAGATACCCTTCTTGGAGTGCGTGAGCTTGAAGCTCTCATCGGGGAACTTCTCGCCGTAGACTGTGGTCCAAAGCGTCAGCCGTCAATTCCCACAAGGTGAAAGTTTTGCTGGGGGTCACTTACTAGATTTGCCACCGGTGCCGTCGCCCTTGGTAAAGTCACCGCCCTGGATCATGAACTGCTTGATAACACGGTGGAAGGTAGAGCCCTCGTATCCGAAGCCCTTCTCGCCGGTAGCGAGAGCGCGGAAGTTCTCGGCCGTCTTAGGAACACTTTTGCCGTAGAGGCCCATGACGATGCGGCCGAGAGGCTCATCTCCTTCGGTAATATCGAAGTAGACCTTGTGGGTGATCTTGGGGCCCTTGGTGGCCTCGGCGGTCTGCGCGAAGAAGACCAGAGCCACGCCAGCAAGGAGGAGAGCGGAGACGAGTTTCCGCAGAGTAAACATGATGGGCGACGAGGAGGGGTCTATCGTTGGGTGACAGAGTTCGGTGTTTGGTGATGCAAAGAGCCGTCTGGAGCGATGGCAAGTTATCTCCAGGAGGACAGTGTGTTAAATAAGAGAATACTCTGGGAGCGCTGGCTGCTTAGGAGCAACGTTTCAAATCTCCCCTCCCTGAAGCACGCGAATAAAGAACTGGAGCTCGGACCCTGACAGCCGAGACTGCCCAATGGGGAGAGGCAATCCGACTAAGTGGTCTGCGTAGGGGCGGGCGCGTGGGGTCGCAGCGGTGCTAACGGAATCCGTCAATGCAGCGCAAGGTCTATCGCCACCTAGAGGCTAGAGCAGCATCCAAATGTCGCCGGCCAGCATGGGTCCACTATTTTCCGGCGCCCGACTCTCCGTGGCCGGGCTCTGTGATTTCTGAGTTTCGCGATTCCAGTATTTGGTAGTCGAAGCAGACTGAGGTGACACAATAATCGATCGTCTGGCTACAACATAGCAGCATACCGACAAGATGGTATGTTTTAGACCTTCTTTTTGTCGCCCGGACCGAGACTAACCCATTTTTCTCACAGGTTTTCATTCTTGGAGTCAACTTTTCCGAGCAGAAGCTCGTGAAGGTATGGCCATTTGCTTTCCCATGACCGACAACGACGTGCGACTTGCAAGTTTTCTACGGGCAATGCTAACCCTGAATGCCTCGCCACAGAAGGCGCTGGAGTCTTTCTTTGCACTCGGGCCGACCACATCGCACCGCATCCTGGCCAAGTACTCGATCCACCCGATGGCCAAGGTCGGCACCCTGGCCCCCAAGACCGTCACGGCCCTGACGGCAGAGTTATCGACGATGACGATAGAGAACGACGCGCGGAAAGTCGTACAGCAGAACGTCATGAGACTAAAGGACATGGGAAGCTACCGGGGGAGACGACACGCCATGGGCCTGCCCGTCAGAGGTCAACGGACGAGGACCCAGATCGAGTCAGCGAAGAAGCTTAACCGCGCGGATAGAAGATGGTGAGCGAGCGGCACGGCTGGTTAAGAGGGAGAGGATGCATGGCTTGGAGTTTTGAGAAGGGTCTCTTGCCTGAGATCATCGACTGTACAAGATAGACGGGTGTGTGGAGCACCTAGGCATGTATGAATATGATATAACTATACCACTTGTACTGCCACAAAGGTGGCGATCAACGATGTTTTGCTAGGCTGAAATAGCCAAGTGCTGTCACATTTGTGCTTCTCTGCCGCAAAAGCAAGTCTCCAGTGACTGAACTAAATAAAGCTGGGCAGATCATCCTCGAGAGGAAGCTCGCCCTCCTTCTGCAACTTAGCCGCAACTGCGTCAACCTCCTTCCAGACGCGAAGAACGTTTCCGCCAACGACCTTGGCCGCATCCTCATCGCTCAAACCCTGCCTCAGCAACTCGGCGACGAGGTCTGGGTACTTGGACACGTCCTCCAATCCCTTGGGCACCGACTCAATGCCATCAAAGTCTGAGCCGAAGCCGACGTGGTCGAAGCCGATGAGGTTACCAATGTGTAGCACGTGCCGGGCAACCTGGGCGAGCGTGGCGTTGCCGGGGAAGTAGGTCGGCAGACCGTTGGCGTTGCCGGACTCGACGCACGTAATGAACTCGGGGGCGAAGTTAACCATGACGACAGCGTTGCGCTGTTTGACGAGCTGGAGCACGTTGTCCTTGACGTTGCGTGGGTGCGGGCACACGCTAAAGGCGGAGCTGTGGGAGAAGATGACGGGCGCCTTGCTGCCCTCCCAGTCCTTGCCTCCGAGAACATCAATCTGTGTCTCCTCGCTGGTGTGGCTATCAGCATACGATCATGTGGAGGTTGTACATGGAGCTAACCTCGTGTGTGAGAGATCAACAATAAGACCGACTCGGTTCATCTCGTGGATGAGGCGACGGCCCGCTGGGCTAACACCATGCCATAGGGGCTCGGCCTTGCGTAGAGGGCTCTCGAGAAGCGCGGCGTCGGCGAACTTGTTGTGACAGTTGTGGGTGAGAGTCGAGTAGCGGACGCCCATGGCATGGTAACGTCGGAGGTTGGCGACCGAGTTGCCGATCTGGTGCAGTCCCTCGACTCCCAGGGGGGATATCAGCTGGCCCTGATGGAAGGCCGCCAGAGCAGCATCGCTGTCCAGGTTGGGAGAGAAGTCCTTGGGATAGGCCTCCTTGATGCGAGTCATAACATCGATCTGTTGAAGAGTCCATTGGACACCTACAGTAACTTGTTAGCAATGGAGGTCGTGGGTAACTGTACAGCTCATATTTACTTTCGGCGTAGTTTGCATCGGAAAAGTCACTGCCATTATCCGGGCATGGAACGAAAACGCTCCAGAATGCCCCCCCGTTCTGCCCCTCACGAAGCCTGGGCAGATCAACATGCTGCATAAAGCCGCCGTTCTCAAAGGGCTCGGTGAAGTTCTTCCCGTAGATGTGATTATTGAAGTCAAACCGTACGAGAATTGCAAGATCATTATGGCCGTCTACGCGGGGTGTTAGTAACCATCTTGGTTCACAAAGTAGCTAGACGGCATCGTACCGATCAGCGGCGTATGGGACAAGATGCTGCGAGCTCTCTGCTCGAAGGTACGGGATGCTCCCGATGGCTTCCTCATTTGATGGTAGCATGACCTCACGGGATGATAGGTGAAAGTTAGAGACAGCAGCCATAGCGCAAAGCACGCGACAACTGCCCTCTTTGCCGGAGACGAGCTTTTGCGAGGGGTCAACGCAGCCTCCCCGCATGCCTCATCGGCTGCCAGACGATGTTTCTCTTCCATTGTTCCTGCGCAGGCTCAGGGTCGACGTGACCAAGTGAGTCTTGGTAGCGAGCGGTTATCCCTGTTCCAACCCTTCATCAGTATAAGCATATCGTTTGGAGGACATGGACCAAGTATTTTACCGTTTAGTGAACGTTGCACATGAATATCAACCCAGGCCAAGATGGGCAAATGTGGTTCTGCAGATGCTTTGCAGAGAGGACGTACGGCGGGGATCGCGTTTCCTCTTACTCATTTCCTATCATGTCACGTCATGACTGGGGTCAAAGCTCCGAGGTACCTACGATTGCACGAAACTCTTATCCGCGAGTCAACCCGGGCGATAAGCAACCAGTTGGGAAGCTCGAAACTGGCCTGAGCACAGGATCCCCAAAACTTTGTTTTTGAGTTTGCCATCAGAAGTATATTGTATGTGATGTTAATAGCGGAACGAGCTGTATGAATCATCGCAGTTGACTAGGAATCCTTACATAGTGAGTGTTGGGGAGGCGATCTTCTGTTGAAGCATTTGGGGGCTAAGGAAGATGGCATAGGGACAAAGAACAAGATGAACGAATGATCCATAACTGGTTTTGAACTTCAGATTGCTCTCAACTTAGGACACGGCCCCTAGTCCTACTCGGCCTGCAACAAAGGATAGGGATGGACTCGACTGATGGTACAGAAAAGCACAAAACACTTCAGCGTTCGAGGCCAACGGGTTTAACTGAATAGCGAAACCAATAAACGGCTTCCTCCAACCCCCAGAAACAAGACAACAGTGCACGTCCTCAACAAGAAACATGTGCGTGCAGCCAGGGCAGACACTGGCCGAGCTACCGACGGACGGTTTAGAATTTCGGGAGCGGGCCATTTTCTATCAGACGAGAAGCTCCAAGTTCCATAGAGCATTGTGACTTCGGACGAGTGCCGGTTCTTGCGTTACGCCTTTCCCCCCACCAACTTCCTCAGGGTTTCCTCGTATGTCTAGCTGTGTGAACAACCACCAACCGAGATAATTACGGGCTCGACCGGGCCAGGGTTGGATGCCGTTGCCCCCCTGGCATCTAGCAGACTAGGCCTTGATGGCGATTAATACCGCCTTTTGTCGTCCGAGGAACCGTCTGGCCTGTTAGTAACGAGGGAGGGGAGGAGAGACGTTCGTATTCCATTTTGTGATCGACAAGGACTAGTTTTCTTTGTGGTTGAGTGGGCGTCTCGGCCAGCAACAAAGCATAAGAACAAAGAGAGGTGTCGAGTTACGACTACGTAATGGACACAGTCGAGAGGATGGAACCCAATCCTAGACTGCATACTGCATAAATGAGGATGACGGTGCTTAATACAATGCCTACCTAATTGGCGGCGATCAGCCTTGTTGGAAAGGGGCAGGTTTCGGTCCTCAGAGTCCAAACTCACAAGTCCTCTGGTCTTCTCAACTCTTCTCAACCGGGGGTCCCCATCGTTCTGCAACAGAGGCGAATGCAGGGGGTGCACACATGCTCCTTAGTGCCTGGCGTGGCATTTCTACGACTTGTGCTTTGCATTGCTTTGCTTGGCTGCCTCATTCAGGGTCATTTGCTTTTTGTGGAGCCAAAGGGGGTTAGGTACTCGGGGTTGCCTCTGATCACTTGGCCCAGTCACAGACTAAGAGAGTGTACAAGTGGGCACCGGGCAGTGTGGCTGGAGTCGAAGACTGAGAGGGACGGATACGTTCCCAAGGTACGATGTATTTTTGGCTTCGGATGGCTCCTCCCACCATCATCGGTCTCATTGCGTGGGTTGTGGGTATCCATCCGCACCTTTCAGCCAAGGTTTCGACTACCTACAAAGTCGCTCGGTGAGCCCTGCCTGGGCCAGCGTTCGTCATGGAGGCCAATGAAAAGCCGTGTCTGAGCAGCGGGAGCCCAAGGGCCAGAAGCCGTTGTCAGACTGGCTGGCCCCGGCCCGTCGGGCTGAGCTGTACCCCCCAGCACGGATGGCTTTGATCTGGGCTGATGCCGTATCACTGGGTACACTCCTGGCTGAGGGAGGTAGGCGTGATGCGGGAGTGAGGGAGTGGGTGGTGGTGCTGCAAGTCGCAAAGCTTCACTGACGCCTGCGGAGACGACGCACAGCACGGCATGGCATGGCACACTGCAGTACACTGCAGACAGCAAATAGCAGCTTTTTCGTCCGTCCTTCCTTTCTTCCCTGCCCCCCAAACCAGTTTTTAACCTTGAACCTGGAACCTGTCAGCCATCAGAGCAAGCAAACAACTCCATAGCCTACATCCCGTTTCGTGTTTCTCCTCCAAAATTTCCTCCAACTGGCATGTGCCCCTGACAAAGGACGACGACAACGACCAAGAACCCTCTTCACATTTTGCTTCTTTGCTTGGGTTTTTTCGCATCTATCCACACACACACACACACTCTCTCTCTCTCTCTTTCTCTCTCTCTCTCTCCCCCCTCTCTTGTTTCGTTCTACATTACGATTACAGCCCTCGTTTGTTGGTTGTGGCCTCTGCTTCTGCATCTGCATCTCTGCACCACCGCCCCAATTGCGACTGACGTATTTGTTCGCTTCGCGTAATCGGCCAAAAAAGCGACCTTGACCTGGGGCCGAAAAATAGCCACCCGGCCCATTCTCCTCCCACCACCGCCGCCTTCCACTTCTTGCATAACGACGAAACGAAACATTCCAACCCGTCCCGTCTTCTCTCTTCGCCTACCGACCTCGTAGCGTTGGGTGGCATCAACACAGAACCATCGTGACGACAGCTACAAGCTGTTAGGCATCATGCCGGGCTTTGCAGATTCCTTCTGGTCCAGCGACTACGCTGCAGGTAAGTTGACCAAATGCGCTGCTCCCAACCCCTCCGACTGTGGCTGAGTAGCTTTGTGATAGGACTGGGTGTCCTGTTCGGCAAGTTGCAGCAGGGCGTGCAAGAAAACCGGCAAGTCCTGACCATTGCTCGAATGCGGGCCGAAGCCGAGGAAATCTACAGCCAGCGGTTAGGAGACATTGCACCAACGGCAGACAAGGTCCAAGGCGGCTTTTCGAAAGATGACGGCGCCAGCGTTCGCAAGGTTCGTACAGCGCTCCCCCGGAAAGCTTCCCCGGGGAACCACTGCTAACCCACCACCACAGGCCTTCGATGGCGTTCGGACCGAGATGGAAGAAGGTGCCAAGAACCACAAGAAGATCGCCCAGAATATCCGGGACCTCGTCGTTAACCCCTTCTCGCGCTGGTGCGATGCCCACGAGTCACGCATCCAGGACTCCCAGGACGAGTTGCAGGCCCGCATCAAGGCGCACGATAAGCAAGCTGAGTTGGTCAAGAAGCTGCGGAGCACCTACTTCAATAAGTGCAGGCTGGTTGAGGATATCGAGGAGGAGACCAAGCTGGCCTTTCAGGACCCCGAGAACAGCCCCAAGAATATCCCCGAGATCAAGGTGTCCGAGAACAAAGAGCCCGAGCTCCATCCCCAAGAAGACGATGACGAGCCCATTGAGATCGGCGACGAGATCTACCAGCCCGAGCAGGTCAAGAAGATACTGGCGCACATGTTGAACACGATCAAACTTGGAGAGACCAAGGTGCCCATTCTCGGAACCTACCAGAACACCTCGGCCGGCTCCGACATCGTCGAGTACCTACAACGGCACATGAACACGACGAGCGTTAGTTACGCCGAGAGAATCGGCCAGGACCTCATCTCGAACGGATATCTCAGGCTTATTGGCAACGTTGGCAACACCTTCGCCAACAGCTCCAAGATGTTCTACCAGTGGCGCCCTAAGGCTTTTAAGCTGGCTGGCGTACCCGACAAGAAAGTGCCTCTAGGCCGAACATTCTCCATGCCCGTCTCCGAGTCGGCCGATTCGCCCGTTGTCGGAACCGTCAGCGAGTACCTTGCCAACTGGAACGTCCTCAACAACCAGCACCCCAACGAAACCCCGCCGGAGCGACTGCGCCGCGAGGCCAGGGAAGCGGACGACAAGTACAAGGCGAGCGTGCGTAAGCTAGACGAGATGCGCTGCGAGCTGGAGGAGACCATCTTTGTGCACCTGCGTTTTCTGGAGCGCTGCGAGCTGGACCGCCTCAAGGCCATCAAGACTGTCATCTTGGACTTCTCGGGCACCATCAGCAACGTCATCCCCAGCATGCAGTCTGCTGTTGACAACATGATGCTCTTCCAAGAGACTGTTCAGCCTCTGGGTGACTTGAGATATCTGCTCGAGAGCTACCGGACTGGCAGCTTCGTTCCCAAAGTGGTCGTCTACGAGAACTACTACAACAAGGTTGACGAGCAGACCTTTGGTGTGGATCTCGAAGCGAGAGCGCGTGCGGATAAGAAGCGCGTGCCCGTCATCGTCACCACTATCCTGACGTACTTGGACAACCGCTACCCTGATCTTGAGGGTGACGAGGCCAGACGTGGTGTCTGGCTGGTCGATGTTCCCCTGCAGCAGGTTCACAAGCTCCGCAGAAAGCTTAATGACGGCAAGCCCATCTCGCCTGATGTTTTTGACGAATTTGATATCCCGACTGTTGCAAGCTTGCTCAAGCTGTACCTTCTTGAACTGCCTGGTAAGACGACCCTGTCCAGATAACTCGGAGGCCATCTGCTGACAATGCGACAGACTCTCTCGTCTCATCCCATGTATATGAGATTGTCAGAACGATATACCAGACCCAATCGCAAGAAAGCGACGCTTCTCGCGTGTCTGTACTGCAGCAGACGCTGTCGCAAATGCGACTTACTAATATCGCAACGCTTGACGCCTGCATGAACCATTTCACCCGCCTGATTGACCTCACCTCGGCTGACGAGGCTTACATCTCGACTCTAGCCGCAACTGTCGCGCCTTGCGTCCTCCGCCCCCGAGCGGAAACTTCTCTGACCATGGAGGAGAAGCACGCCTACAGGCTCGTTCGCGATCTTTTTGCCCACAAAGAGGCCATCTTCAGCGAACTGAAGCGCATGTCTACGGCGAACCACGGCGGTTCGATCAACCGCCCCCGCGCCATCAGCACCGACGAGAGTAACCGGAGAGCAAACATGGAAGAGCGGAATAGAGCTCTGCTCGAGAAGGCTGCCGGTAGCCGCGGCCGTGCCACCAGCCCTGCCCCTAGCCCCCGCGGACACAGACGTGATCGCAGCACGGGCGGCCCTGAGACTCGCTTCCCGATCCAGACGAGCCCGCCCGCGTCTGCAGTTGACCGTCACCGCTCTAGCTTAGGCAGCGTGGTCGGCGCCAAGCGGTCGAGTCTTGAGGTCCCCGGCAGCGAAACGGGCTCGCCGAAGGAGACTCCGACGACCAACGGCTCCACGGCACCTGGCGCTGAGGGCGTTGCGGCCAGAATCAAGGCTCTCGAGTCTCCCGCCGAGAAGCGCAACAGCTTGAGTCGCAGCAGCGTCCGGTACTCCCTGGACCGCCACGTTGCAGCGGCACCAAGCACCGGAACGGAGAGCGGCCCATCGACGCCCCGCGACTCAGGGGCCCCTCGCGGAGTGACGCTCGAGGACAAGCCTATGGATGACTAAAGCGCGCTAGCCATGATGTTATTGTTTCAAGATGCTATTTTCAGGCTTTGCTCCTCATTTTCCTTTTTCTCCTTTTCTTAATGTCTATTTTTTTTTACCCACCCCCACAACAAACTTGACGATTCTCCTTTTTATTCTCGCAACGTGTGACGCTGGTAGGAACGTGCGTGTGTAACGAACGACGGGACGGTCTACAGGGGAAACGAAAAAAAGAGGGAGAAATCACAGGCTGGTTTTGTTTTCTGGCGGCGGCGGCGGCACAGAGAGGGGAAAGAAAGCGAAGCGGTTTCTCTTGGGTGTCCCCTTTGTATCATGTCTATATGTAAACCCACGAGGGAATATGGGGGGAGAAGTGTTAGGGAATAGGAGAGCAAAGAGGCAGAAGAGAAGAGAAGTCTAACGTCCAACCATGCAATAAAGTGTCCTGTGTGATTCGGAGTGACAGTGTAGAGTGTCATGAGAACTGATGGGAGAGTAGGCAAGGCGGGGCTTCTTTCTGCTTTGTTCGTCAGACTTTGGGGCCTGACTGGTTTTTACGGATTGTCTCCAGGGACTCCATCCTGTTGGATGTTGCTCCGACGTGTGCACAAAAGCCTCGCGAGACATATCACGACTTACAGGCGTAAGGAGGGGGGGGAGGGGGATTGCGCTCCTGTGAACGTTTGGTTGCATCTCGCCTTTCTGTATTTGTTGGTCATCTATCTATGCATGCATGGTCCTTTTCTTTCATTCTCTCGCTCGCCGCTCTTACCAACTACCTTCCCCACTACCCCGTCCCAGACCTAACCGCTGTCCCCCGCAATCTCGGCCATCTTGGTCGTCTTCTTTTTCTTCTTCTTCTTGGGCACCACGACGGCAGGGCCGGCTCCCTGCCCGTTCTCTCGGCCCTCGACCGCCGCCTCGGGAGGCGGAATCAGTGCGCTGTCCTCCCCGCCGCCGCTGTCCTCCGCGTCCCCCGTCAGGAGGACTGCGGGTGGCGCGATCTCGGTCACGGCCTTCTTCTTCTTCTTCTTCGGCTTGACCGACTCTGCGCCGCCCTTATCCTTTTCCTTATCCTTGCTCTTCTTCGTTTTCTTCTTGACCACCGTGCCCGCGACATCGACGCCTTGCGCCACCTGGATGCGCTCGTTGGCGCGCTGCATCTCAAGCCGCAGCCGCTCCACCTCCTTTATCGCCTGCGCCATCTCTGCCTCCTCGCGCTGCTGCCGTTCGTAATCGAACGGCGCGTTGGACGAGCCTGTGTCGCTCTCGAGGCTGAGGGACCCAAGCGTCGATGAGTCCACATGTAGGAGGCCCTGGCGAAGCTTCTTGGCGCGCGACTTGGTGAAGCTGTCCGAGTTGTTCTCTGACTCGTAGTTGCGCGGCGTCGAGACCCCGCTGCCGGCGAGCGTCTCGTCCGCGGCAATGACGACCCTTTGCCTCTGCCGCGGCTGAGGCTGCGGTCGGCGGTTGGGGGACGCGGGCCCCGGCGCTGAGCTGCCCAGCTTGTCGAGGTCAAGCTGCATGATCGGGATGGAGTCAATGTCCAGATCCGGGCCGTTCTCTTTCTGGAGGATGTTATGGATTGGGGTGGAGGTCCTGGGAGCGGTGTCGGGAGCACCAATGTAGAACGGGTCGTCGCGGTTCCGCTCGCTGCGCTCAGCTTTCCTCCTCGCCACGATGTCGGCGTCGAGGTAACTGTCCTCGGTCGCCTGCTGGTAAGAACTGACAACCTCTTCTGTCGTTGCGTCGGCGATCCTGTTGATCGCCGGCTCGGCCGAGGATACGCTTGTGGGCGCTGGACGTTGGTGGTAGTAGACCTCGAAATCGTCCGCCTCATTAGCCTCCATTGGTATCACATCCGCCTGGGCAAGAAGATGAGCCAGGTTCGGATGGATGGGCTCGTCCAGGTCCAGACCCTCGGGGATGGGCACATTCCGTTGCGCTCCAACAGCCACAGAGTTGAGCTCCCATCCCTGGAACAAGGACGGAATCGCCTGGGTCAGCAACAGCGGCGGGTCCCGGTGAGCTTCGTCGGAAGTCGCTGCCTGACCAGAGGTGGCCTCCGCAGTGAGTTTGAGGAGTTCGACGAACTCAACGGATCTTTCCTGGACCTCGAGGTTAGGGTGAAGAGCAAGCGGCTCGAGGGTATGAATGACGCGCGCCAGCAGCAACGAAATCTTCGTCTTCCATTCCGGGACCCATGGCTGCCCTTCGTTGCCTGCGATGTAGGCGAAAATCTTCGTTACGCCCTGCAGACTGGTCGTGAGAATATCGGGTTTTTGTGTCCGTGATAGTATCCTCAGCAGGTTGCCTAGCGTGTCTTCGGGGAACGCCAGTTGATTGGCGTATTCTCCAACAAGCCACGACGTCGATTTTAATGATGCTGAAGAGAGAGGGTGGCCTGCAGGGGTGTCGGTGTTCATTTGCTGGATGATGAGATCGGCAGCCCGTACGGCTGCGCCTCGTAGCGCATGGACCTTGACTGCGACATTCCTCAACTCGTCTCCGATTCTTCCAGAAACGTCTCCCGCGATTGACTTGCCGGAGGCGGCGACCGAGTCGAGTTCCGTCTCAATCGACCGCGGTGTTGGCGCCATGCGGACCAGCTGGATAAGGACGTCGATATACCAATCAAAATCCACCAAGCTGCTGTAGTTGTTCTGCGAGCACATCGTCAAGATCCTCCCGATCACGTCAATCCTGTAGTCGTCAGGCAGTGGAGGCTCTTCTTGGTCCTTTGTTGGCGAGTGAATCTCGATCTGTGCCTCTTCGTCCGAGTCTATCCCGTTATCCGGCCGGAGAGGCGCCCCTGGTCGATCCCTCTTAGGTGTGGACGACTTGAGCTGCTTCATCAGGCGGCTCACGATGGACACCAGGTTGTCGCTGCTAACCATACCCTGGACGAGATCCAAGGCCTTGATGCGAATGGTGATGTCGGGGCTGTCGATGCATTCCAGGATGACGTCCTCTTGTTGCGCCACAAGGAACGGGTGCGTCACAACAATCTTGTTGAAGGCAAGTAACGCGACGTATTTCACTGCGCAGGTCAGATTCCGAGCCTAGAAGTTGCGGCAAGAGTACTCACAGTTCGGATCACCATCCACCATGATCATGCCCCTGAGCTTGTTCACACAGAGGGTCGCGATCTCCTCCCTGCCGGATATGTCGTCCGCACTGCCCAGGATACCGCCCTGGATAATGCCGTTGATACACTCATACAGCAACGACATGGCAGGCGTTGTCCGGATCAGCTCAGTCAGGGGCGGCAGCAGTTTTCGAACAAGGCGCGGCTCTAACGGTGTCAAAGTCGCAAACTGTTTCCCACGTCAGCAACCTCCCCTCAGCAGCCCCGCACTCTCGCAAACATACCAGTTTGATCAGCTTGATGGCCATCCAGTTGTTACCTCCGTCCACGAGCAGCTCGAACAGCCTTGGCGCCAGCGGCAGGAAGTCGTGCGGCCTCCTCCAGCCGAGCTCGCATACCACGTTGACGATGGCCGCCGTGACGCTTGGATCCTCGTCCTTGTCCATCAGGCGCTCCTTGATCTTGGGCCACGCCGCTCGCAGCGTCTCGGGGTACACCAGAGCCAGGCGGTACAGCGTTACAATGGTCTTCTTGCGGATGGCCGGGTTCGAGTGGCCGAGGCGCGGAAGCAGGTCCGAGAGGGTTGAGAGTGCGAGGGACGGTGTGATGATGTGTGGCAGCGTGTTCATTGGCAGGGAAATGGTGGTCGCTTGTGTCGACGACAGATCCTGGCAGCGGCATAGCGTTAGTTATTGTCTCTGTGCAGGTCCAAACGTGCCCGCCCAACCTGGGGAGAAACAATACCTTTTTCAAGAGATTCGTGGCCAGCATCAGCACTTCGGTATCAGGTCGGAAGCTCTGCACGGCGGCCAAGTACCCGACCCTCTTCTGGTGGTACTTTGGCGACGACATAACCTCGAGGACATGGAAGGAAGCCCATGACATGTCGTGACCGACCATCTCCAAGTACACCAGCTTCAACAGCGCCGTCGCCTTGACGTCTACAAACGTAAGCTGTCAGAATGCGGCTCCCTCTCCAAAAACAACCAATGCAGCCGCCTTTATTTGGTTCGGGGGGGATCTCACCCATGTCCTGCCCGCGAACCTCTGCGCGGCATTCTTTCAAGCTGTTCTGTATGTATTCGCGCTCGTTGCCCTTATGGTTCCGCAGGCCTCTGATGAGGTCGTAGAGGGATTTCTCGAACCTGGAGGGACATGCGATGCACCGTTAGCGCGCTGCCAGTCTTCATAGCCTTCCTTTTGACGGTTGCGCGGGTACTTCTCCAACGACCTACATCTTGACAATTGCAGCAGCCCCCACGTGAGGGAGGGTGAAGGCCTAGATCGGGCAGTTGTCGAGCTGTCGTCTATCGTGGGGGAGGGCGAATGTCGGGAGAACTAGGTCAGGTAAACGAAGGCGTCCGGGCTCCCTGGCACATTTTGGACCAAGGCTTCTTTCCGGGCAGACTTTTCGTCGCGAGCGCCGTGGGCTCAGATTTCGTGGACGATGGGCTGTTGGCTCGGTGTTCGTGAACGTCCAAGGGATGTCGGAGTCGAGAGGGCTCGGGGGATGGAGCAGTGATGCAGGCTTGCTGTGGCTTGTGGAGAGAGCTTGGTGTGCTGCCCGCTGCTGTTCTATAATCCAACCCCCACCAAAACCCAGGGAATGATGTGCTGCGCCCAAGGGTGACGGTACGTACTGTGTGTCTTTGGGAATATCAGCGTGCCGGGCACTGTACGGCGACGACGAGGTAGCTAGCTAGCTTCTTTCCGCTGAAAGTGCCTGTCATCGTCATTGCACATGGTCCACGGCCTTTTTTTTTTTACTCTTCCTTTACCCTTCCTTTCGTTCCAATGGGACGAACTTGTTAGGGAGGTGAATCAAGGCTTTTAGATATCCTTGTATAATACTCTCGTTTTTCTTTCTTCACAAATCGATTCTCATTCCAAGCAGCATTGTACGATTGCGAGTATGGCCTGCTGAGGCCTGCTGCACCTTATCCTGCACTTAAACCGTATCGCGACCCCTACGACGGCGAAAACCACGGCCAGCACAATTCGACATCTGATCTCAACCCGCGACATCTCCCCCACAATGGCGACCGCGCGGCCCCTACTCCGCCTCCCTCCCCCGCTTCGGGCCCTCCGACGCGCGCCTACAGCCCTCGCCCGACCGCCCCCGCGCCGGCACTTCTTCAACATACCCAATCTCCCCGCGACCGAGCCGCAGACGCTCACGGCCTCCCGGACGATGCCCTACCTCTCCAACCAGCTGTACGACGTCATTGCCGACGTCGACGCCTATGATTCTTTCGTCCCCTACTGCGCCCAGTCCCGCGTCACCCAGTGGACGGCCCCCGACGCCTCCGGCCGCCGCTGGCCCGTCCAGGCCGACCTCCGCGTCGGCTGGGGCGGCTTCGAAGAGACCTTCACCAGCAGGCTGCACTGCGTTCCTGGGAAGAGCGTCGAGGCGGTCAGTGGCGCTGACGTCGAGGGCGCGAGCCCGGGCAACGGCGGGGAGGGAGGCGCCGTGTTCAGGAGCCTGGTGACCAAGTGGCAGCTGCGGCCGCTGACCTCCGGTACGGGCACCGAAGTGGATTTAGTCATCAGGTTCCAGTTCGCGAATCCGCTCTACTCGGCCGTGAGCGCCGCCGTGTCTGAAAAGGTTGCTGGCGTCATGATCCAGGCCTTCGAAAAGCGGGTGAAGGCTGTTCTGGGGGTTCCCAGACTATAGGCGGAGTGGGCAATCATGGAGCATTGATCTGTATAGACTTAAGACTAATGAAGAAATCACAAAACGCTGAAAAATTAAAAGACCGAGTCGCCACTGTAAGACATCTAGGTTGCAAAACATCCGCTCTCATTTTTTTTTGTTAACAAGTCATCCGCCACCGCGATGTGCACAGCAAACAGAAACAAACGAATCATCGGGGTACCTAAAAACAAAAGAACAAAAAAAGCCACAGTCTTTGTCCTTCTCTTCTTGCGCCGTGCCTTTAACATAGTGTAGCTTCCAGCTTTCCTCCATATGCAATGCCTCGCCCAAAACGTGTGCGGCTTCTGAAGGAAAATGTCTTCCATCTCTGTGGGGCACCCGTTTGCCAAGTTTGACCCCTCCGCGGCTCATACTCCGCCATACATGTGATAGACGTTGAAATGAACCATGATGTCCGTGAGATGCATTGCTTACATACGTACAGTAAATGTTGTTGGAAATCCAAGCAAAGCAGAGAAGAAAATAGACGCGTAAAGGTATCATGTGTAAATAACCAAAAAGATCCCAAACCATAAGTCCGCAGGAAGCGTTATCGTAGCAGGATTCCAAAGTAGAGCTTTCGCATGGCGCACTAATGATGATCATTTCCTGGTCCTGCCGACTGTTAGTTCCCGGCCTTCTCACTGAGCATCGATGTTGAACACGTACTTCTTCTTGGGGGCCTTTGCACCACCGGCCACCCAGCTAAGCACCGAGCCCTGGGCCTTTTTGTGTTTCGGCTTGGGGGGCTCAACGTTGACAATTCTGGCACCGGCAGGGGGACCACGTGGGCCCGGCCAGTCTGGGGGGGGAGGTGGCCCGGCGCCGCCGCCGGGGCGACCACCTGGGGGGACCATGCCTGGAGGGAAAGCACCCATCCGTGGATGTCCGCGCATGCCCTGCATATGCGCCGCCATTCTGTCCATCGGCGGCATTCCAGGACGCATACCAGGTGGAGGGGGCTTGTCCATGGGCCACATGCGCATCTCGATCGTCCAGTCCGGCTCAACCACCTTATCCCAGACTTGGGGCAGAATGATCTCCCCGTTGGGCCCAATCAGGTCGTAATGTCCCTCTTGAACATGGGGGCCGATGACATCCACATGGACAAAGGCTTGCTTGATGAGCTCTTCCATGCCCTGGCGGTTAAAGTTAGCTTTGTGTCAACACGTGTATAGTATATGTAGAGTCGGCATACCGTCCAGGTCGAGCAAAGATGAAAGGGGAAGCTAAACTTCCTGCCGACGGCATCCTTGAACTTGATTGGAGCCTTGTCTTTGCCCTTGTCCTTCTCGGACTCGTACTTGGCTCTGGTTTCCTCGGCGATCTTCTTCTTGAGCTCCTCTGCCTCCTTCTTCTTGGCTTCGGCAGCGGCGACAGCTTCCTCGGCAGCTTTTTTCTCGTCCTCAAGTTTTTTGCGGGCCTCAAACTCGGCCCTCGCCTTCATCTCCTCCTCCTCTTTCTTCTTCGCGGCTTCCGCGTCGGCCTTGGCCTTCAGCGCAGCCGCATACTCGGCTTCAGCCTTCAGCCTGGCCTCCTCCGCCCGTCGCTTGGCCTCTGCCGCTTCCTCCTCGGCAGCTTTCTTCGCGGCTGCGACCTGGGCGAGATAGTCAGCTTCGGCCTTGGCCTTGAGGTCCGCCTCGAGCTTGGCTTGCGCTGCGGCAGCCTCGGCAGCCGCCTTTTTCTCAGCCTCAAGTTTGGCGCGGGCCTCTTCTTCGGCTCTCTTCTTCATCTCTTCCTCCCACTTCCGCTTTTCTTCGGCCTCTTTCGCTTCCTTGGCCCTGAGCTCGGCCTCGGCGCGAAGGGCATCCCTGAGCCTTTGCTCCGCCTCGGCTTGGGCCTTGAGGCGGGCCTCTTCTTCAAGCTTCTTTCGCTCGGCCTCGGCCTTGTGTTCGCGCTCCAGTCTCTCCCTGGCTTCGCGTTCGACGCGGGCCATCGCCTCCTGGTGGAGCTTTTGCCTCTGCTCCTCCTCTTTGCGTTCGGCCTCGATCCTCTCTCTGGCTGCCTTCTCGGCCTCGATCTTGGCCTTCTCGATCTCCCTCTGCGCCTGCTCTTGAGCTCGTTTCAAGTCCTCCATCCTCTGAGTGATGGCCTTTTCAGCCTCCTGTCGAAGCTTCTCTTCCAGCTCCTTCCGCTTTTGCTCCTCCTCCTTCTGTGCCTGCTCCTTCTTGAAGAGTTCGATTTGTTGCTGAAGCTTGATCTTCTCAGGATCCTCCTTAGGTGGCGGTGATGGCTCGTTTGCTGGAGTCTTGGACGGCCCGGGGGCTTCCGTGGGTGGTGGCGGAGGTGCTGACGGATACATGCCCCATTGATGCATCGGTCCGTAGCCCGGTTGATTGTAGACAGCCGGTGGTTGCGGCTGCTGATACGGCATCATATCATACTGGGATTGGCGAGGGTCATGGAAATAGCTCTGCCCACTGGCATGAGACATTGGGGAGAATGCATTGTTGCCACCATAGCCAAAGGGTACCATCTGGTTTGCGGGATGTCCATAGGGGCTCGGAGCGAAACCGCCGACATGGCTTTGAGGAAATCCGGGTGGTGGGTGACCGCCACGGCCGCCGTAGTAGGAGCCCGGGTGTCCTCCGTGGCCGGGAGGCCTGTGGCCATAGCCGCCAACGCCGCGAGGGGCGAAGGGGGACGATGCGTATTCATCGGAGGGAGCCACGCTTTCAGGATGGTTCGGCACTGAACCGGGCCGATACGGGAATTGGCTAGGAGGAGGGCGGTGAGGGTGATGAGGGAGCTGGTGGTGACGGACGGCACGCTGTAGTGGCGCCGGACGGCTTTGATATCTGGGAGCAGGGCTGACGGATGCAGAATCGTCCGGATGGAGATCCCCCTCTTCGGATGTGGCGTAATCCTCGTTTTCCGCCGAATCGGAGCTGATGCCTTCAGTATCGTTATAGTAGTGCGACTCGTCCTCACTGGCAGAGGCGGATCGGGATGTGGTTGCCCCGGACGAGGTCTGGCCAGGGCGTCGATAGGGTCGTCTTTCCGGAGTGTGTTAGTTGACTAGTGCCTGGTGAATGCCACCAAGTCGGTTGGTCCCTGGCGTAGTTGAAAATATGTAACTTACGCGGACGACATGAGGATGTGAATGCGGGTTGTGTGTGCGTGTGTGTCTGTGTGTGTGTGTGTGTGTGTGTGTGTATAACAGTGGGTGTGGCGGCAAGGCCCTCTACTCACGACAATCTCGAAAGAAAGTCAGAGTAAAGGGATAGAGCGATCGAGAGTGAGCCTTCCGCTCCTGGAAACCGATAGGATCTCGTCGTTGGCGGTCGAGTGTGTTCTAGACGGGAAATGGGTGCAGCGTTCGCCCTTGCGCAGCTCAGTCAAGGAGGGGGAAGACCCAAGCACGAACGGATGACGGGTAACGAGACGAAGTGCGGATGACGGGGGTTGTCGAGCGCACAAAACAAAAAAAAAAGGGGTGATCAGACGACGAAGGTGTGTCGGTGAGGAGGAATGACGGCGGCTTCAAAAACAAAGTTTCTCCGTGAGAAGGATTGAGTTGGGAGACGGGTGGGTTGCGAAAATTGAGGGGTGGGCGGCAGTCCGTGTGTGGGTATTCGTTCGTGGGCTCTTGGATGTAACCGGGAAAGCCCCTGCTGTTTTGGCGAGATCGTGCCGTTGGGCGCAAAAGAGGTGCGCACGGTTGGGTGCAGGGAAAACTGTGGCAGCTGGGCAGCTATTGCGGGTCTAGCAACCGCTCCGTCCAAGACAACGGTAGGGCGATGGCCAAGGTGTACAAGGGAGTTGTCGTAGGTAGGCACTAGTAGTAGGTATGTGGGTAGGCAGGTTGTGTGTGCAAACTAAGCCGCAGCCACTGCCACTCTGCTCGTAAACCACTAGACGGCCAAGCCTTGACGGGTGGGAAGAGGATGGAAGTAGAGCCTCTGGCGCGGTTGAGGTGGCGATGCGATCGCTATGTTGTACCGCTGTGTGATGCGATGCGATGTAATGCAAGAGATAACAGGATGGAAAGCTAAGCGGAAGAGGGCCTGTCCGTCCTGTAACCAATATGGTGGATGAGGCGGGACAACTGCCGCACAGGACTGGAGGAGGGGAGGGCCTTGGAAAGGCTTCTTCTTCTCTGGCGTCAGGGAGACCCGGCAGACGGGGCGTTATCGGTGAGGACAAAATGTGTCCAACGGTCGACACGACTAATGATTTAGTGGTGCAATGCCGAGTGTCGCAAAGGGTGCTAAGCTACAAGCCTCAGATCAGCAATGTTCCGGTGAATCATCTGCAGTGGAATTTGGCGGAAAGCGCCGGGCGTGTGAAGACAGACGGGGCGGGCACACAGACACAGAGAGAGCAATGGAATTAACTGGGGGGAGGAGGGGGAGGGGACGAAAGTGCACCGAGAGAAACCACCAGAAGCCCACACAACAAAGACCAGGGCGCGCCCAACCCCGCCATCCTCATCCAGCCTGCACTGCTTTCCAGGCAGACGACGCGCTAGAAGGCGGGCGTTTGACCAAACCCTCCCCCCTGGCTACAGCTCAGCCAAAGTACATAGTAGAAGAGAAAATGGCAAGGGGCTCCGTGCTGCGCTCTCTTCTGCCACGAAGCCATCTTCATCCATCTGTCTGCTGGGCTTCCCCCTCGTGGGCTCTGGGAAGAGGTAGGAAATAAACGCAAGTGGGGGACGGGGGGATCGGATGGATGATGGACTGGGCGGGGACAGGTAAGACACTGACAGGGCAGACCTGGCAGGGGGTGGAGATGGGCACGAGGGAGGGATGGGGCAGGCCTAGACTACGCAGTACATACATAGTATAGTAAGGCCTCGAGCCCCCTTGCTTTCTTGTCCCACTTGGGTGCCCCGGGAGATACTGGGTCAGGTCCACTGACAGTGCACCATCGACCAACAGCAACGAATCGACGACGAATTGTCACTCTGTGACTAGCAGCATCGCTCCGCTGGCGAGAGGGCGCCTGCGCAGGACTTCTGACTGAATTCCAAGCGCCCTCTTGCAAAACGGCCACCAACCAGACTGGCCCGTGATGCGAGGCTGTGCCCTTGCTGGACTCGTACAGGCAGGATACGTCAATGTCAACAAAGACGGGCATCGGCAGCTGGCCAAGATGCTTGATTGCCATGCGTACTGGCCGCAGGTAGCCGGCACTTGGTAGCTTGTTGACAGGGAAGATGGAAGGACAGGCGAACCGACGGTCTTTGAGGAAACGACGCGGAGCAACGACGCTGCAGAAACAACATCCGCGTCCATGCTAGCAACAACGCGAGGGGGTGACTGAGGAATGCGACAACATCCCACCAGACGCGTGCAAATAAACAATGGCATAAGTGACAACGGTAGCTGAGAGAAGGTCTGAACGTACCTTAGTTTGTCTTTGTGCCCTTCCTTAGGTAGGTAGGTACCTCCCTCGGTGGTGCGTCGGGAGTTGAGACAGAGAAACCAGAAGAAGGGGCGGAAGACGACCTGAGAGCCCGGAGCTGAGACCTGCCAGGGACGAGATGATGGCAGCAGATCAGACCCAACACCCTGATCTCTTTTGGGATGTGGTCGAGCGCCTTTTTGGTTTCTTAGAAACGACGTTCGGATAGGCTTGGGACGGGGGAAAGAAATGTGAGAGGAGAGACTTTGTTTGGACTTGGGTACGATGAACTAACTGCACCTACCCAGGTAGCACTGCAATATACCCTGCCCAATGAATAAGTTTGTCAGTTCTCAATACACCGGGCACCGTGCCGTGCCTGGCTGTGTGTCTGGATTTTTGGGGGGTGGGTTGCTCAGGGTTTCGGTGAGGAACGTGCTGAAAAAGGCGTGGTTTGGACGTTTGATCCGTTAATGTCGGTGGGGCCGCTACGCGACGATCATTTTTTTCTTCTTTTTTCCACCTTTATGCCGTTGTCGGTCTGTAAGAGGGAGTGTTAGAAGGTCGGACTACCACAGGAGGACAGTAGGTAGGCAGAAAAAAGAGACGGGGAATTCGGCGGTCAGAATGTGTGAGCGCAAGCAGGCTAGAAGAGGCGGCGCAAAGTATTTATTTGGATGAGATACGGCGGAAGGGTAAAGGTAGGGGGACAGGGGGGTAGGGAAGGAGGGGGACGTAAGTTGGGGGCGAGGCCTTCCATCAATCTCATCTCCTGGTTGTTAGTCTGTCTCCGACAACATATTGCTCCTGTCCTGCTTTTAGGGCCGTCGCGAGCCAATGCCCGGCATCTCGGGCTCACGACTCTGGCTCGCGCCGTTCACTGGGCCAGTAGCAACTCGGGAGGGGGACGTACCTGACCTACCTCGCCTCGCCTCGCCCACCTACCTACCTGCCTCCCTTGCTTACCACCTTATCTGGCGGGGGGCGTATACATCGTACAGGTAATTGTACGTGGACGGGCATCGACTAAGACAGGCAGCCGTCAGCTCTACGTTGGCCCCCTCCACCTCAAATCCACTCACCGTATCTTGGACCGCAGCCGCCATGAGTCGACACCATGGAACGCAACAAGCCCCTCTCGATTCTGCCATGAGCTGAGCTTTGCCGCCGCTGAGCCCTGCAACGAGGTACCGTACCCATGTGCGCACTCGCCGTGATGCCGTACCGCTCCGCGTCTCCACTCCCGGGTATGTCGTGTCCTTCCCCAGGTCGTCTTCATCCTGCCTAGCCTGGCTTCCTATGCAGTTAATTCGGCACAGCCTGCTTCACGCCAGGCTGGACGAACAAATTTCATTTCAGAGCAGTGACACTAACATGGAATTGAGATACATATATCCGCCTTCAGTCTTCTTCTCCCTTTATGTGGGTTGTCCCGCTGCGTACGCGCGGCACTGGCAATCGTGCAGTTGCTTAATGACTCGAAAAAACGATGCAAGGTATTTGGAGTGACACGACATGATCCCAAAGGCGGATAGGATGGGAGAAGGAGCACTCGGACGGTAGAACTCTGAAGAGTTGCCAGTCTGATACGTTTATTTGTGGGCGTCCCTCGAGGCTCGGCTCCTTCTTTCTCGGTCGTTCGCGGCGCCAGGTAACTTGAAAACACAACAGATGACAGGGGCGGTCAAATATGGTACCGGCATAAAATTGCTTCTTTTTGCCTCGAGCTTACTTACACGGCACTGCCCGGATATATACGTGACACCTCGATCTTGTCGGCGCCATCTGATTGGCATCCATGTGTTCTGTCAGTCGTCCCTTCCGACAATGCTCAAGCCCGATGAAGCCTTCGTAGCGCCCGACGGGACACTCGAGAGCCTGGCGCATCCTGATGTGCATGGCCAGGCCGTCAAATGATGGTGCCTGAGCTTGATGAGATGCATCCCGTGGCTCAACCCTTACTGACTCACTGCCAGCGCATCCGGTGGGCCGCGTTAGCCCGTCGGGCTCCCCAGCGGCACACCTGGAACATTAGATGGCATGCGGCCCTACGCCATAGCACAACCTATTGCTGCTACCATTGGGCACGATGGCGGGCGCGGCCGCGACACGAACAATGGAACTCGAACTAGTAAAAAATTCGTCTCCATTAGCAGGGACTCTGCCCCCGTATGAAACATGTCTGTCGTGACTTCTACAAAAACTAAAGACGTATCATGGCTCCCATTCCAGCCCAATTATGAGACGGCCTCTTCATTCGACCAGAGTTCACGGCCAAATTGCGCCTGAACATAATACCAAAATGAATGTTACCCACTGTTTGGCTCTCGTATGCTTGAACAACTTGTCCGCAGTTGGCCAGCAGAGTGGCCAAGGAAACTTGGGTATGGCTAGTGGCACAGGGATGATGTGTTGCAGACAAAATCTTTGCTGCTTGACGTTGCTTGAGTGTTCTGATTGCCTGCTACCCCTGGTAAACGGCGATCCACTCGGCAATGCCTCGCATGAAGCGTGCTGGTATGGTGGCTTTTCAACGTGACCTCTTGATCACAAGACCTGTCAATGTGAGGTTGGCTGCTCGCCGTATCTGGGTAATCCATTGCTCATCTCACGAGCTCGGCCGACTCCTTTGACAGCAAATCTCGTGCCGCTGCCACTTCTGACTCGTCGTAGCCCTGCCAGAGCTTCTCCTGTGCTCCGTTACGGCGTACAATATCTGCCAACTTTTGTGTCGCCAGCTCATTGAGTTTCTGTAACGCGGTGACGTCGGGAAGGGCCCACTCCTCTGAATCTGTTTGCCTCGATGGCTTTGAAGGCTCCTGGATCAGTTTGTTCGTGACCTTGCTAGCTGTCAGCCATGATTTTGCAACGTTGACTAGACACACGACTCACCAGTTTCAGCCCGTAGTAACCCCTAAGATAGTCGTCGCATAGCTCGATGCTTCGGCTGAATCTCTTTACCGACTCAACTAGTTGCTGTTGCGAGGACCCTTCAGAGGCTGAAGCTGCCATGTACAGAACTTCGCCCAGGCGTGCGTGCATCTAGTATGTATCAGCAATTGCCGGGGTCGGGGAAGGATTTCGGAGTACGCTTACGTTCCATGCGTTCGGGGTCAGAACGAGGACTTCCTCGAGTGCAAAGATGGCCTGCGAGTAGAGACCTTGCGAAAGGTACAAGTCGGCAAGCTCCGCCCACGACTCTGCATCCGTGGGATTGAAGTCGACCAGAGAGTTGAGAGCTGCAATAGCTTCGGGTATCTTGCCAGTTGACTTGAGAAGGGCAACGCGACGTTTCGCGACGGGCTGCATAGGGTTAGCGTGTGTGACAAGCTCTTAGAAGGTGTTCCAAGACAAACAATATTCGTCGCATTGGCCCCGAGGATAGTCTCGTACTCCATGAGCACCTGCGCCAGCTCCCCATCGTTGTCGGCCTCCGCCTCCTTCACCAAGCCCTTGAATGCCATAATGCGCTCGTTTTCGTCTCCGAAGCGGAGTGTTAGCCTCTCGAGGCATTGGTGTGCTGATGGGCTGTCGCCGGTCCGGAGGCAGGCAAGGAGGAGGTTCTCGTAGATTGTCCACAATTCGGGGGTCTCAGTGGCTGAGAACAAGGATAGCAGCGGCGACGATGAGAACGCCTTCGGATAGTTTTGCAGAATCGCCGGTGCTTTTTGGGCCAGCTCGAGGGCCTCAGCAGGGGACAGGTGGCCCTGGGGACGAACAAGAGATGGAGCCATGGTCACAGGTCGGGGGAGGACGGCGGGCTTCGATGGCGATGAATAGCGAGCGGCGTGTACAAGGTATGGGCTTATTCGGCACGCAGTCTCAATTTGTACGATTGGGCCCGTCGTGATAATCGTTGCGCGAGTGAACAGCCGTTGATGGCTGGTGATATCTATGTGGACGTAGGTAGTCTGCGCCTCACGGACTACTTAGGTACAATCTTCTTCTGGGCTCGGAAGTACGTACCGCTCCTTGCGCAATTCACCCACCTGGCGCGCCATTCAATGGGGTAGCTAACCTCCTCTTGATTGGCTGGATCGGCTGGCGGCTCTTCATGTCACCGAAGACGTGCCCCACCAACGTGGGTTTTTTTTTTTCGCGAACAAAAACTTGCGCAGGCAAGAAAATTTACGACCCTTCTCCTTCTCAACCACTCCCTCTTTTGCCAACGAGATCGGAGATCCTGTGGGCCTGTGTGCTACTCACGCAAAGCAGTGTGTCAGATCCAAGATCTGTCTGGTAGCTTCGCACACAAACCATGGCTTCCCTCGCAGTTGGAGAAGCGCTCCCGGGTGCAGATGAGCAAGTTCTCATCGAGAAAACGGCCGACCTTCAGGTGTCAGCGCCGACCGACCAGGAGGAGAAACCGCCTCACAGATCTCACGACCCTCAGTACAACCAAAAGAGGAGCGACCCGTTCCAGTTTGGCAGCCGCCTACTCGGCGAACAGGATGATGTCTTCGAGTTCAACGCTTGGGACCATGTCGAGACTGACGATGCATACAAGGAGTATGCTGAGCAGCAGTACGAAATGCAGCGGCAGTCTCCGGTCTCTGACTTTGATAAAAGTAAGTTTCTATTCCCTCTCAATCTCTGCCTATTTCACAGCCCTGGTGTTATGATGATACTCCAGCACAATCGCATAGTTCATCTGAATCCTATGATGAAAACTTCTTCTTATAGTCTTTCGCTCCCATCTGACAATACCATTTTAAAACCTACTGTTGTGTTCAGTACATTTTCTAAGCGCAGTTGACTAACAAAACTCTTCAGACAGATTCAACAATAACCCGGCTAGAATGTGGGATCTGTTTTACAAGAACAACACTGCCAACTTTTTCAAGAACCGCAAGTGGCTGCAGCAGGAATTCCCCATATTGTCTGAGGTGACTAGGGAGGATGCTGGCAGTGTCACAATCCTTGAGATCGGTGCTGGTGCGGGTAACACCGCTTTTCCCATTCTTGCTTCCAACAAGAACCCAAGCCTTAAGGTTCATGCCTGTGATTATTCGAAGCAGGCCGTAGAGGTCATGCGAACCCATGAATCCTACAACCAAGACCGCATGCAGGCGGACGTCTGGGACGTGACGAGCGATGAGCTCCCGCCCGGTCTTGAGGAGGGTTCCGTCGACGTTGCTATTCTCATCTTCATCTTTTCAGCCTTGGCCCCCGGCCAGTGGAACAAGGCGGTTTCCAATGTCTACCGTCTACTTAAGCCAGGCGGCCAGGTTTGCTTCCGAGACTATGGAAGAGGTGATCTCGCCCAGGTTCGGTTCAAGAAAGGTCGCTACCTCGACGAGAATTTCTACGTGCGCGGCGACGGTACCCGTGTTTATTTCTTCGAAAAGGATGAGCTAGAGCAAATCTGGACCGGCAAGACGCAAGAAACGTCAGAAGGCACCAAGGCAGAGTTCATCGTCGATGACCTTGGCGTCGACAGGCGCATGCTCGTAAACCGAGCCCGCAAGCTGAAGATGTACCGATGCTGGATGCAGGGTCGATTCACGAAGAAATGAGAGACGGAAGTTTCACAGTACATCCATCCTGTGGCCAGCGATTGATGTCTGCCAGCGGATTGTTCTGATGGTGGGCCGGCACATTTCGCAGCCTGCACCGTTGCCATCAAGATCAGTACAGCAGAAGCTCTCTGAGCCTTTGGCGATCATCCTGGCCGAATCCGATCTTGTCCAAGTACCCCGCGATCCCTCCATAGACGCTGTCAAGATGCCGAGCGGTTCGCACGATCATGTCAGGGGCTGTCTCAAACCAGTCGTCCGTCAAGCCGATCTCTCTAATTTCGGCTAGCCGGTCTTCCCTCTCGGATTCAAGTGCACCGCTGGTCAGCATGTAGTCATACTCGATGGCTTCAATTGGCACGTCGAGAATCATCAACACCAGAGAAACTATCAGCCCTGTCCTGTCCTTGCCCTGTGTGCAATGAACCAGAGTAGGTGTCGTCGACGGGTCAAGGAAGACCTTGAGAGCCTAATTTGCTTGTTAGTAATTGGTGAAGGTCATCGCCACCACTCTCACTTGTTGTACCTTGGCAATTTCTTCACCAGATTGATCCAGGGTATCGAGGCCTAGACGAACCAGGCCACGTGGCACCATCACCTCTCTAGACAGGACGGAGATGCCTTCATTGCGATAGCTCAAGAGGAATAGGACGATGAGGCGGCTTCAAACGGCGGAGTATGCGTCAGCCTTTGAGGAGGAATAAAAGTCGACTTCTCTTACCAAAAACCCCACCAAGACAGCTGCTTCAGCAAGAACCGCTCGAAGTCCCCGCCCGTAATCCTGATCTCGTGATACGTTAGGCCTGAGATCTGGACTGGCTCGGCTAGCGCAGCGTTGGACTGCAGCAAGGCAGGGACTTGGAGATCGGCCTCGCGTTTTTTCGCCTGCTTGACGTGTTCGGTCCTGGGGGTGGCGTCAGCTGTTGATCTGACATATGGGTTCTGGCATTCCAGAGCCGAGGAATCTAAGGGTTGCACATGCACCTACTTTGTGCGCAAGTCAATGACCGCCTTGATACCCAGGTCCTCTCGAAGGCGCTTCCTGTCTTCTAGGGAGGCATCATCTATAGTTGTCAAGCCTGAGCAGAGGGACAAGCACGCGTTGCAAGACCCCAAAACATACCTGGTCTTGCAGATCGGAACAGCTGGCCTTCTCGGATAAGCCTGTTGGATACACACATGAGAGAATCAGCTTGAGTGACTCAATGTGTTGTGCGGTTTCAGACAGAGACGTACCTGCGCCCAAGAAACTTGTTCACGGTGGAGCCGACGTCACGGAAGTTCAGAACTGAGGTTATGCCGTTGTTGTTGTCCATGGCCAACAAAGAAAATTTGCACTAGAGTCGCTTGGGGGGGACGGGCGGCAGTGCAGAAACCAAGAGTCGGTGGTCAATGGGCGTGTGTGCAGAGATTAGGAGTGAGATGTGTGAGTGAAAAGGAGGAGTGACGCCACGATTTGGCATGCTCAGAGAGAAGGATGTGAGGGCCTTCTCTTCAGGCTACCGTCAGGTCTAGCGTCAGTTGCCCTCGAACTTCATTTGTCTGTCTCCATCCCGTGTCGTTGTCAGGTCAGTGGGCTGGGGGGTCCTTGGCCAGGGTTCGGGTGACCCCTGCACATCCCAAAAAGCTTAAGAACCGGGGTAAGGACTCTTGATGTCGCCCACGGATGGTATCTGCGGCTGCAGTGGTGTAGGTTTGTACAAGCTGAGCCCAGCCTGCAAAGCCCTCCAATCGATAACATGACCATGGCTTCGTCAAAGCACTACTACGTCCCGCGGACTGAGCGTGTTCCAGACTATCGGATCACATCTCAAGCTGGATTATATTCGACAACGCTCTGGAAGCCGTGCTTGTAGCTGCCGATCGCAACCACCATCCATCCGAGGTGCGGCTGGCTGTACACCATTCTATACGTCGGACGATGAGCCCTCAGCACTGCAGCAAGACAACCAAAGTCAGACCTGTCTCTCAGTGTATGGGTGATCTTGCTTTTCGGATATGGTGTCTCTGCCCCTCATTACCGTCGACCGTTGCCATCATGACGGCGTCTCGGGCTTCGCGATCGGTGACGATGTAGATCCAAATTACTCAACTGACACGTACAGAAGCCCGTTGTCAGGCTAGGGCTAGCTCGAGTCCTTCCAACTTCGGGCATTATTATCCATTGCCCAATACGGTGTCCAGAACGTGGTCTTCCACTCAGCGTGGTCAGGGTCCGGACTGTCCGTGTCCATAGACGGGAGGGTGTTGGTCCGAAGCCACAAAGGAGCGGACAATAGATGGACTATGCCGAATAAACCCAGCTTTCAAGAAGTCGTTTGCGATACAGAAAAAGAAAAGGAAAAAAAAAAGGAAAAGGAAACAACCCTCAGCAGAAGGAGTCCGCGGTTGGGATGGGATGCGATGGTGGATGTCGACAGGGGCGGAAAGCTAGCTCGCCAGCACTAGGCCACAAACGGATGGAAAGGAACCCCGCATGACGTATGGCGCGGCGTCGTTGCTGCTCACTACGACTAGCCACCAGCACTAAGCTGCGCAAGCCGTGTCACCGTCACTGGCCGGCTCACCAGCCGAAGCATACCTCATCGTGCGTTCGCACTGCCCACCCTTCACCACTCAAATATGTTTGTGGTTCAATGATATAACTCCGATTCCCTCGTTTGGGGGACCGGGGGCCGCCTGCGCCTCTATGTCATGCCCTATTCTTCCTGCACTGCACTGTACAGGTTCTTTGACCGTCTAATTCCTCAATCCTCTGACGATATTCCCCAGTACAACTCTCGATCCTCTTGATACGAGTTTGTCGCTTCTGCAACACGGACCAGGGCGACGCCAGAAATAACATTGCGTGGGGGCTCTTGGTAATCCACCTGCCCACGCGTCCACCTCTCTCGTCCCGTGTAAGCCGTACATCGCTGCGGCTTCCCACATTTCACCCTCGTTTCCCTGTATATTGTATACTAAACTAAAAGCAATTTACCCTTGTCACCCGCCATAGAATAGGAGCCTATTTACAAGGGGGGGAGTGGGAAGTCAAGTGTACCAGTACCACCAAGCCGGCACCGGGCGGGCTGATGATGCAACCCAGTTCCAAAACAGCGAAGCAGCCGCAGCAGCCAGCCATGGCGGAAGCACGGCATCAGGTGCCGACAACAGGTATTGAAACATACCTTCCCCGTGAATACGAGCCTTGGTGCCGGACGAAATAAGGTCTTTGCTAATTATATTCCCTTTTTCCTTGTATGTAGCAGACCGCTCCGGCAGATTAAAGTACGCCAACCCGCGGGATCTCCCCAGCTTCCCGTCCCCCGGTCTACCACCAGACGGAGCCGCTGCCGGAGCTGCCGCGTCCTTAGGTTGGGCGAGCCAAAAATCAATTGAAGTCTGGAAACCCGAAAAGTCAACCTCTGCCTCTGCGGCTGCCATGCTCGCAAAAGATTACAAAATGGCTCCCGCCTGGGAGCCCAGCTCGAGTTCAGCCGGCGCAAAGGCTGCGCTATTGGCATCAGCATCGGCAAGGAAACAGACAACTACCAACATGACACCACCTCAATCCGCCCACGAATCCTGGGGAAGCAGCGCTGCTAATCAGGCTTTCAAACAAAGTCGCTCTGTTGGACAACCTGCCCACATCACCTCAACCTCGACGAACGGCCTTGGCTCTCTTTCAGCGGCCCAAAGTGCCATGCCAGGGACAAAAAGGACAAGACCACGGGCCAAGTCGACCCCCGTCCCCAAGGAGTCTTATCCCGGAGAGTCTCAAGCAGCTGCCAACGCCCTGAGTGCCGCCACGGCAGCCCATGGTCCTTCGATGAAGCCAAAGTCCCCCACCAACGCTACCGGTTCTGTTCCTTACACGAACCTGCCCCGCAAGATGTTCACCTCTTCTCCCGCCATAGGCCCAGAAGCCGACGAGCAGAAGAGAGCCGACGTGCTGCATGCCTCCGCCGTAGCCATGGCTAAGAAAATGTACAGCCACCAGCAAAAGATGGTTGACCAAGCCCGTCAAGCCCAGCAGGATTTAGGGGAGGCCGTCCCAGATGACAATCAGCCGAAGCCCTTTGTCAACCTTCAGGAAGCAGCGTATAAGCTGGCTCAAGAGCGTCTATCGAAACTGCATGTGGAGCATCAGCGCGACCGAGAATACCAGGAATACTACGGCAATCGCACGCCAGCTCAGCCTCATCGCAGGTTTACTATGAAGGGCAAATTGAGACGCCGTGCTTCTAGTGATGGAGATATCAACGACGATCGAGAACAGTCTGAGCGCATTCGAAGAGAGATGTCTATCTTCTCCTCTAACTTAACAAAGGTCGACGAACAAAAGCGGGCGAAAGATCGCGAGGCGCTACTGGCTGCTGCACAAAGGAATGTCAGAGCCCGTCTCCAAGGCATGGACGACAAGATATCGGCCGAAACTGGCATGGTGTTACCGAGTTCCAATAATGACTGGGAATCCAAGGCACACATGGCTGCGCTGGCCCGACACGAGTCAACCAATGCAAACAAGGGAAAGGTTGACATAGGCGGTGGCATGCTTATGGATCCCGCGGCTGTCGAGGAGATTGCGACTAGGAGGGTGCAGCCGGTTCTTGATGAGATCAATGAGAAAGCCGCCATTGAGCGAGAGCGTCAAGAGCTCCTCAGAGCGGAGGCAGAGGCGAAGAAGAGGGACGAGGCGAAGCAAAAAGATCGTGACAGAGAAATCAAAGAGATTAACCGCAAGATCATCGGTAAGTAATCGATCATTGATCATTGACCCACGTCTTCAAGACTAACACATACGCAGAGCAAGAAAAGCAAGAAGAGAAGGAGAGGAAGCACCGAGAGAAGCAAGAGCTCAAGGCTAGGAAGGAAGAAGAGAAGGCTGCAAGAGCTGAAGAGAAGCGCAAATCGAAGGGCCCCGAGCCTCCGGGCGACTCGGCCATCGCGTGCGACTCCAGTGAACCTTCGGCAACGATCGATGACCATGATGTCTCGGTTTCCCGCCGTGCAAACCAGAACATCCCTAATGTCAACACTCAGAGGGAAGCCTTCAACAGCGACAACCCCCGGTCGCCGAGCGAGAGCGGGTCGCCGACGAACAAGATGAAGGAGTGGCTCAAGTCACGCTTCTCGCGGCCTCGGGGTCGCTCTTCAGCGGGTGAGAACGTTGATGAACGCGGGTTCATTGGCGGCGTGGCACTCACGCGAATCGCCAACGAGAGCGCGACGAGCCTTGACGCAAGGTCAGCCAGCATGAGAGAAGTTGCGATCGCCGGCAAACCGGAAGCCGATGCGCCCAGGTCACCGGCGGACGGTGAGAGCAGGACCCGGGGATCGCGTGATGTGAGTCCTGTCAGCTCAGACAGCGGATCGGAGCGGTTTGTCGAGGCAAGGGATGACATCAAGGGGCCTGTTTCGCCGCCGATACGGGACCCGAGCCTACACAAGAGTGTCAGCCCGACACGGGATTCGCGGTTCCGTGAGATCATCGAATAGTTCCTGGGATCATGGGATCATGGGTTCATGGGTTTGACGGGCCGGCGTATACGCGGCCCTGCTTTGGGATTCATGTTTGGAGAGAAGCACATTTCCAGTTTCCTAGCGCGTGGTGTTGGTGGGATTGGCGAGAACCGTATGAGCTTTGGTTCGTGTGTAGCCAAATTCACCTCGACAGGTCTGCATCTCTTTTCCTTTTCTTTTGGGCGCGGGGGTTCTGTCTGTTCAGTTGCGTTTCCTATTATTTGGCGACGAGCGATGATTATAAAACTGGACAAAATCGAGTTGCAGTGCCCATGCCATACGCTACCCCCACACCGTGACTGTTGTATGCTGCCGGCCCATTGGCTTTTCTTCTGCCATGCGCAGAGAAAGATGTGTATGTGACCGGGTGAGGAAATATGAAGGCACAGAGGTTGCAACATCCCGTTTGACTCAACCTACTCTGCCGTTTGATGGATCAAGCGGAGAGGACAACAATACAAGGGGAGTATCCAAGAAATGTATCATATTTTCTATGGCTTGTTCAAAATGGCAAAGATCTAAATAGAGGCCCAAAAATCCCGGCAAATAGGGGAATCTCGATGCGCCAAAACACCGGCTTCTCATAACGTCCCCCTAGTATGCTGGTGCGTTTCGCACCCCCGTTCCATTAATCATGATTTTGGTGAAGCTTTGTACACAACTCCGTGGACCCCTGCCCCGCTTGGCCTTTCACATTATAATTCTTCGCTTCTATAAGTAGCATCACAGCCAGCACAGCTAAAAACGCGGCTGGCCAGGCTGACCAGCGTTCCACTCGCGCATGCTCCCCGGCTTCTGGAACCGGTTCGCCTTGTTCCTCGTCCTGGCCGCGGGCAACAGGTCGACGGTGAAGGAAAAGACGTAGAACGAGAAGATGAAGGCGACGACCCACTCGAGGACAGCGGCGGTGTTGTAAGTCTCCCTGAAGTTGCAGACGATGAAGGCGACGGCTAGCGCGACCTCGACGATGATGAAGACGAGCTTAATCCAAAATGAGATCGCGAGGCTGGGGTGCTCGGGGTACTTAATGCCGAGGCGTTGGTACTCCCAGCAGATGAAGATGGCGGACAGCAGGTAGCCGGCCATGAACAACAGTAGGAACAGGAGGTGGAGGTTCTTGTGGCGGTAGGTATCGAAGATGCTGAGGCAAACGAGGCCGACGGTTCCGACGAGCGCAAAGAAGATGGTGAAGCCGTACAGGACCTTCTCGCCAGTCGATGTGTTGGGCACGAGGCGGCCGCGGTGACGGAGCCAGCGGTCGGAGAAGAAGGAGAGGTCGAGAAAAATGGCGGTGATTACGCAGCCCGTGATGAAAAGGGGCTTGAGGTAGTAGGCGCCGACGTCGCTGATGTAGGCGATGGTTTGCGGGGGGGTCATGGACGGGTAGACGACGCGGTTCGTGTCGATGATCCAGTAGAGGAGCATGCCGAGGAGCATGCCAAGCCAGACGAGGCCTGATATAATGGGGAAGATCTGGGCAGTGTGGTTAGTTGGGCGGACGAGTGGGAGGGTGGTCCAGAAGACGGAACGTACCCAGTATGATAATATCCTCATTTTGGCACGACGCGATATGGTACTGCCGTATTCTGCTCGAGGTGTAAGTCTAGGTCGCCAAGACGTTCACGATGCAAAAAAGTTCAAGTGACAGGTCGTTAGGGCGGGTTATTCTCAATCCACTATAACCAGCCAGTGGGGGATAGAGAAAGAGAGAAAGAGAGAAAGAGAGAAAGAGAGAGAGAGATTGTGTGTGTGAATTGGTGACGAAATATGACGACCAAGGAAAAGCGGACTGGTCAGTAGTCGTCACTTACCAGAAATAACGGGTGTTATTGCCTATTGAATTTTATCAGACGGGAATGACTTCAGTAAAGCAACCCGCAAAAGAGGAAGTGTGGCACAGGCCGCTTCCAGGTGAGGAGAAAAATGTGGTTGAAATGATTCACGCAGAGTCCACCGACTTGGAGAGGTGCTGGGGGTTAATGAAGGGGCGCCCTGTGCAGGCGAGAGATGCCTGCGTACGTCAAAGATCGGGCAGTGTCTGATCACCAGTGGTGAAAACGAGAGAAGCGGCAGGAGAGAGCGCGTGGCCCGGGTCGCAATCGCGGACTTAAGAAGGACATCGGCGCCCCGTCCCCGTTGCGCCTTGGTTGCTTATGGCTGATTGTGGCCCGCTTGGCCCGGGCTGTGTTCGGGCACATTCGCTCTTCTTTGCGTCTTACACTACAGAGTACACTACCTGCTACCGCGTGTTGTTTGTCCCACCTTGTGTCTGAAGTCATGAAATCGATCGGCACTTGAGAGAGGTTCTGGTTGCTGGTTGGGACCCTCACCCCTAGTCAACGGCGCGTTGTGGGGGTACCATGTCATCGGTCTGGGAGGAACCGCCGGGATGACGTAGGCGGAGGAGTGTTGACGCCGGACGCCCCGAGGGCATCTTTCCGCAACTTAGCAAGCTCGAACTCGCCGTAAGTAACCCGGCTTGAGACCCCAAAACTGGCGTCAAGAAGAGGAAATTTCGGGGCCCCTAGGTTTCCAGTCTATTTTACGATTTTAGTCTTTGACCAGATCAGGAAACATGAAGTGTATCGTTCGGGCAATCAGGGAGGGACGTCAGCAAGGTCTCGACCAACCTCCCCCTTTCCTACTGTTTCCCCCTCCCCCCTTTCCCCCTTAGGTGCTCTACCTCAACCCAGGTGGGGGGGGGGGGAAACACCGCGGCCGGGAGGTGAGCGGGAAGGATGAAGCCCTGAACTCATTGTGCATGCCACCCAAGGGGCAGCATGCCAACCTCGGACAAACGGGGAACAACCATGTCCGCTTTGGATCAACACCATGGTCACCACTACACGTGTACCACCCGCACCGCCGCACTCTAAAAGGTATGCTTCATCAGGTTTGACAACAGTTCCTTCTAGTAGGTATTACTTTTGGGGTTAGCTCCTTCGCAGCCCAACCCGCGCCATTGCCCGCGCCAGTATGCCCACGTCAGTTAGTGATCACTCCGTGCCGCGTAACGAACTGGAAGGCGCAGGGCCTTGGCTTTCCCATGCGCCTCGCTGGTGAGTAATTGTCAATATAAGTGTCTGCGAAAGGTCAGAGAGACGAGAGCAGGTGATGTGTCGTGGTGGTGCTGTGTCACAGTAAGCAGACAGAATTGGGACATTTTCCGTCGCTGCGGTTGCAGAAAAGACATGTCGGAGATAGCTTCCTGGTCGGACCTTGCTCTGTGCCAAAAATCGGAATTTCGAAGTTACTGAGTTGGATGCATCCTGCAGTAATAATACGTTGATGGAATCGACTCAAGATCCAACAATCGGACAGGCCCCTTCCTGATTGTGGCTTAACACGACCTGTGGCGCTTGCAGCCAATCAGCTGCCGCAGCTTTCACAAGGCTGCCTTTATCTCGCCGCCTTGTCCCTCCATCAACCTCGAACCCTCTCCATTGTGACCACATCTATCTCGACCAACCCACGATGTCGGCATCACCCCTCGTCGTGCGCGCGACCGATGCGCTCAAATCTTCGGGTCCTACCGGTTCTCCTTTCCGCAATATCTCCTCCGCTCAGGCATCTTCGGGCAATGGCACACCACAGCCCCCAAAGGACAAGACGGCGGCGCCTGTGTCGGCCACGGCCCCGACCCTGGACCTCGCCGAGCAGATGAATGAAGAGGAGAAGAAAAAATACGTCAAGGGTCAGTGCTCACTCCATTGCTGAATTCCGCGCGAAAAGATGAGAATCTCTGACTGAACTGCCTCACAGGTAAGAAACTCGGAGAGGGTACCTACGCTATCGTCTTCCTCGGCCACCTGCGCTCAAACACGTCGTCCCTCGTCGCCATCAAGAAGATCAAGGTCCAGAAGGAATACCAAGAGGGCATGGCACCAGACGCCGTACGCGAGCTCAAGCACCTCCAGGAGCTGCAGCACCCCAACATCATCTCCCTGCTCTCCGTCTTCTCGTCAAAGGATCAGAACCTTAACCTGGTCCTCGAGTACCTGCCCCTCGGCGACCTCGAGATGCTTATCAAGGACACGGCCAATGTCCGCTACGGCGCTGCCGACATTAAGGCATGGATGGGAATGCTCACCCGCGCTGTCTGGTTCTGCCACGAGAACTTTGTCTTGCATCGCGATATCAAGCCTAACAACTTGCTCATTGCCGCCGACGGCGAGGTGAAGCTAGCCGATTTCGGTCTCGCCCGGAGCTTTGCCGACCCGTACCAGGTCATGACGAACCAGGTCATCACTCGGTGGTATCGCCCACCCGAACTGCTCTTCGGCGCCAAGCACTACAGTGGTGCCGTCGACGTCTGGAGCGTCGGGTGCGTCTTTGCCGAGCTCATCATCCGCGCGCCCTACATGCCTTCCGAGACGGAGGTCCAACAGATCTCCCTCATCTGCCGTGCCATCGGCACCCCGACCGAGGACAACTGGCCCGGGGTGACGAAGCTGCCCGCCTACACCGTGCCCGACGACGCCGAGCCCGTCAAGGGCAAGGAGTTTTATCAGGCCATGTTCGGCACGGTCGGTCCCGAGGGTGTCGACCTGCTCATGAAGACCTTCGTCCTCGACCCCAGGAAGCGCATCACCGCACGGGATATGCTGAAGCACAACTGGTGGCGCACCGAGCCCAAGCCCACGCGCAAGGAGGACCTTCCCAAAAAGGGCGGCGGCGAGGACAAGATGGGCGCGGATCTGAAGCGTCGGCCCGGCGTCGTCGACGAGGATAGAGGTTCCAAGGTCGCGCGCAAACTGAACTTTGGTCAATGATGACGGCCGACATTATTGCCATTACAAATTTGATTACAAACAAAAAGCATATAGCATTCGAGGCGTTATGGTACACGGAGGTTAACGGGTAAAAAAGCAAGGGGGTATTTTTTTTTCTTCTTTCCTCTGCGTATGTAGGTAGTACTAGCACGGGCTAGTGAACAGGAGCCTCCATATTTCCCGAGACGTCTATTTTGGTACTCCAGATATAAAACATCCAACAAAAATTAGAAAGACTAGAGAGGACGGCCATCGTGACAACGTGACATCGTCCAATATCCAATCCCTAGTCTTCCCTTTCCGCCTTCTCTGGTCCAGTCCGGCGATTACATCAAAGAACACTCCATGCCATACATGGCCCTTTCGACGTCCTTCCTGACCTGGTACCAATCCGCGCGACGCTGGGCGAACTCATATGCCTCCTCGGCGCGGAAAACGCCCTCGAAGCGGTCGCCGTCGGCGATGATGGTAGCCATCTCCTTGGCGTGGCGCGGGTCGATAAGGTAGATCTGGCTCAGCTCGCGCAGGGCCTTGAAATAGGCCAGCAGGTCCTGGTTCTTGAGGGTGCGGATGTACTCGAAGTACAGGTTCATGTCGGCGATGAGCTTTATGGCGCCCTGAGTACTGATACGCTGGCGCTTGAGGTGCTTGCACACGGCCGTGAAGAGGCGCAGGCCGACCTCGCCGTTGAAGACGTCGAGCATGGATTTTTCGGTGCTGCCGACAAGCATGCGCGTGTGCGCCGAGACGAGCTCCACGATGCGCAGTGCCGTCTGCGTCGGGCCTGGGTCCGCGAGGATGCCGCCCGTCTCCTCCGGGTTGTAGTCGGTCGGCTGCTGCGTTGTGCCGTGGAGGTACTCGACCTCGTCCATGAGCACGTCGATGCCTTTGTTCAGTCCCGCCGCGACGCTCTCGTCGAGCATCTGCTCCCACTTCTTCTTGGCGATGCCCGCCGGGTCGAGGAAGTCGTTCTTGTCGGCGATCTTTGGCCCCGCCAGCTGCTGCTCGTAAAACACGTCAATCATCTGCGAGATGAGGTCGCCCACGTTGACGAGCTCGATAAAGGTCACGAGCGGCGCCACTCCCGACTGGTTGTGGTCGCTGACCTCGCGCGGGTTGTAGTGCGATAGGTGCTCCACGGCCTTGTCAAAGCCCGGTTTAACATGCCGGTTGCCGAGGATGCGGAGCATGACCACGAAGATGGTCTCGCACTGCTCCCGAGCCTCCTCGCCGTACTGACCACCTAGCTTGATGAAGCTGGACGCCCGGGCCATGCTCGTTTTGGCGGTGTGTGTTAGGTTGAGGGCCACTTCGATGCTGAACAGCGTCTTGATGCCCTCCATACGCGACGCCATGAGCGCTGCCTTGGCCGCCAGCTCGTCGGTGGGTGCCTTTTCTGGAAGCGGGCTGAGCCGTCCACTGCCGTCCACGCCGCCAGGCGCAAGACTGGGGGTGTGTGGTCTGGATGGCTGCGGCGAGATGCCGGATGTGCCGTTTGCCGTCGCGGGTTTCGCTGCCGAAGTCCCAAATGAGGGCAGCACCGTGACTGGCATCATGACCACCTTCTTGAAGGAGCTCAGAAAGTCCTTCTTGTCCGCCTGCCTGTTGAAGTTGCTCATGTAGAACGACTCGACCGAGGCGTCCTGCTCCGAAAGCTTCTTCTCCCACTCCGCCACCTCCGTCTCGGCGCGTTGCGTGAAGAAGTCGAGCTCTTCCTGCAAGTACAGGTCGAGATGCGGTTCAAACACCCTCAGCATCATCTCTTTTGCCTTCTCCTCGACACTCCCCTTGAAAGCCTCCGGTACTGCCAACGATTTGAAGAAGAGCATGCCTTGCTCAAACACCCCCGCCACGGCCTTCAAGTACGAAAGTCGATTCTGGTCATGCGTAGCGTCGAATAGGGGTGTGATATAGTCCATAATGATGTCCTCCCTGACCTTCTCCATCAATTCCCAAAACACAACATCTGGGTTGGCGAATATGCGCTCGATAACCCCCGCTTGCTCGTTCATCTTCTGCAGCAGTATCTCAAAGAACGCACGTGACGGCTCCAAGTTGACGTCTTCCGGGTTGGCCCGGTTGATGCAGTCCACCGCGTTCGCCGACAAGACGTCGCGGTCGCTGAAGATGGGGTGCTTCTGCACGAACAGCTCCGTCCCGCGTTGCCGCCGTTGAGCGCGTGCAGCACATGCGCGTACCGCTTCATTCTACCGTCGACGTCCCAAAATTCGTAACCCTGCTCGAACTCCCGAAGCACCGCGCTCTCAAAAATGCTCGTCATGGTCATTAGTCGATCCTCTCGCTGGTTCCACCCTTGCGCCCAGTCGCTCTTTGCAAACGTCTGCAGGTTTGACAGCATCCTTGCCTGCCGTTCGGGATCCCGAAACACCTGGAATACAATGGGATCTGTGTGGCTCTTCGCCCTGGCCAGGTCGTAGTAAAAGGGCGCCAGCGCGCCGTAGATCTTCCCGTACTCTTCCCTCGCACGCCCCCTCACGCTCTTTACATTCTTAATCACGTCCAATAGTGCCTCTGGGTCCTTGAACGGGTCTTTGGCTGCAGCTGCTCCCACCGTCATTCGTTCGAAGCCGTCGATAGGAGGGGCGACGATGGACTGGCGATTTCGGCGCGCTTCCTCGACCGTGGCATCGAACAGAGTCGTACTCGTCAGTTTCGGTGCCACATGACCTGCGGCAGCGCCCGGCTGGTTGTTGGCTGCGTTCGCTGCGCGTTCCGCCGCTTCCCGTCTCCTCTTCACAGCCTCCTCGAAACGGCGTCTCGCCTCTTGCTCGTCCCAGCACCCCATGCTCTTCAACCGGGCCACCCATCTTGTATCATCGTATACCATCTCCTGCATTCGACGAGACGCTCGAGCAACCTGCATCAGGTCTGCCACGGGGAGGTAGTCCAAGATCGCAACGAGGATTTCTGTCCATTGTCAGCTTATCGCGTGTCTAGTGGACCAGGGCCAGCATGTTCTAACCTGCTGGAAGTGTCGGTCTTGAATCCAACATCTCCGTCGCCTTCAAGGCGCCGAGGATGCCACCCCCCTGAGGGGCTGTTCCTCGAGACCTATACATGTTGGCGGAAGGGATATGACTGGTGCATCTGGGATGCAATGGTTGTTGTCTATCGCCTAGAGGCAGTTGGCGGTCCCTCAAATCATGGCAAGGCTTCTCGAATGCAACCGTTGTGTTCGGGCGGGGTTGAAGAGGACTTTGTTGGATTGTTGTACGATCTACAGGTGTACTAGCTGACGGCTGCCCGTCAGCTATTAGGGGGGCTCAGTTATGATTTGGTTCTCCCCAACCAGGTCCCTGCAACGGCTGGTGCCAGCTGCGCTAGAGCAAGCCCCTACACCTTGCTGGACTTGACTCGTCCTGTGTTCCAGCAATAATACGGCGAATAATCAAAAATTGATCTCTTTCTTGATGTGTATTTACCAGAGGCTGACGACCTAGTAATCTTCAAGAAACCAGTCGTTTAACCTCTGGCCTGTTGTGCTCGCTAAAATCGTGATTTATCATGTCTATGCCCGAACACACGGAACCTATACGTAAATGTTGCCGATGCCTTTGCGTTCCAAAAATCGATCCTTCCAAACACCCCATATCTTGCGCCAGCGCATGGTTTTCAAGAAGACTCGACTGAATGTTTTCCGCCCTCTTATGATCATGCTCAAAAGTGGCCTCATAGTTCATCCTCATCTCGAGTGATTGAATCCGTGACACCTGAAGTGATTCGTCGCGACACCTGTCCAAACAGGCATTCCCATAGGTCCTCCGCCGCGACCGCTTCGCCTGCGTTCTTGTCTCTGCTCATTAGGCGGTTCAGAGAAGCCTGCTCCAGCTCGAGGGTGTTGGCAGCCTCCAGAGTGGGCTCCTGAACCTCCGGGGTGGACACTTTCGACTTTCCTTTGGAACTTTGGCCCATGTGTTCCATGCGTCGCTTCACTGACAAGTTGTAGATGGACTCTTCTACCGAACCCTCAATAAGATAAAGCCATACGGTGGTCTCGTTCTTCTGGCCAATTCGGTCGACTCGAGCAATCGCTTGCAGCTCGAGCGCCGTATTCAGCAGCGGCTCGCACAGAAAGACGTGGCTGGCATTGACAAGATTGAGACCACTTGAATTGGCCCGCCCATGGAGCATGAAGCACTCAACACCGGGATCCTCTTTGAATCTCGTGATCCCCTTGGGCCGGTCAATAGTGGAAAACCCAATCTTGTAGCGATCAAATGCTGCGCCTAGAATTTCAAGAAAGCTCTTGTACCTGCAGCAATGTCAGTAGAGGCCATGAGGATGGGTAGGTCCGGCTACACGCACTGGGTGAAAACAATAGACTTGGCACCGGGGTCCGATTCCCTCAACCAGAGAACATGCCGTACGAGTGTGTCAACCTTTGTTCCGAAGGACAAGGAGCCCAGTTCAACGTCGTTGATCTGAGCAAGCTTTTCGGAGCTGAAGTGGGAGTAGATACCACTCGCCTTGGCGGCTTGGTTTTTCTTCACTTCAGGCAATGGGCCAGTTGCTGTGTCTTCGTGCATTTTCAGCTCTCTGGGTTTCAGAGTAATATCATGCAGCTCAGTAAGCCGGAGCGTCCTTTTGCACATGGGACAGTTATGGTGTGCTCGATACCATTGCTTCAGGCAATCTCTGCAGAACTCGTGGCCACAAATCGTTAGTATACCTGTCGTGAAGTATGCCTGACAAATGATGCACCATCGAGGCTCGTTGGACTGGCCGCCTTCGCTTTTGAGATTGAGCACTAAAGTAACGATCAGTCACAGATATCCGCATAAGCCAGGCTGTGCTACACTCACAGTAGCGATGCTTCGCCCTAGCCGAGTCAAGCTTATTATGGTGTCTCTCCTCATTCACTACACAGGCCGCTATGGCCTTATCGTCATTCGGGCCCTCGTAAGGAGCGACGCTATCGGAAACAGCTTGCAGCTGCCGATAATACTCGACCCTGGCGTTCATGGCATTCGTAAATCGGTCAACTTCGCGTTCAAGCGCCGTTGCAGTCTTTGTCTGAGAGGTTATGTATGCTTGAGTGGCTCTGATCTGCCGGTACACAATCTCACGCTCGGTGTCTGCTCGACCGCCAGTGCCGTCTTTTGGCAGTCGCGAAGCGATGGCTCGAAGATCGGCAATGACGCGGCGAAGGGAGCCATGCTTGTCCGGCAAGGGCTTCACCTCGTCCCTAAGACGATAAAGAGCAAGGAGTTTCTCTGGGGCTGGGCCGTCACCATCCTCAGCGGCAGCAAGCGAGACTCTCATCTCGTGTTTGACGAGCGCATTACCAAGGCCTGAGATGGCTTCCTGGCGATCGGCGATGGCGGCACGCAAGATTTGCACATAGACAATGAGTTCCTCCTGGATCCTGGTCGAATCCGTGAATTCCTCGCCAGTGATCTCTGCTTCCGCTTCTTCGTCAATAAGTGGCTGGCAGAGCAGCTTGATAACAGCTTCTCTCCACTCATCAATACGGTTTGCCTGTTCATTCAGAATGGCGTAGAGCTCTTCAAGCATTTCAAGCGTTGGTCCGCTTTCTAGGCCTCTCATCTCTTCAAAGACAAGTTCTGGTATCTCAACAAACGACTGGCTCTGGGCTTGCCGTTCCAGTCTGTTAATCAGTGACATTGCCCTGGCGTGGCTCTCCGAGAGAATTTCTCGTCGAATCTCTTGGGCCTTCCCGTATTCAGAATCTTCTAACTGCTGTAGCTTCTTGAACTGGTCTGAATCGGGTTCAGTCATGTCGGTATTAGATTTGATCTGGAAGAAAGCATTGGCACAGAAAAAGGTGGCTTTGTGCAGGACCTCCAAAGCATGGCGCAACTTCGCCCGAGCCTCACCGACGCGAGCGTTGTTTGCCCCGTCATCCCCTCCATCTTCGTCAATGTCGTTCGAAGCAGAAGCGTCACCTCCAGCTTCCTGCGTATGACTGGAGGTAGTGCTCCTGCGCATGGTGACTACCTCGTCCAGAATCGCCTTCAGCTCTTGTCGGCACTCCACGACGAGGACTGCAGCATCTTTCTTCACTCTTTCCCATATTTCGAGGGCCTCTTTCACCCTAGGTCCATTCTCGAGCATTTGCCCATGCGTGAGCCTAGCCTGCAAGTACGCCCTGTGATCGGTTCTGATATCGTTGTCGCTTTGCTCGATCATTGCGTCCAAGACTTCTCCAACAGTGCGCATAGGCCCAACTTTGCGACCGGTCCCTCGTCTCTGGACGATTTCAGGATGTAGGGCCGCTTGTCTCAGTCGGTTGAGCCAAGTCCGCATCTCATTTTCGTAATCCTCCGGCACCCAATCTGCCTGCAGAGGAGCGCCGAGAATGTCCACGCCGCAACGTCGGGCCATGTTTTTGAACATCTCACTGTAGTACTGCTCCTCCACGGCAGTGAACGGCAGAGTTATCACGAATCGCTTCTGCGGCGGCACCACAATCTCGTGCCTGACCAGCTGCTTGGTATGACGCAGAGCGATACTTCCGAATAGAGAGCGGAACAGGGGCTTTTGGGACTCTGTCAAGGATCTCCAAACTTGAGGTGACGAAGCGTAGGGTTCGTAGCGCAAAAAGTCGAGCAGGCCATACAAGTCTTTGACGTCGTTCTTCACCGGCGTTCCAGTGACGCCCCAAGCATTGATACGAGGAAGAAGCCTGGCAACGGCGGCTGCTCCAGTGACTCCGCTCTCAATCATCTGTGCCTCGTCAAGGCAGACGCGCCACCATGATATCTTTGTAAGGGGTGACCCCGCACGTTCGTACTTCCTCTCTTGGCGTCGAGATCTTTCAGGTGCCTTCACCGCGAAGTGAACCTCTGCTGATAGGACCGGGTAAGTCGTGATAACAACGTCATGGAAGGCCAAATCTGCTCGAAGCTCCTCCTCAGTGTCGAAATTGACGTTTTTGCGTCCAGGGTAGTATTTGACCTGTAGATGAGGCGCATGACGTTCAAGTTCTTCGATCCATTGCTGTTTCAACGAATCTGGAGTGACGATTAGGGTGGCACCAGTTGTGAGGAGCTCCTCGCCTTCTTTTGTATGCACGACATCATCGGTGGGCGGTCGACAATGAAGGGCAATGAGACCAATGATTTCAAGCGTCTTGCCGAGACCCATCTCTTCGGCTAGAATGCCACCTCTGACAGACTGTTCCGCGTGTTGAAAAGGCCCAAGGTCGGTAGTGACGACGTGATACAGATTGCTGACGTAGAAGGACCTTCCGGTTCCTAGTTCATCCCGGATTTTGCGGAAGCTGTGGGCGCCGTCGACTTCACGCGGAGGTGGCGAGTCCTCGATAGAAGGGAGAGAGCCAGTGTTAGATCCATTCCAACAAACACCCTCCCGCTTGAGAAGCCATTGTACCGTCTTCTTTTGGTATGGATAAAGAGAGGCAGTCAATTCTGGCACCTCGATCGATAGAGCTGTCTTGTCATCCGCGGCAGGAACATGAGCTGCCTCGTAAAAGTCCAGCAGAGACCAACTTTCTCGTCCTCTGTTGGTGGTGGACGAGGAAGCTACATCAGGTAAGAATACGTCGAGAACCCGCTGGCTCAGTTTGCGCTCTACTGACGATCGCAGCCGGCTGTAAGGAGTCTTGGTTTCGTTCCAGTATAGGTTGAAGCAGAATGACACCTTATAAAATCCACCCTGGGTACTTGCAGTGGCGTCAAGGGAAACCCAAAGTTTCCCTTCTCCGAGGGCCTTGGTCCAGTGACATGCAAAAACATCCAGGCATGCCGCCAGACGTTTGGTCATGATATTAGGCTGGATTGCGACTGTAGCGTTGATGGGGAGGGCATCAGTCCGAGGTCGGGCGGTAATTCTTACTTCTTTAGACTGGCTCAGCCAGAAACGCAGGTAGGATCCGATGTTGCGACGGCAAACCCGTTGGGGGCCGTCAACCAATGCTCCCTCTGGGCACTTCCGCACAAGTTCCAGTTCCTCCTTGGCTAGCAGGAGTGCCTCAGCATCGCCATCATATCGCTTGACCCGCTTAGACGGTGGCTCAGCAATACCTTTGCCCTGAGATTGGTCTTCACTGTCGGTTAGAAGGGTGTGCAGCTGGTCAATAAACCCAATGGGCCAAGGTTCTGAAATAGGTCAGAATATGTGCACTTCTCATCTCCCGATGAACAAACTGTGAAAACCAATTGTGGTGGTTTCTGGAATCGCCTTGCTGCGTTGCGCCCTGCTCTTTGAGCGACCCATGGTGGACCACTCTAAGGCGCACTGTTTCAACTGCTTGAACAGACTTCAAGACGGTACAGATACTGAGAACATTTATTGCTATGTTCAACAGTGGTCGGTTGGACGACTCTGGAGGATGGAAAAATGATTTTCTCTGCGACTAACGCGGCCGGAAGCAGGGGCATCATGATATGCGCAAATGATTGGGAGGAAGGAAGGAAGGAAAGAAGGAAGGACGGAAGTTCCCCGCGGTAGCTTAGCTTAATCGATAAGCATTAAGCAGGCAGGCAATCATAGGCAAAAGTCACGGCGCATTTACCTGCAGGGTTGCCTAATTGTTGACGCGACAGATGGCGGGGCGCTGCTAGTTTAGCGGAGGCGCCCCTGGCAGAATAACCACTGGCGAACCATGAGCATGGGTGACACGCCATAGTGTTTTGAGAAGGCGGTGAAGGTTGGGAAGCTCGGACCCCACCCATCGGTCCATGTCGAACAGATTACCTAAGGCAAGTTTATCCCGATCCTTAGCGTCTGTCGGAACAAAATTTGGGAGGACGGCCAGTTGAGCAACATCGCGAGGCCCATTGAATTCGACGACATCCCACGTGCAAGCTCGAAAACAGCCAAACACCTGGCTCGAGAAGCTCGCATGTCCATTCAGTATGCGATTGGCATCTAAAGCATCTCTGACTCCGCCGATTGGAACTGACCCTTGCCCCTAGGTCACGATGAGAGCACCACGGATCCAGCAGTTTCTGAGCCCCTTCCTTCGCAAGGCTCCCGCCGCGCCAACTTGCCAGGCCAGATGGCTCCATAAGACACGAGAGGCTCCCGCGGTCCCGTCGCCGATACCACTAGTTCCCGATGTTCCGACTCTGCTCAAGGTCCTCGGCCGCGGCCTGAGCCAGCACGTCGACAAGTTCCCCTCGTGGGAGGCTCTCTTCACCCTCTCGTCGACACAACTTAGAGAGCTCGGCCTCGAACCACCACGGACCCGACGCTACCTTCTCACTTGGCTCGACAGATACAGAAGGGGCGCATTTGGCGTCGGTGGTGACTTCAAGCACGTCGAGAATGGGGAGGCCTACCTCAAGATCATCCGTGACCCCGTGACGGATAAGAAGCTGGTCGTCAACGTCCCGGCCGGTACGGACGTAAAGGACGTCCCCGCCGACAAGCTGACGAGGCCGTCGGGTTACACGGTACGCGGCCTTCACACGATTACCGGTCCCCACGCCTTGCCCCTGAAGGCCGGCGAGGGCGCGCGTGTGGTCGTGGCTGAGGGCATGTGGGAGCACAAGCAGGGTCACAAGGTGGATGGAGGTGAGCGCAGAAAAGCAGAGGTTCGCTTCAAGAAGCGTATTGCCGCGCGCAGGGCCGAGAGGGAGGCTCAGGGTCTACGATAAACGCAGTGGGGTGTTCTTTTCTCGCGACCACGCCATTTTCCAGCCTCACACCACTTGACACCACCAACTGTACTATATTCATAGATCTTGTACGATACGAGGTTGAAAAATGGACAACGATGATCGATTGCTTGGGTCTAAATCCGCGGAAGATATTGATCTCTTCGACGTCGACATTTTGTTATTGGCACAAGCCATCGTGTGACTGGTGCTCCGAATCAGGTATCCCCTTACGAACTTGACAATGGCCGCTAGCTGTCTGATTGATCTCGGCGTCTCTGCCTTTTCGCATTGCGCTGCTTAGAACACAAGGTAGGTCCAATATTGGCGTCCAAGCAACTGTGCTGCATTGGTTGTTGTGCATAGGGTACTTGCCCGGCCTCGTTTGTTGACCATCCGGGACAACGGAAAGTGCAAAGCACCCATGGAGATGCCGCTATCGAGCTGGTGTGACTCTCACGGCACTCGATCTTGGCTGTAACCCAGATGAACAAGATGGTAGGCGCCATTGTTGCTAATTGTTTTACGAGAGTCAGCCCCATCGCAGTATATAATAGACAGGGCGACGCGTAGGAGGCCCGAGGCCAACTGGGCAAGTTTATGCAGTGAATCTTATCCAGCGCAACCTGACAGCCCCCCCCCCCCCCCCTTTTTTTTTCCCTTAGACAGGAGGAAGGGAGGGGTCAGAGTAATACCTGTTCGAGTTGCTTACTCTTGGCTGTGGTTCCAAGTTTTGTGCTCAGCGTCTTCTGGAGCATGTCCGGGGCCCTCCCATGGCAGCATACTTGAGAAATCGCAAGCCAGAGGAATAAAGCCAACGACTGCAAGCAAGGTATGTGTGCCTGTAGTGAGTGCGGGGAATGTATAAGTAGCTTGGATCAAAAGGCTCCAAGCAACGCACAACAAATGAATCGGTGGCCCAGCGTCACCTTGGACTTCAGTCAGTGTTTACTCGCGAGGAATTGTGAGTGGCGATGATGTGAGCTACGAAAGACACCATTTGGGACCGCTTCTACAAGGCGATTGATTGAGAGGCCCATATGAGCGGGCACATACTGCCCTGACGGTTAGGCTCAAGCAGCAATCTTTCGATGTTAGGCACACGGGCATGCCATCTATAGTCTGGTCCGTGTCATCATCATGCCGTCGCACACCTGTCAAAGTTGGGTGTCTGGATATATTCAACCACCAGATTGGACTATGCAGCCCGGTCGGAAGCCGCGCCATACTTGGCAGATCAGAGAACAGATGTCAATTCCTTGTTTCGCCAGAGTCGAGGCACCATTCTGCCTTGGCAAGGCAGAATCTGGTCAGCCAACGGCCCTCGTAACCGTTACGAGCGAGATGAACCGTGCGAGGCTGCAAGCGTACAGCATATCCAACCTCCCCTTACATGTATAAACGATCTTCATGTAGTCTGAATAGCACCAGGAAGAGAGTACTATCGAGGGCAAGCGTGTGGTTGTTATTTCTAAATCCGAATCGCGGACCTGAGCCAGCACGACGGAAGTATGGTATGTGCGACAGATATAGAGCATAACGGAAACGCTTGCTCTCTCGACCAATATATGTTTCGTAAGAATTTGGCCCTACAGCTGTCTGGCGTGACTGCGCAGAGGAACCACAGACGAGAGTGAAGGTTCAATAGAAAGGAGCCGTCTGATGTTAAGGTTTCAACTGTCAACCGTCCGGCGATCTTCTTCACACCGACAACGCGTTAGCCAATGAGAAGCTCCCTTGGCCGTTAAAGCTTCCACTGATAAACCCGCAAGCCTGGGATCAAGCTACTACTGCTAGTGTTTTGGATCAGCGTCTTCCAGATGCACAGTCTCTCTCATCCTCCAATCTTTTATCATCGCTTGGCCAACACACAGCAATATGGGAGCTGTCGAGGACGGACGCCGGAAGTGTGCACACTTTGCTCGAAGATGTTGAAGTGCGTGGATACGGCGGTTGATTACAACAAGAATCCCTGGTTAATTAGGCGTATATTGATGGTGTATGTGTTAGATGACTATGGCGAATTCGCTGTGGTTGTGGCCTTGGATTCGTGGCCATTTTAACCAATGTATTTGTCATCCAGATCGCCACTTTTGGGTGGGGAAATCCATTTAACTAGTGTAATGATGGCACTATTTGTTCCACTTTGACCCATATGTCCAATTGCCACACTTCAACAGAAGAACCACCAATGCTGTGCTATCAGCATGGGTAATTGCACCAGCTTTACTAATCATCGTCGTACAGCAGCTTGTCTGTAGACTCGTCGTACATCAAGCGTGGTACAGGTGTGCGGAATGACTACAGGCATGCAGCGGGTACGGTATCCGCGCCAAATAGTGTAGGTACCCCTATCGAACCCTTCTTCGACAAGCAGCCTGAGCCACTCATCCTCGTTGCATTACGCCATGTAGAGTAACAATTAGTCTTCGAATTCTAAACAGAAATCCTCTGGCGTTTGGTAAATGATTGTCACGCGTAGCTGATGGCACTTCTCAAAGTGAAAGCAAGAGGGGGGGCGTGACACGCTATGCAGACAACGCCAGTGCCGCTTTTACGGAAGTGATCCCGGCCAAAGCCTCATAGGCAAACGCCACAGATGTAGCTGCACGATAAATGACATTAGGCAACAAACGAGGCCGGTTTAACGATCCAACATTACAGGTTACCGCCCGCGAACTTATGCAAGGGTAGATGAGCGCCAATTTTCGATACTGCGCTGTTTGATTCAAGCGACATTTGGTTTGTCCAAGAACACCCGACGCCTGTGAACTGGGCGCTGTGCAACGCCCCGGCATTTTGGCATGAAGCAGCACCTGACGTCCAGAACGTAAAAACCCGGCAACGAAATTCGATTGATCAATTCTAGTAGAGCTGTTTTCAAACTCTGCCTGTCACGAGGTACCCAAAAGCAAGGCACGGTTCTATGCCGGAACCCCAACCCAACCGGCTGTTTTTCGTGCGGTTCTCTTCGGTTGGCGTTCCGGAGCGAGACGGGTTTGCGAATAGGGAAATTTCTGAGGTCTATCAATAAGCTTAATCCCGTCGATTCGGAGTATCCCGCAAGTTTCGCCCCTTCCTTCTCTCTGGTCACTGGATGTCATTTCCGATGGTGGAATGGACTTGGGCTGCTGCGTACCCGTTACATGCTTTATCCGATTCAATAAGTCGAAGAGAGGTTAGTATCGAAACCCGGAGCCGGTTGCCGTGAGGTGAGTGAGTCACTGAGGCCGGTATGCTGGGTAGCTTCCGTCAGACGCAAAAGACACACGCCATGCCGTTTCGTAATCTTCCACGTACCTTTTCCGTCCCTTGACCGACATGGCGTCAAGCCCCACCGCACACGAAGGGGCGGCCACTCTCCCGTGCAGCATGGGGTTACGACTCATCCATCGATCATATGCCTCCTCCACGACACCCTTTCCCCCATGGCTTTGTCGGCTGCGTCTCTTCGAGAATTGTCATCGAGCGTGCCAGCATCGCCATGTATTTGGGCCTTAGCTAGGTGCGGCGTCTGTGTACCTGGCTGCTTCTACTGCTGCTGCCCGTCCTGGGCGAATAGGGTTGGACGGACCTAGGTATGCACGGGAGACGCCTCGATGCAGCATGAATGGGTGCGTCAGTTACCGGGCCCAAGGTCGAGAGGGTTTGGTTTTCTGGCTGGTTTTCATTTTTAATCAATCACAATCGATACTGCCCGTACGTTGTAAGTCAGTAGGCAGATAAGACAACCCATTCGCCAGCTCACCCACGTCAAGTACAACGTTACTGTTCAGTCATTGGTCGCTTCCCTAATCGATCTAGGGCTGGAGGCCAAAAAGGTCTCAACTCTACCCCCCTCCTTCTCTGCCCTTCAAGCTTTCGTCCTAGCTTGTCGCAAGGGCCTGGTTGGGTTGGCGGAAGTGTCTCTGATTGTTCTTCATCTTTCTGGGAGCTACCTCGTCAGGGTGGGTTCGGTGGTGACCATCCGGATACCCCTTGTCAGTGTATGTCCACATCCAGTACATGGATAGCGTCCATCTACGCAGGTCGTTACGTACCTACTTCACGAAATCCTCCGACAATACGTAGGCCTGAGGACGAAAGCTCCTCGCAACCTGGCCTCACTGGGAGCTCTAGCCGCTCAACAAGACCACTCACCAACCACTTTCCCAATTCCTAACCTATCGTGGGCGTTTCCTCGTGGAGCTTACGGACCTCATCGAGTCTGCTTTTTGGTCATGCCTTCTGGCGCGGCCAGTCGTTATCAGATGGATGGCATAATCCCGCATCGCACTCCCCGGACGCTGACGCGCGGAAGGTCATTGCGGGTCGTTACGACCTCTCTTGGACGTCAGGCACCTCTGGTCTTACTGGTCCATCGTATTTCGTATTCTTTCCGGATGAGGAAGGCTGCCACATGAGCCCCTGTCCTGTCCCGGCCAAAATAGCCAAGTGGCCGCGCCCCGCGTCCCAACCGCTGCCGGGCATAGTCCACACTTGCCCGTCTCTCACCGATCCGGTGCCCCACTGCCGTGTCTTGAGCACCCTTATTCTGTCAAGTTTGAGCTTCTTTCATTTCCTGTGGCCAGTTCCTCCATTTCTGATGCTCACCCAAACGCACTCACCTCTCGCGGCACCCCCCACCCCCCTTGGTTACCACACACATTCACACCCCCTGCTTGACCCGGCGTCGTGGACTCCACGACTACCCTTGCCCTAGTCGCCAATCCTTTGGCGGATTACAGTTCTGGTGAACTCATGGTCCATACCTGAGGAGATCCCTTGTCCCATCCTGGGTCACTCGATATCCTTTTCTTGCATATTCCGTCGTGGCAGCTGCATACTTTTGCGTCACCATGCGGAAAAAAGGGCAACTGACCGTACCTGGGTCGCTTCGAGTCTGCCCTGCCCATTACGCGAGGCTGTCTATGATCGGGTCCGGCATGTAAGTGCTAGTCCTCGAGGCACGGTTTACTAGTAGCAGCCTGAATATTACGGCTTTCGATATAAACTGAGGCTTTTCCCTAGCTCCATGAAGACTGAATAATGTCAGTATAGACGAACCATAACAGTTCCCTTCCTTGTCTGCACGACTGCCATATTAGTTGGCCCTCCTTTTATACATCTTACGACTGCTGTCCATATCAACGTCGTATTAGCCCAAGGCAATTAGGCTGGGATATATTTCCCATCGCAATCCACAGTGATATCGGTACCTGGCTGTTATTGAACTGTAAGTGCATCACGGCTCTACTTTTCCGAGTGCCCTGCTAACAGTCCAGGCTCCTTCAACTTCGCGCCTGCGATTCCTGTGGTTTAATACCTAAAGCTCCGCCTTTCGGGAGTCAGACGACTACTGTATCGTCAACTGCTCTTCTGGCAGGAACGGCCAACTACTCCCACATTCCTCTTAGAGTACACGAGCTTCGTGACTGAATCCCCTGGCGTGGTTGGCAATGTCCTCTAAGGCCTCGAAACCGTCAGAACCCAGCTCAAAGAAACAGCACTCGCCAAAACCCAAGTCCAAGTCCAATTCCAAGTCCACGAACGACAACTGGGCTGACATTACCGACCCTGAGGAGCGCCGGCGCATACAAAACCGCCTGGCCCAGAGAAAGTTCAGTATGTTGCCAAACCAGACCCCAAAAACACACTTGCGAGGTCTTGCTGACCGGCTGGCCAGGGAAGAAGACACAAGACAGCAAAGAGAAGGCCGTTCGCGACGCCCACAACGAGGCCAACGCTCACAACGCCTACGCTATCGCCTCGCCCTCCGCGGCGACGACGGCAGCGGCGGCAGGGGCGGAAGAGGAGTCCGGCCTACCATGGGGGAGCATCAACTTCAACCACGTCATCGCCCGAGGCCACGAGCACGAGAGCCGACGCGGCAGCCGCCGCGACGACTATGTCCGTGAAGAGCCGCACTACGCAGCCGGCTACGCCTCCAGCTACACGGGAGGCTATAACCAGCCCGCGAGCTACGGGAGTAGCGGGGGAGAGGACTACTACTACGGCGGCGAGTCGCCGTTTTTCTTCGACTATGATCAGAGTGACGACATGAGCCAGGGGCAGGCTGGACCGTAGGGCCGCCAGCAGACTGAGCTGACGCGCCTGGCCCACGCAAACCCCCATGAGCTTAAAACGAATCCCGGTGTGTTCAAAACGCATTGAAACTTCCTGCTCGCGGGGCCCTTGGTCGAAAGGCTTGGGCTTGGCTGGCTTGTACAAAACAGGGACGGCATTCAAGACATTTTGTCACCTAATTTACGGCGCTGGACCCCCCGACGTTCCTCTCTCCTTTTCATTCATGTACCCCCCCCTCATCCCATTTGTATTTTCGTACCTGTATCTGGGAAAAGCATGCGGCAGGTTTGGCTTATGGAATTTAACGAAGGGAGGATACCGACACAAACAGTTTACGACAGCACGATGGCGAAGATTACAGATAACCAGCCATATTAGATGTAAAAAAAGAACACTCTGACTCTTTCTTCCAACGTCTCTTGACTATGCATGGATGTTTGCTCCCTGGCCTCACATTGAGGCCACCGGAAACCCCTGAACCCCAAGAAGTCTTGCTGTTCTACGTGACCCCCCCTCCTATAGCTAAACTTGCCATTCGGCGATTTGGTTGGTAGGAACGCGTGAGGTCCAGCGACCAGAGAGGATCATTCTTAGCTGGGACCCCGCTACCTAACCGGGAGTCGAGACCAAGATCCCCATGATGTTTCGTCCCAGATGGCTGTACACCTTCACGCTCTTTTTTGGAGGTTGACTTGAGGCATCAAGTCAACCCCTGAACCGAGTACTGTACACAAAGGAAGCCTAGCAGCGTAGCACACGCGTTTACCCTGATCTGGCAAACCCGTTATCCGAGCTCGACGGGCGATGTAAGAGAGAGATCCCAACTTGAAGCTATGTGACGCCCTCTGTCCCTGCATGAACTCCGTGTGCACGGAGGCGTTCCAAACACAGTCATGTAAGTCGCGCGTGCGAATAGGGGATAGTGCGCGTTTGTATCAGACAACGTGACCCGCACCAGGTTGCCTTGGCTGGCGGCGTGTTAGACTAACCGCCCTAGGAGGCGTCGGGTTAGAGCTGCGGGAGGGTAAGACGGTAGCCATTTCGGTTCATTCTTGGACCAAGTGCTCTGCTTATGTCGTGGGAAGGTCACAACGGAGACCGGTGGAACCATGGCGACGTCACGACGGCCGCAACTACCTAGGATGGAGAAGAAGACTTGGCGAGGAATGCAGACTGGATGGAATAGAAAAGCCTGGGGTTTTAGTTACGCCAACTTTGGAGATGGTAGGCGAGAGTCTGATGGAAGGATAATTAGAAGAGAGAAAAGAGGGGCGGCAGTTCAGCCCTGCCGTATCTTGCCGGATAAGGAAAGGTCAGAGCTTCAAGGGACCTCGGTACGTACTGCCGGACACTGGACCGTAGCACAGATCACCTACCCCACACAGCAGGGGTGGAGAAGTGATGGGATGACCTGACCGCTCGGCAGAAATGGGCTCTTACCGGAATTTTTTGTCGGTTTGTCAGTTCCACCGCACATTTGCGACATTCGCGGTCTGGCAGAATCGGAGGCGGGAAACTAGCCAGCTGCTGAATATCCTGCCACACTTTGTCTCCACCACAATTGCTCAAGGACCCAAGGACGCTTGCACGACCAGGTCAGTTCGTTCATCATGGCGCCAGACGGAGACCAGACCAAGAAGCAGCCCGTCGATCCCGCGGTGCAGAAGCGCCGGCTTGAAGCCAGGGGTAAGAGTCGAGCCCAAACCCATGCGCTTTTGCGCACCGGCACCCAACTAGCCCGTTTTGCTGACTGACCTATATATCGATAGAGAGACGCAAGGCTGAGAAGAAGGCGAAGAAACAGGAGAAAGCCCAGGCTAAGCGCGAGCGCAAGGCCAACGCAACCCGCGCGGGCAAATGGTCGGACCGGAAACAGAAAAAGAATCCGGAGCGCGAAAGAAGGAAGGAAGACAAGCTGTTCAACCGCATGCTGAAGCGCGCCGACAAGCTCGAGGAGCAGGCTAAGAAGCTCCTGGCAGATGCGGCGCGCACGCGCGCGAAGCATGCGGCAATAGCCCAGCGGAGGGAGGTGAGTTTATTCGAGCATGAAGGCAAGTCAGAAGGCAATTGCTAACTGGTGTGGCTTGCAGAAGATCGCCGCCGAGGAAAAGGAGCTCGAGAGCAAGAATGAGGAAATCAAGATCTATGACGACGAGAGCGACTCCGACTCGGATTCCTCCGACTCGTCGTTAGCGTCTTCGTCGCCCGACTCCGACTCGGAATCCGAGGCGGAGGCGGAAGAGGGCGGCGTGCCTGTCGAGGATGGAGACGTCAATATGGGATCCGAATCACCGAATCCCAGCGCGCAACTCCGCGCCGAGAGCGAGGCCAGAGCGCTGAGCCACGAGCAGCAGATGGAGATCGACGAGGAAGAGAAGCCCAAGAAGTCCAAGAAGAGCAAGAAACTCGAGGAGAAGGTCGAGGAGGCGACGCCCGCCAAGAAGGAGAAGAAGGACAAGAAGGGATTCAAGGCCGAGGAGCCTGCTGCTGTCGAAGAGGCTGCCCAGACCGAGGAAACGCCTGCGACAAAGGAGAAGAAGGATAAGAAGAAGAGCAAGAGGGCGAAGGCCCCGGAACAGGTCGAGGAGGAGGCGCAGGAGCCCGTCAAAAAGTCGGACAAGAAGCGCAAGCGCTCGAGGGAGGAGGACGACGACGACGATGACTCTGATGGCGGGGCTGCGGTCGCCGACGAGACACCCAGTAAAAAGGCCAAGGACAAGAAGAAGACGAAGAAGCAGAAGAAGGAGGAGACGGACAAGACCTCTTCCGTCAACGCTGCGGCCGCGGCCGAAACATGGGACGTCGAGCAACTCAAGGGCGGCGCAGACCGTCAGCAGAAGTTCATGCGACTCCTCGGCGGCGGCAAGAAAGGCGCAGCCGCGGCGAGTGCCCCGGCCCCCGGCTCCAAAGGCAAGCGTGACATTGGCAAGATCACGCGGGAGCTCGAGCAGCAGTTCCAGGCCGGCGTGCAGATGAAGTACGAGGGCGGTGGCCAGCGTCGCGGCCTCGGCGCATAGGATGCCACTGCCGCTGCTGCTGCTTCCAAGGTAAAGAAGGCGACGCCGAAGCCGGTGTTGAAGAAGACGCACTGGAGCTCCTTGTTGTAACTTTCCCACGGTGTTTTTAATTACTGCAGCCCTGGCGTTTGCAAGGGCAAAATGGGTGGAGTCACAGACCAGATGAAAGGAACCGAAAAGCATTGCTTTGTAGAATAAGAAGGGAAAAAAAAAGATTTGGAATGCTTCTGAGCCGTTGACCGTTAGTCAAGCTACATGTGGATGGAGAAAGAAGACGAAATAGAATGCGCTGACAAATGGGGGAGCGTATTTTCTTGCTTCCCCCGAAATAACAAGAGGCATAAGGAGCACTGTTTTGTACAGACTCATCCCCGACCCCAGTGCCGGGGGGCCAAGATCTTGGGTGCCGGTTGCTGAAATTCAAATGCCTGAAAGAACCTCTTCCTCACCCCCGAGGCCAGGTAAGCTGTGTCTTGTTTGTCTGCAAGCTCCTTCCGACTCCGAGGTCCTTCCTACGCCAAAACGAGCAGGAACTCTGGTGGCTTACTGAGCGGGGATCAAAAGCCCTCGTCAGACAGATCCCGCTCTCATTTCCTAACCCCTTGTTCTTCCCCTGGATGATCTTTTATGACTGAGTGCGAATGAGGGCCGAATCAATTCAGAAGCCAAACATGCGAGAGCAGGCCTCAAAGACGATACCGCCAAAGATGACGAAGGCGAGGAGACCTGCACACAAAAGAGTGTTAGCGGCGGTCGCTGAGGGTTACAACTGATATATCTCGAGGGGTTGGCACAACGGGCAAAGGGAGGCGAAATGAACCGCGGGACCAGGTGTATAAGTTTTGGTAAAGAGAGGGAGCTGCTCACCGAGCCATACAGGAGAAATAGGCGACTTGGGCGCCTCCTTGGTGCGCTTCTTGATCTGATCCTCGGATTTGCCCATGCGGGACTCGTTGTCCTTGGCGAACTTTGCGTTTGCGCGTCTCTGTTGGGGTGTTTGCGCCTGCAGGTTGGGATGTTAGCAATGGGACAAGATCATTTCTGCGCAGTGGGAGGATCAATTGAAGATAAAGCAGCGAAGAGGACATTGTAGGATGATTGACTCCTTGTGGAGACATTAACGTACCATTGTGAATGTGTGTGAGTCTGTATTGGGTGTTTGGTGGGATGTAGTGGCAAAGTGGTGGTCCGGTCCGATGTGACGCTGTGGAAGGTCAAGGTTTTGTCTGTTCGGGTGACAGGATGCCTTTTTATATTTCGGGCAGCAAGAAAGCAAAAGTGGTGTTTCGTGGTCTTTGTGAGTGAGATTGTCGAACAGGTGTCGAGAGAAGAAAAGGGAAGCCGGTTGAAGGGACAGATTGCGTGAGGGAGCTTTGGCTAAGAGCGGTTGAAGCCAATTACATTACCACAGGTTAGGTAGGTAGGTAGGTGCGCGCTCCGCTGATCAGACCGCTCTGGCATTTGGTGACGGGAATTGACCCATTCACCCTGGGAAAGGTCCCCGAAGTGGCGCCTCACCAAGAGGTACCGCGTAGAGTCGGTCGTTCGGGACATGTGTCGTCAAATGGGAAAATACGGGGCGTGCAACCTATTTGGCGCCAGGGGGTATCATTCCCCAGCCATACGCCGTGCATGCACTTATTACCTACCTAGATAGGTACCTACATGACCTACCTACCTAGGTAGTCGTGCACCAAACCTAAGGCCGCAGCGTCCCAGCTAGGTTAGTCAGCATCGCCGCTCTTGCTCAGGCTTGCGTCACCTGTGCTTAGTGTTGCTTAGGATATAAATCACCTTAATTACCCCAGGTTGTCGTATGTTGATGCAAGAGAAGCCATACAGCTAACCGCATTGGGATGTGTCCTACCGAGAACTTTCTGATGCAAGTATAGTACTTTCAACTGGAGCTTCTCAGCCTGGTCGTACCTTCCCTGGGCGAAATATGTTGACGCGAGTTCCCCCATTCTGCCCATAGTGTCGGTATTCCTGTTGCCAAACCTCTCCCGGCTCAACTGCAGTACCGCTTCCTCGAACTTTTTTGTTCTAGCAGTCCTCTTATGACCATAGTGTCTTACTGTGAGCTGAGCAAAAATCCTCAGGGTAGTAGGGTGATTTTCACCGAAAATCTTCCGACTCAGTTGCAACACTTCTTTCTGTGTCTTCTCCGCCTCGTTGTACCTACCCTGGGCATGATGTGTTGATGCGAGCGAAGCCAGGCTGCTAATAGTAGCTGAGTGCTTCTTGCCAAGGATACTCAGTTGCAGTGAGTATACCCTCTTCTGTACCGACTCGTTCTCGTTCAATCGGCCACGTTCGAAGAGGTAGACCGAGACTCGACTGAGGAGGCTTGCAATTTTATTGTCGGCACCCGCGTTACAAGCTTCAGCCCACTCACTGCTCTGCAACGCATACGGTAACCACAATTCGGTCTGCTCCCATCCTTTCCAACTATGCAGTGGGAAGAGGTCCGACAGAAGAATCAGTGCTGTCTTGGAGAAATGCGCGGCCTCCTGTTTTCGTAATTCCTGGCTCATGCTATACCGAGCTGCATCCTGAACGAGCTTGTGCATCTCGTATGTCGGCCCAACTGACTGATGCTTCCGCATAGTCAGGAACGAAAACTCCCTCAGGCGAACCACTGCATTAGTGAGAGCATCGCTATCGTCATCCGATCCACTCTCGCTTCCCGTGACTGAATTCGAACTATTCATGCTCTTTTCCCTTGCGTCATTACCAGCTTTTGCTACCGCTCTAACCAATGCTTCCGGGATATTTTGGTTGTGGACATAGACAAGGGTGAGTAGGAGCTTATAAGCCAGGAGATTTTCCTGCTTTAAGTGGTCCATCGAGATGGTCCATGTTTCGAGGATGCTGTTTGGGGCTTCGCGTCTTCGGTATCGGTCGTGTTCGGATTTCTTCAGGATTTTCCACCTCTTCTTCCCTTCCTTGAGTCTCGATCGATACTCCGCCACTGGCGTTGATGCTCTGCGGATATATGCAGCGGCTTGCGATACAGCAAGAGCGAGTCGGTCCAGTTGTATCAAAAGCTCAGATACAGCTGCTCTTTCGTCGTCGCTGGCGTTTTCATTTCGTGAAACTTCGAAGAGCGCTGTGGCTTCATCGATAGTCATGCGGCCAACTGGTACTCCCCGACGGGCTCCAACGAGACTTCCCACGATCTTTTTGTCGCGGCTCGTCCAAAGCACGGTGCCAAAGGGAGCTCGGGGTATGTAGTCGTCCAAACAGGTCTCCACTTTCAGCTTTTGCGTGCGTTGTACAGATGCCGTAGCATCACCTACGCCAAACAGGTCGAGGTTGTCAGCATTATCGACGACTAGAAGCCAACAGGGCTGTTCTTCTATCCACTCGCGTACAGCCCTGAGTAAATCCTTGCCTTGAAGCGTGTCTGCAAGACCAGCTCTTCTTGCAAGCGCTTCATAGTCGTGCACGAATGTGGCTTCGTCGTCTGCGTGAATCCAGTAAACGGAGCATTTGGTTTCGCGGAAGCGCCGATAGGCAAACTCGGGTGCTATCTGTGTTTTCCTATGATTATCAGCATTTTGTGTTTTTACTGAGGTGCGGCAGCCTACCCAGAGCCGCCAAGTCCCCAGAGAGCGGCGCTTTAGTACTCGGCAACAGCCGGAAGTAGAGTATTGAGCTCAGTAAAGACATCGTGACGGTCGACAATATCGTTTTTGCGCTCGAAGGGGACGATAAAGAGAGGTCGTGTTACCGGCGCTGGCGAGCCTAGACGGGGTGAGTTTTTCTTCTAGCGGCTGGGTAGTACTATGCTTACGACCGTCAGAAACCGTCACGTTTAGTGTCCCGCCGGTTTCCACGCGGGCGCCGGGGAATGCGATATGCCCAGTCGTCGATCCGAATGAAATGTGTTCGTCCATAACGGCGACGTTCAGTGTTGTCGAAGACAAGTCGAAGATATGGTGACAATGCCGGGTGGTCCTGTGTTGTTCGTTATGAGATGGATACCGGCCGCAAAATGATCAGGAAATCAGGCTGACTTGGCCTGCAGGCACAGCCAACATGTGTTCACTCCAGCCTGATCGTGCCAACCTGCAGCATCACAATCTTCCACCCCGCCAGTTTCGCTAGACCACCGCAAATCATCACCATGGCCACCCGTCCTAGCCGCCGCGACGAGTTCGATCTCGCTGTGGTGTGTGCTCTAACTCGTGACAGTTATCATCAGCAAGACGGTCATCCAGTACGATTATGGCCGGCAGTACACGGGCAGATTCATCCGGAGAGATACTGTGAACGATAATCTCGGGCGATCCAACAAAGACATTCGTTCTCTGCTGGCGACGTTTCAGACACACCTTGGGCGTGAACGCCTTCAGCGCGGTGCTTCACAGTTCCTCAGTCAGATTCAAGAGAATGCTGCAAAGAGACGATGGAGGGCAAGATACAACTGTCCTGGTGCGTTCGAAGACAAACTTTTCAAGGCGGATTACCAGCACAAGCATCGAGACCAGGCCAACTGCGGATGTATCGAGCACGCATGTGAGGCGGCTCGGGCTGCATCGTGCGACCAACTCCGCTGCGACACAACGCAGCTAGTACCCCGAGAGCGTCTCGAAGAGGTCCAAGAAGCGGACAGCAACGGTACGAACGGCGAAGGCCAGTTTGAGATTCATGTCGGCTGCGTTGGATCAGGCGACATGGTGATGAAGTCCGGTGAAGAACGCGACAGGATCGCCCGGGAGCATGGCATTATCGCATTCGAGATGGAGGGAGCCGGCGTGTGGGATGAGGTGGCATGCATTGTCGTCAAGGGCGTCTGTGACTGCGCGGATAGCCACAAGAACAAGGCGTGGCAGTTATATGCAGCTGCAACTGCAGCATCTGTGATGAAGGCTCTTCTGGCGCGATACATACCAACGGACAAGTCAGCATGCGATCGCAACGGCACAGGCGCATTGACCACACCGGCCAGCGGCCTGGCCCCTGTCTTCAACGGGGCTATCACGGGAACATATGTGGTAGCGGGGCAACACACGAGCGGGGGAACGACAAACATGAGTTTCGGTAATTAATCGTTTGTTTCCTACGATTAGCTGGAGATTGGAATTTTTACTACGCATCCCCATACCGCTGCCCCAAGAACAATTCGTAGCCTGTAAGAAAAGCCATGTTACATAAACTGGTAGTGTTGGATTTGACACTATAACTGACGCCACGCGGTTTGAGAATTTCTTGAACGTAGAATGGAGCGACTCATTGGTTGACGCTGTATACTATTTACATGTGGTCTAGAACATACTGATAGTACTTATAGCAGCTTGTTCTCTCATCAACAGCAATTGTTTTGTGGCTGTTCATCCAATCAATAAAGGGTTGACCTATGAAGTAGTTAGTAGTGTAGTTGAGAAAACTAGTATAGATGCTAGCAGACCAATAGTAAGAAGTTGAGTCATGTCAACATTGTCTTTATACCCGGGACGCCGTAAGCTATGGGAGGAATTAACAGACCATTATACCAATAGCATTTTAACTTGCAACTTACCTCTGACCATTACGAAGTCCGGTAAATACATGTTTTGATTGTTTCCAAGGACTGGGTTTAAGTTCTGCGTGTACGAAGACAGCATCATATGTTTTCTCTGATGTATTGACAAGGCCGACAACAAGTCCATAATGCCTGCAGCCATGCCCACCGAACCCAGAGGTGCCTGGTATTTTCGGCGGCCAGCAAAGCATAAAATGCAAGTATTTGCCATTTTTCAGAGGACCAGCAGCCTCCTCAGCAATTTCGTACGCATGGTGAGGGTCGCGTGCTAAGAGTTGATGCAGCTGTGACGACCCGTGGGGAGTATCGACTACACTCAGGTGGCGAGTATAGCCAACGGCAGTATTGTTATGTTTGAAGTCAGGTTGGATAACAGCTGCGACGACAGTTGCTATAAAGGTAAGAAGTAATTGTAGTTTCATAGCTGATACTGTCTGGTAACCTTATAACTGATTGTGTAAGATGTACGATAATGCAGTAAAAGTGATTGCGCGTAGTAATGGGAATAGCCTTGGTTTATAACCAGGCTTACACATACAAGCCTAGTTAGAACTTACTATGATTCTCAGCTAAAGGCTATAAGATTAAGACCTTTTTCATACAAGTTTAACTTGAGTAGTTACCCACAAAGTTGATAATTAAAAAAGTAGTTAGATTGAATGAGAAAATAACTTAAAGACCGGGTTTTCCGTAAGACCCTAGATTCTATCAGTGATCCTAATAGACGTACACCCCCCTACTATGGATATAATTAAGTAGGCTTGTTAGATAGTAGGGATTGGAATATGTGATAATGCTTATCTTCGTTGTGTGTAACGTATGTGCGCTTATATAGGACATCCCGGGCCAGTTCTAGCCTTCCCATTGGTCCAATCCACCCCGAAAGTAGGGCGATTTATCAGCGAACCCGCGGCAATTTTACCGCACTTTCTCCATAACATCCCGTGACATATCACCACATTTGATAAGGCTTTCTTATTAAAATTTCAAATAAACGTAAGTTCCCGCTGGCGCGGGTGGAGGTCTCTGGAACCCAAGTCGAGAGGTGTGGGCACGTGTATGCCATCTGATCTATCGGTGTCCCGCCTAAAGCATTCGGCCTTGCTACCCCGCTAGCGCCCCTTCGCTTTGTCAAAAACGTGTCCACGTGTTTAGGGAACCCGATTAAACGGGACATCCTTTTCGCACATAGCAGGTGCGCTTCCAGCTTCGCCGCCGCTAGGCAAAATAAATTATGTGTGCGTATGTGTAATCGAATGTATAGCAGCAATGTTGTAATAAGACATAAAACAATATACTATGTACACTTTTATTACCCTGGACGAGATTAAATGTTACGGATATTGCCAAATAGTGAAGTTCGTAGCTTATGTCCCACCAAGTGCTAATAAACCCTATTTTCGCCAAGGGCAGGGTAAAGCCAACCAGAGGCTATAAACGTATCTAAGGTAGCCAATCGTTTTAACAGTTGTAGTCTACGAATATTCTCCACTGTTTCTGACCATGCCAGAGGTACCAGCAATCTCAATTAATATAAAGTGGTACATCACAGTCTGAGCAACCTTTTCGAGTCTTCCGTACCCTAACGAGGCTATTCCCAGATATTGGCCCTAGTACCCGGCGACGCCGTAATCCCTCCTTATTGCTACAATGGAGCAGGGTGAATTAATCCCACGTGACCCTCGACGATGGTCCTCTCATAACATAGCTGTATTTATTTTATCTGAACCATTCTGGGGCTATGGATGCCGGCGAGCTTTTGATAATGATCCAAACTGTTAAATAAGCTGGGCTGCAAGCAATCTTCGCCATTAATACCGGCTTTTGACCTTTAGCCACTTTGGGGCGCCCTAGTATTGGAGAAATAAGCTATTCATCACAATTACCCCCCAGCAGCATCCACATCAAGAATGTGCCGGATGAAGCAGGCTATGTCCTCGTCCACTACCTTTATACTGGCACTTGGCAAACCCTCTGCAAGAGACATTCACTACAAGGCTTCAAGGCATCAACCCATCTTGAAACCAGTGTACACGTATATGCTGCTGCCTGAGCCTACGGTTTTCCTGATTTATTTATCAGTCCTAGTGCTTTAATATCCCTGACTATCTTAACAGTCAGCTTGCTGGCTTTTAGTTCCTCCTTAGCGGCTGTGTTTTGCTAGATTGCGATTCTAATACTGCTCGTGGTTTAGGTAGTGTTCTCATTAGCCGCCTTTGTCTCCATCTGCAAATGTTCAATTGCTTAGTAAACGTAGCCGATGTTAGGGATAATTTATATTTTGACGATAAGTGCTAGAGCCCTAATGAATGCGGCTCTGACTCCTGAAGGCCAGATAGGTTAACTATTTGCAGTATCGATTGACTTCAGTGCTGTCTGAAGGTATGTGCTTAGTTCTGCGGCGTGCTCTCGGTATGGCGTTGGCCAGGACTGATCCTTAGGCCATGGGGTTGCCATAATGCCTGCGTCGCTATAGGCTTCACGACAAGCAATAGGCTATCCAATTAACCGGCTAGATTGTGTTGTGGCGCTGTTATTTGCTCTGATTTCAAAAGTTTCGTTCTCGCTGTTGTAGATGTTTTTTTTGCTTCTGATTTGATTGATTGGTTCATTTCTAAAGGCCCTGCTACCGAGGAGTGATCAGACAAGCTGATATTGTGCCCCCCCTGCTAACCCGAGAGCTCTGTGCACAATAATAGCAATAAAGCTCAGCAGACAATGGATTTAGTGATAACGCAACTATCTTAATAAAAGAAATAGAGGCAAAAGGGATAGTCTTGGCTTATCTTGACCCAGAGCGCAGCGTAGGAAGCAGGGTAGGTTAGTACTATTCTAACCCTCCCTGGCGGAGCCGTTTTAGAATTAATAAAAAATCTAAGAAAACTGGATTTGAACCTGCAGCCTTTAGGATATGAGGTTTATTGCTGTTAGTGCACGGTACTCTTGGGTTGACAGGGGGGGGGGGGGGGGGAATATCAGCTTGTCTGTAGACTTGCTACTGAGTGTCAGGTGATCGCCAGGAGAGATGCAGAAACTGTTTTCTTATTGATAGTGATACGTACACACTAAGCTGTGCCTTTGCGTACTAGGGCAGGTTCCTTAACAAATCACCTACTGCCTATCGCTCGTCCATGCCTAGTTTCGCCCTCCTTTGTTCCATACGGTAAGGCAACCACCTAATCTACCTACTCACCTGCCTAGGTAGGTAGAGTGCATGGCTACGGATACCAGGTACCTCCCTATGTACAAATCTTGAACTCCGGACCAGGACCACTGCATATCAAGCTGTGTGCCACGGGCACCGGGACCCACGCGGCAGCGCGGTCGAACACCACGCGTGCTGCTGGGATGTGCGGGGGATATGCGCACCGCCACAGATCGGCGCAGCGCATTGTACATTGTATTGAATCTTTTGGTTTTAGCTACTACTGGGAGCAAGCTACTTTGCCTCCAGATGAACGACAACCGACAATCGACGACAACGAAGACGACGGCGACGACGACGACGAGCTATCCGTGAAACCAACCGACAAAGTTCCTTGCATCTACACGGCGTAGCAGTGTTCGACCGAAAGAGTACAGCCTCGGGGGACTGAAGGAGGAAAGGCAGAAACCGACATCGCCATCATGGCCGCGCGCAACAGCGCCACCGTCCTATGCAGGGCCCTCCGCGCCCAGCACACAATGCAGAACCCCCGCGCAGCTTTGCGCTTCTACTCGGGGTCACCAGATGCTGAGAAGAGGCCGTCGATAGTGGTCAGTGCCCAAGATGTCCCCGGGAGAGGGGGATCCCTAGCTAACAGAAAGCTCACCCCTTAGGCAAACTTTTACAAGACCTTTACCCGGCCCGTACTCAAGGTCCTTCTGATGGCGACCCTGACGTATCAGATCGCTTACTGGAGCTGGACGAAGTTCGAGCAGGACGAGATCCGCGAGGAGAAGGGGCGAGAAATCGAGGGCCTCGAGGCCAAGATCGCGGAGCTGCAGGCCGGCACCAAGGGGACGCAGGCGTAGAGACGGCCTGCGGTGGTGGTGTCACATGGAGGGGACTCGAACATAAGCCGGGCCTTTAGGATGCAAACATCTTCTGATCGGAATGGGCCTTGTGGCGTCGGCGCTGAAGAAAGATTGCATGCGATACCCCATTCATCATCGTTAGCAGATGGGCCGAGTCGGACTCGTCGCCAGAGGGAGAGGAAGAGCCATGAGATCGGACTGAGGCAGAGCTTTTTCGTACGTGGTAATATTTCTCCCTGCCCAACGGTCCTAGGATAGAGTGATCGTCCCTTACTGTATGTGGTATTATTGCCATTACGAAAATGTACAATACTGTAGCATACTTGGAATGCCGCTTGTAACTGACAAGGAACCTAAACACAGGCCTGTCTAGAACTCATATGAAGGTCTACAAGATCATTTATTCGTTCAACTCTTCGCGTCCACCTGCCTTAAACTACGGCTATTGCAGACATCTATGCATGTGAATACATCATTGAAATACCGCCCTCCGAGTCAAACCTTTTGAAACGCCAATGCCATGCAACTTATAACAAAAATACAGACCCTCATTAAGCAGTCACGTCGTGCCTGTGATCCCTCACTGTGAAATAAGTCGGCCGTCAATCAACCCGAGCAAAGTATAATACCAATACGCGGATGCTGTCGCTATTTTCGGTTCGGTCATTCATCAGAGCATGACTGCGCTGAGCGTGCCGACAACAAGGGCCGACAGCAAGCCCCACGACACCGACAGTAGCGAAGACGCCGAAGGGCGGTGAACTGCGCCTGGGTAGTTGCAGGTAAGAAGGCCGTCTACCTGGATGGCGTAGCTCGAATTAAATACAGCTTGATCCGGTGTTGGACAGTTGAAGCCCAACGATGCCGGGCAGCTTTGCGCCAAGTCGTAGCAGAGGTAGGCGCAGGGAAGAATTTCCCGGTACGGACCCGGCGCGATCATCTGGTCAATGAGGGGGTTTCTTGAATTCTGGTTGACACTGGCATTATACATGGCCTGTACGTCGGCGGGGAGAATAGTGCCATTGGGGAATGGCTGGTTTGTGTTCCTGACAAGGGAAAAGTTGGTAGGGCTGGTGAAGTCCTCGCATCGAGGAATTGTGACTGAGCACAGCCACTTCTTGTACGCGATCTCGCAGTCGGCGCAGTTTCGAGCAAGAGAATACCGCTGGACTGCCGGGGCCTCACAAGCCACCTGCGCGAGTTGCTTTTGGAAGTTGGCATACATGTCCCTCGCGTAGTTGTCGTAGAACTGCGCGAGTTGGGTAAGGTTCATCTTGTTGGAGTTGGCCGGCACGGCATACTCCGTTTCGTTACAGAATTGCAAGTCAGTAATGATTTTGCAGTTGTCGCCTAATGTCGCGTCAGTCATGGTTACGAGCAATGCGTCCGTAACCATATACATACCGTCTTTGGTCTCAAATGGCGTCGCCTCGAAGACACGACTACCACCTCCAGTTGATCCGCCCCCGTCTTGACGCTTCTTCAATGCTAATGAATTGCCAGTTTGAACCAGAATGCCCGTGTAGAAGGCACTTGCATTGAGACCGTTGAAGAAGAATTGCTGCTTCGGCAGGTTGCCGGGACCTCTCGTAGTCATGACCGTGCTTGCAAGGTTGCCGAACTTGCCGCCTCTCATCGCTGCAATCTGTGCATAGTTCTCGAGTCCGCACATGGAATGTCGTACACCTTTCGTGGTGGCATAATCTCGGTTCTCGACGAACATGACAAACGGAGGGCCTTGCTCCATAATCTCTTGGATCCGCGTCTCATTTCGAGTGTCTGTCAGGTTCTGTGTGGTCAGAAGAGCGGCATTGGAATCACTGTCGACCCAAAGAAGCTCGGAGCGATTCGCATCGTAGCTGTGGAAGTAGTCATCCGTCGACACCGCAACTTCGAAGTTCCAATCACCAGTAAACTTCTCGCCATCCTTCGCTGGCGCAGATATTCCAATGAATACATCTCCTGTCGTATTGACACGAAACATGGCGGCGCCTTCTTCAAACGGGATGGTCGTCTGCAGGGACGCGTTCTGTCCAGGCCCAGGGGTCTGGTTGTTCTGGGACGTCGAGACGTACATTGTGATCTGTTGTGGATCTTCCTTCGTGTTGTTCCCCGCGCGCTGCGGCTGTATACATGTTGTCGCCGAGATATACACCATCCTGCCCTGGGTCTGTCGGCGACGTAGGTCGCGATCCTCGTTCTCTAGATCAACATCCTCTGTAGATGCTAGCTCTGGAGAGGAGGAGTCGTTAACAACTTCGCGAAGCTCCAGCATGAGCGCTTCATCTTTTTCATTGAAAAAGTCGGCGAATATCGCAATCGCCTCAAAGACAAAGTTCTGGGTCGTGTTCCCCGGGACATTGCGGTTGATCGCGACATTATTCACAAGACCCGTTACGCCGGCAGGCGCCCTTCCAACGATACTGCGGTCAAAGGCAGCAAATTCCGGCTCGTAGGTTGGCTCGAGATGGCTTCTTGGTTCGAGAGAATCATCGGATTGGAGGTCGTCCAATAGTGGTTGCGTCGCACCCGTCAGTTCCGTGGCGAGGACGAACGTGGGTGTCGACAGTAAATAGTAAATGAGAATGAGAAGCAGCGAGGCAATCAGCGAGGCCGCCAGTCGCGATTGCAGAGGGCTGAGCTGCATTGTGCGATCATGCCCTTCGAGGCTAGGCAACTTCGGAGTTCGTTTCGCTTGGGTGACGTCGAACCTGAGTGGGAATGCTCGATAAGCGCAACGGATGTCGAAGTGTCGTTATCTGTAGTCATAAGCTGGCCGCGTGCACCAGCTCATTCCATTATGGTACGTTAATCGGCGGGAGCAATGTCGTTCTGCAATTTGTCCAAACGGAAGCAAAGGCACTAAAACTGGTTTAGAAGACTCGGATCAAGCCGTAAAGGAGAGGGGGTAATGGGCAACGAGGGACAGATCGCATATGGGCATTTGGACTTGAGGAGGATTCGGAAGGGAAAAACTGCCTTTGTTGTTTTAGAGGGTTTCAGATCCCAAACAGCTGAGAAGTCGAGCATACCTAGGTAGGCTACCGCGCCATCACCTCTGAACGGCCGCTGACGCCGGAGATCCCACAGAGCTGAGGTACCTAACACCAGCTTGAACAGGAGACGCAACCTGGTAGGTGTGGAGACCCCTTTCGGCGTCTCGGAGCCCACGGCCCCTCGCCCATAAAGTCCCTGAACGCCCTGAGGCCAAGGCACGGAGCAGCGTGCTCAGCATCCTGGCCTCGACCTCCTCTCTCCCTTTTCTCCTGGCGACCGGACCAGCCAGCTGAAGATAGGGTTGGTCAACTCTGGTGCTATACATGCAAGTCTAGCGGCTTGATGTAAAGAACCAGCTAGCACTTTGAACCGCATTTGTGTCACTCGGGCGGAAAGGGAACAGAAGACTCAGGAACGTTGCAGGCTGTCCCTCATTTGCCGGCTACTTCTGTTTTCGAGGGTCGTTACGGTGACGAGTGACAATTCCAACAGAGGATTCTAGCGTTAATGGGGCAACAAGATGGTTGCGGGCAGCATAGACAACGATGTTGCACATAAGAGAAATGCTCGAATAATCCTTCCAAATACGACCTCTCCACACTCCTGAGCCCGACTTAACCATGCTAGACCTAGCCGCTTCGTAGTTCACGGGCGAACATTGTTGGCATGCGCCCCAGGTCGAAATCTGGCATCGCATTGCCTGATGCCTACTGATCGGCTTCCTATTTTGGTTGCCCATGACAAAGAAACAGGTCGAACCTCCGAGTCACTCTTTGTCTCAAGGCCAAGACGGCTTCAACCCCTCCCAACGCTTGTCACATGTCTTTACTTGGTCACTGCGGGAAGAGGCAACGGGAAAGCATGTCGCACCAGGGATCTTTCTTAGCGCCGGGTACTGTCTAGTTCATTGTAGAAGTCATTGACTCCGTATCCCGTAACGTATAGTAGCTCTATCTGGGTAACAGGAGCTCGTTCAACTGGTCCCGTCGTGATCTCGGGATCCTCGACCAAACTTGATCGAGCCATTACCGTTGTCGCCTAGGGGGTAAAGCTAGCCACTTAATACCTCATCCCGCCCTCTTTGTGTTCTTGGTCGCTGCATAACGTCCCTTGACTAGCTAGCGAATGGTAATGGGATGAAGTCGGGCCAGCGGTGTAACTCGTCGTAGGTGGATGTCTCAAGGCAATCAACCTGCTTGATGAGCTAGTGCTGGTGTGCATTTACTCGGCCTTGCCAGCCTGGGCACGGAGGCCAGAGGCGGTCGAGGCACCGTTGAAGTACTTGGCCAGCATGGGGGAGAGGAAGGAGTTGAAGATAATCTCAGCACCGCTGATCACAGTCAGCGTCGGCTGTTATGCTCCAAGGAGTGAGGGGGGACCGAACGTACCGGAAAGCGGGCAGAGCGAGCCAAAGCAGGAAAATGAACTTAAAGGTGAAGTAGAAGGGGAACCAATAGACAACGTTGACAAGGCTCTCAGCAACGCTATTGAAGGATTTGTTAGCTACAGTCGTTTTTGTGTCGCACGACCAGGGGCTACTAACGTGAAGAAGGCAAAGACGACCCAGTACTAGAGGAAGCAAAGGTTAGTTAAGGTTGAGGCACCGGCAACTGCGGGGGAGAGTTGCAAACGTACGGTCAACCACTGGGTGTCATCCTGCTTGCTTGCAGTGAACAGAGCGTTCAAGGAATAGTATCCAGGAATGACGAAGCCAGCGATGTTGGTGAGAAGCTGGCCGCCGAGGTTGAAAATAATGAGGAAAAAGTAGAGGGAAGCGACTCCGATGACGGCGTACGCCTTGGGAACATTGGTCGACTTCTCGATGTTATTAAGGGCGGGGTACTTGGACAGCTGTCGCAACGGTCAGTCAGCATTAGAACCCATGATCATGTTGTGCTGTAGTCGGCACGGCAATATTACCTCACGATCGAGCTGGCCGATGTAGTTCTGGACGCGATCCTGAGCAGACATATTGGCGGCTGAATGGAAGCTTGGCTAGATTGCAAGAGCTGTGCGTTAATGCGCTGTGATAAGGGTTAGAACAAGGCCAGGTTGCAACAAATAAAGGGTGAGAGAGGGCGGCAGCTCTCGAAGAATTTGATGCAGGGACACGGGCACTGACAGTTTGCTTGGTGGGTGATATGGGTAGTATGCAAGGTCCACAGGAAGCTGTTGACGATGTCAGAATGTCAAGTTCTCGACAGAATTGCAGAGTAATGGGGTTGAATGACCTTGGTTCTGCGTTGGAATTAACGGGTGGAAGGGAAAAGGCTGGATGACGACGTAACGTGTGCAGATCTGGCCAGTAGGAATGGTATGGGAGCCCTTTTGCGTCAAGCTTCGCTCGGGGGGTTCAGGAGAGGGGAGGGGCACGAGCACGGGCATAAGAACAGAACAGCGAGGTAGCTTCAAGTCAGACCGACTTTGTGTGCCGGACGTATTTGCCCTGAGATCCATGTCCATCGTGTTAGCGGGTACTTGGCCACTGTGGTCTGGACAAGGCTTGGGTTGGCGTCAGATTTCCCTCGCCTCAGATTCCCGCCCGTCCCGTCTCTCCAGTCTTCCCCAGCAGCCAGCACATCATCATCCGGTGTGTGCTTACACATGCTGATAAGATAAGGCGAGAGAAGCTTTCGTGTACATACTACCTAGGTAGGTATGGTTCCTCAGCGGAGGTGCGTGCTGGCTGGGGTAGGGAAACCTCCCTTCCTCCCTCCCCACACGCACTCACGTTGCTTTGGGTTGCTGCCCGAGCATCGAGGCCACATGTTGTGTGTTGTTGCTTATGCTCGTCCGTCAATTTGACTGCCCAGAGCTAATGGTGGTTTCTCCGCGTGTTTGGAACAAAGTAAAAGTAGCGTCGCTACGTACCTGCCGGACGCCAGTGGCAGAAAGTCGGAAACAGACAAAGTAAGCAGACTCCACATCATGCACCTACCACGGCTGTACTGGACCAATTGGAAAACCCAAAACAAGACCAAGCTACAACGGGACTGGCTGCTCCAGATTATTTGGGAACCCACGGCCTGCAAGATGCCATGCACATCACGTGAGTCCGTCCAGCCACGCAAATCACTCGTCCAAGACCTGAGTGGAGGCGACCAGCCGAGCCTTGGTTGTCAAGTCAACAAAACAGCGGGAAAGCCTTCCAAAACATTTCACACATCCACACTCTGCCTTCAGGTCTTGCTTCCCCCCCGACCACGTCCTTTAAGATCTCGACGCTCACCACAGCGCACCGCGTTCTTCTCGGCTGCAGGGATCCGGATTGCTCCCCCTAACCTCGACGCTTCTGTTTCTCTTGCTCACTTGTTCCTCGTCGGCCAGCGCACGTTTACTTCTTTATTGTTTGGAAACGGCGCCTTGCATGACCCGTGTGTTTTCCATCACAGAACAACATTACCACCCTACCACTGTCACGACAAGCAGACGACGATGGATCACGGTACGCTATACAGTTCTCCAAAATGCTTCTTTGCACCGAGATCGCTCTTCTACCTGCGTTTTATTGGCTGATCATCCGAGGTAAACAGAACACCTTGCTCAGGCCCTAAGGGCGAAGAAGAGACCACAATCCCGGGCCTCGACCGCTTCTGTTCACAGCATCTCCACGCAGCCCAACATGGAGCAACAACAACAACAACAACAGTCCTTCACCGACGCGCCCGAGCTTTATTCGGCACAATGGGTTAACAATGACCAAAGGCAGCAGAGGAGCCTCGCGCCTGCGTCCCGGATAACGCCCGAGGAGATGATGCTCCACGCTGCTGCAACTCAGATGCAGAACGCCCGCGAATATTCCATGCCTCCCGGAATGGGTGCCTCGATGAGCCAGACGAGCACGCACATGAGCCATTCCATGTCGTTCCAACAGCACGCCATGACGAGGCATCCCTTGCCGTCCGAAAGCTTTGCCAACAACAGCTTCACTGATGATAGCCAGATGATAGATCGCGACGAGGACGGAGACTCCTTGGCGGGAGCGATGGGCATGCACAAATCGAGCTCCGCCAGGTCCAGTGCTAACAATGAGTTGGAAATGCGTCACCTGTTCAACGCAAACAAGCACCGCGGCTTGCAGGATGTTGCCAGCGAACTGCACGGCAATGAACGAGGGCCTAACTCAGAACGTACTCGACAAGTCTTCGCCATGCTCTGGATCAATTCGGTATGCAGCAAGGGCAAGGGATCTGTGCCGCGAGGCCGTGTATATGCCAACTACGCGTCCCGGTGTGCTACCGAGAGGATTACCGTCTTGAACCCTGCCAGCTTCGGTAAACTTGTCCGCGTCCTGTTCCCTGGCCTCAAGACCAGGCGACTTGGCGTGAGAGGAGAGTCCAAGTACCACTACGTCAACTTTTGCCTGGTTGATGACCAACCTGACCTCCGCGAGCCCGAGCCTCACATCCCGGTGGCCATATCCGAACCCACCCGTTCCCAAAGCTTTAGCGCTGTTCCCACCAAATCCCAGCCAGCGAAAGCCGTTCTGCCGTCGCCCGATGTCACTAAGCGGCCAGAGAGCCCAGATCAAGCCTCGCATGGCCACTCAAGATCACATAGTTTCTACAGTCATCCGAACGTGACCAGTGCGGATCATTTGAACTCGTCTACCACGAAGACATCGCTCCAATTCTCATTCCCTTCGGAAGCGGATGAGGCCCTTCTTCAATCCACCGAACCTCTTGTGCTACCCCGGATGGAGCCTTTCTTACCTAATGGAACTGACCCCGATGCTGCGAAGAGCCTGTCTGCTCTGTATAGGTCGCATTGCACTTCCCTTGTCGAGTGCGTTCGCTACTGCAAGGAGAAGACTTTCTTCCATCTCTATACGTCGTTCCAGGGCACGTTGACAATGCCAGTCCAGAAGCTACTTGGTCACCCTAGTCTCGCCCCCTGGGTTGAGGAATGCGACTTCATTCTCTATCAACGCATGCTTAGGATCATCTCCGGCCTCACCCTCCAGGTCGTGCCCAAACCGGTTCTTGACACGCTACGTAACATCTCGGAGCGACTCGTGCCCCACATTCGGGAGGCTTTCCAGGGACAGCCGCACCACGTTATTCGGGCCAAGGAGGCGCCAGCGACCATATTCGCTGCTCTGTTGGACCGAGCCCTGAGAGTCAATCTCACCGCCCATGCGGCGGCCAACATGCTGTCGAATCCGGCCAATCGCGACCAGATGTACCTTGACTGGATTACCATGGTGCGTGTACGCAAGGTGGCCGAGTGTGTACCTACTCGGGGCATGGATGACCTCGTCAACTTGCTCGTCTCCGAACTTCGGGACCTCCTTAGCCCTCTGAACGTACCCTGGGAGGTGGAGTGCTTGACTGTTTACGGCGACATTGCCCTGAGGAACGGCCGTCAACTGGATGCTGAGAGCACAGGAGAGCACAACGGCCAGAACGTACTGGAACGCTGGGTTGGCTTCCTCAAGTCACTACCAACGCGGTTTCCTTATGCGTCACACACGGAGATTGTCTACTCAGTTCAAAGAGTTGGCACGGCAGTGATGCGGGATCTTACCATGGCCCAGGGCAAGAGCTTCGGTTCTTGGTGGGTTACCAAGTGCTGGATTGACGAGATGACCTGTTTCCTCGCCGAGCAAGGCGGGTTCCTACAGATGAGGACATCTGGCGCTTCGGCGGCTCTCGTCAACACCCAGTCGGCTACTCAGGAGGCGAGCCACCAAGGGTCCCGGTATAGCACCGGCGGCGAGGATTTCAACTTTTCAAGCCTCCCCCAAGCACAACCTGATAAGGCGCCGTTTCCTCCATCAACGAGCCAAAGTCAGGTTGATTCTACGGGAAACAACCCGGATGACAGTGGAATTGGCATCCGGACACCGGAGGAGGACTTCCCCATGGACAAATACACCTTCTCACACTCGGAGGTCAACCAAGCACTACTTGCCAACGCCGATTTGCAACAATGACGAAAGGAGATCGAACTATAGTCGCGCCTGGCAAACCAGGTGTTTTTTTTATTGATAGCCGCCTGTCAGACGGCCTCTTGCAGAGGCTCAATGCCAGATGAGGACTGTCGACAACAGTGCGATGACGATGGCACGACTGGACGATTGTATGAGCGCGGAAAATTCTGTAGCCATGTGGCTGGAAGAACTTCAATGGGTACTACGCCTGTTTTATTCTAGGACAGGCTTTGGGTTTATTTTTATTTTTTATTTTTTGGATTTCGCGGTTTGGTGTTTAACTTGCTGGGCGATTACGGTCGGCATCTGCATTTGGTTCTCGTGGGTTTGCTATACCAATTGTGTCTGGTTAGGGGCAAAGCAACGATACCTGAATTATACGTTCATCTAGTTGTAATACATCCCGATAGGGAGAGAGCATTGAGCATACAGCCATGTGCCGCTGGGTTCTTCAGATGTGCATGCAGACGAGCCTTCTACGTTAATCGGCATGGCGAGCCGATGAGCGTTCCGCTTCTCCTGAGAGGCGATATTTCCTGCAGCCGTTGGGCGCGAGCACAAGGTTGTATCCAGTTGCAACGGGAACGAGCCGAAGCAGCGTCAATTGCGGTTGTTACCTAGACTGGGGCGTGATATACCCATACACCACTTCGTCATCGGATGATCGCTGATTCGCTGCTCTTCGCGTGCATGCCGGGATTGGGCAACTAAGAGTTTTCTCTGCAGGTGGTTTAATAAGCTCTCCACGACACTTGCATGTGGAGTGCGCTGGACGGTTTCTAACCGCAAAGCCAACGAAAGAGGTTCGAAGGCCTCAGCGGATGTCCTCCGTCCCCGTGGGGTCCGGACATGATAAGTTGATAACGACAGAGTTTGTCAACCCTTAATGCGAGGTTATCAAATAGTAACGGCAATATCTGGAGATCAGGTTCGATCTGAGTGGAAAAGCCGCCCGGTCCATTGAAGGGTTCGTATGAGTCAGGCAAGGAACTTTTCACAGGTAGGTAGGTAGGTATGGGCAGCCTACGATGTACCTGAGTAGGTAGGTCATTCGGTGATCAGGGCAGGGTACTTGGGCACTTCAAATGCATTCTTTCGAGCAGCGGCAGAAAGTGTCTCATTGGAACCTGACTAATATGCGACGGTTATTGTGTGTTCATGTAGCAGCATGGAACTGGCACTCGAACGAGACTCCGGCCCGCCTCCGACATTCCGGAAGCGCAAATTTCGGTGTCTGCATATCCTGCATAAACGTCGCCGATTTCGTCGCTCCACACTTCCCACCTTCGCCCCATCTCACCACCTCAATTCCGGGCTAATCCACCCCACCATGACCATCTTGTAGACAGCGATTTCACCATATTCTAGCCCGTTCTCCTCTCACTTCCTAACTATACCAGTCATACAAACACACTATCTCCTTCCTTCAAATTACGTTTACACCTTACCCGCGCTGCGCATACTATATCGGACATTTTGGCTGTGGGTTGACGACCCAGTGTAACCGTCGCCGTTCTTTCTTCTCTTCCCTTATTTTGTTTTCTTTTTCCCGCACCTCTCGAACACAGTGCCCCGCTTCCCGGTGTATCCTCTCCAGTACGCTAGAGTCATACACTCACTCATACCCCAAACCAGCCGCTTTCCGTTTCGTGCACAATCATTGAGACGCCATGAATAGTCAAACAGCAGGAAACACTTCCAGCAACGGCTGGGTCGTGCAAAAATTCGGCGGCACAAGCGTGGGAAAGTTTCCTGACAAGGTTCGTCCGCCACTACTCAAAAGTTGTCGTCACTGCCGCATGAGATTGACCGAGGACATTTGCATTACAGATTGCAGCGGATATTGTCCGGTAAGGATAGAGCCTCATGAGCGAGAATGGAGCCCCACTGAACTTTCTGCGTGATAGGGCAAGTCTGTCAAAGAACAATGTCGTCGTCGTGTGCTCAGCGAGAAGCACGGGTAAGAAGGTCGAGGGCACCACCAGCCGGTGAGTCACCTAGCAGCGCATTAGACCCCGACACTCGGACTGACCACCCGAGATAGGTTGCTGGGTGTTTTCAACAAGCTCAGGGGAATTGCGACGCCCACGAGCGCCGAAGAGTTGCAGAATGAACTCATGGACCAGGCCAAGGGTCTCATTGACGACATCTGCAAGGACCATGTTTCAGCAGTCAAGACCTTCCTGAGCAACCCGGAACTGCAGGCCTCTCTGGAACAGGAGATCCGCGATGAGTGCCAGGAGCTGGTTGAGTACATTGTAGCAGCGCGAAGATTTAACCTCGAAGTCAACTCGAGATCTAAGGACCGCTGCATCAGCTTTGGCGAGAAGCTTAGCTGCAGATTTATGACTGCGTTGCTGAAAGATCTCGTACGCAACCGGTATCTCACTCCCGTTTCTTGATAATTGAGACTAACCAGCTGTTAGGGTGTCGCCGCGGAATATGTGGATCTGAGTGACGCATTTCATTATGATGCCTCTGGCCATTTGGACCAAAGTTTCTACCAAGATGCTACTGCCGTGCTGCGGAAAAAGATCATGGCCTGCGAGGATCGGGTCCCTGTGGTCACTGGCTTCTTTGGAAACGTGCCCGGGAGTCTAATTGATGGTGACATCGGCCGAGGCTACACCGATCTCTGCGCGGCGCTGTGCGCAGTCGGCCTTAAGGCTAACGAGCTCCAAGTGTGGAAGGAAGTCGACGGCATCTTTACCGCAGACCCGACCAAAGTCCCCACAGCACGCTTGTTACACTCCATCACACCGTCCGAGGCGGCAGAGTTGACTTTCTACGGTTCTGAGGTTATCCACCACTTGACTATGGACCAAGTTATCCACGCTTCACCCCCTATCCCTATTCGTATCAAGAACGTCAAGAACCCCAGGGGAGTGGGTACTATCGTCGTTCCCGACCCTGTCCTCACCGCTGGTCACCAGATCCAGCGTTCAAAGCCCTCGGACCCCTCCATGATCCAGAAGCCTAAGCGGCCGACGGCTGTCACGATAAAGGACAAGATCTCTGTCATCAACGTGCACTCCAACAAGCGATCTATCTCTCACGGCTTCTTCGCCAAGGTGTTCTCCATTCTCGACAACAACCAGGTCTCGGTCGACCTCATCTCCACGAGTGAGGTTCATGTTTCCATGGCTATCCACACCGGCAATTCGGAGAGCGGCAGCTTCGATAAGGCTCGGCTCGAGCTGGAGGAGTGCGGCGACGTCAGCGTGCTGCACGATATGGCTATTTTGAGTCTGGTTGGTGCAGAGATGAAGAACATGATTGGTATTGCTGGACGCATGTTCTCCACCCTGGGAGAGCACAACATCAACATGGAGATGATTTCACAAGGTAAGTTGGCCGCAAGATTATGATAATTGTAGATCTGACTCTGTCATAGGTGCTAGTGAGATCAACATATCTTGCGTTATCGACGCACGCGACGCCACCCGGGCCATGAACATCCTGCACACGAATCTGTTCACCTTCCTCGACTAGACAAGGAGGGCGTTGCTCTACAGCTGTGTGGTGTTTGTTCATCAGGTGTCTTGTACAGAGTGAGACCTGATTTTGGAATAGAGCATTTATATCTTTTTTTATTTTTTTATTTTACTCGCCTGGTCATTTTAAAAATGGAGCATGAGATTGCATATGGAATGGACAAATAAAGAAAAAGGGTCAGAGAGCATGGATAGAGTATTTTGAATTCTTTGGTCTAGCTGACGCTTACGTCAATTTGAGGGAGTTGGATGCATCGTGTATTATCCCGAGGAAACGAAAATTCAATGAAATCCGTGTCGATTCGAAGAGGAGAACGTGGCAATGGTGGTCGTTGTTGAAGCCATTCGCACGCCGGACGACTGATCAAACTACTGCCGTAGTAACCAGGTAGGACATAAATATTTACCAGCCGGCCGACGTCGGCAAGGTGGGATACAGTGTTTCGCGTCGCAGTCGCACACGGACTTGCCCCGCCACGCCAGACCCCTGTAGTATTGATAAGATAAACGTGCCTCGAAGGATCCACCCAACAAAGCGCGTGTGCTGCTGTGCGATGATCACCTTAACTACATCAAATCCGACAGAACGGTTTCTCATACACTTCGTCAACATCCGATCTTCGAATCCCATCAACACACACCCGCAAGCCTTCCTCTCTCTCTCAACCGAACCGAGCGAACACAGCATAAACACAATACTCAAGCAAATCGCCCACCATGCCAAAAGCAGAAGTCGGCTCAACGAGGTACCTGAACAACAAGCTCAAGAGCAAAGGCCTACAGCGGTTGCGGTGGTACTGCCAGGTTTGCGAGAAGCAGTGCCGCGATGAGAACGGCTTCAAGATGCACACGCAGTCCGAGTCGCACGTGCGGCAGATGCTCGTCGTGGGCGAGGATCCGAAAAAGTTCCTCAATGAGTACAGCAACCAGTTCCTTCGCGACTTCACTCAGCTGCTCCGCACGGGTCACGGCGAGAAGCAGGTGCAGATAAACCACTTCTACCAGGAGTACATCGCAAATAAGGAGCACGTGCACATGAACGCGACGAAATGGCCCAGTCTGACCGAGTTCGCGAAGCACCTGGGCCGTGAGGGCATCTGTCGTGTCGAGGAGAACGAAAAGGGTATTCACATCTCGTGGATCGATAACTCGCCCGAGGCGCTCAAGAGGCAGGAGGCGTTGAGGAGAAAGGAGGCGCAGGATCGGGGGAACGAGGAGGTTGAGCAGATGATGATCCGGGAACAAATCAAGAGGGCACAGAAGGCGGCCGAGGCGAGGGGGGGAAAGGCGGAAAACGAAGAAGAGAGGGAGAGGGGACTGCGGAGGGCCGAGGGAGAGAAGATTTCTCTGTCCTTTGGGGCCAAGCCTACGGCGGCGGCGAAGGAACCGTCAAAGTCTGCCGAGCCCGAGGCCTCGACGACAGCGCCAGGAGACGTGGCAGAAAAGAAGGACGACAAACCTGCCGACAAACAGCCCGAGAAGCCGTCTCTCGGTGGGGGCCTGTCGCTCAAGATGACGGCGAAACCGCAGACGAAGAACGTCTTCGCTCAGGCCAAGAAGAATACCCTTTCTGGCGGCGGCAAGAAGACGACTATCGAGCAGCCTAAGAAGATGAGCGAAGCCGAAAGGATCATGAAGGAAGACATGGAGAGGCAAGAGAGAAAGCGGCCAAGGGGGGGGTCTGGGTTCGGAGGATTTTCGTTCAAGAAGCAGAAGATGGACCAGCAGTGACTTTTGTTGCCTGGTCCTGATACGAGACAAACAACCGGCGTCTGGGGAACAAGGTGCATCATTCATGCAACAAAGAATAATGGGCGGTCAGCATGGGGCATTGGGTACACAATCTTTTTTTTTGTCTTGTTTATAGATACCATCGAGAACCGATTTGATTCCATGTGAATGAAGAGAGAAGTCTTCCCCGACTCCATGACCAGCCTTTCTTTAACACCCCTGAACGCCGATACGTAAAGCATAGCCCGTTTGTCTTCCTAGACCCTTAATTGTCGACTTCCGTTTCCGTCCCGTCGCGCCTGCGATACAGTCAGCAAGACTTGTCACAAATCCGCTAGTGCGCGCGACTCGCGAAGCCGCGAAGCATAAGAAACACGGCCAGGGGGGCACCTACGGGATATAGTGTATCCTATACTCCTCCTCGAGCGTGTTGCGAATCTCGTCGGGCAGCTGGCCCGAGACCTTGATGGCGTAGACGCCGCGGACGTAGCCGTCGAGGCGCTGCCACTTGGCGACCCAGGACCGCTTCGGATTCGCGAGGGTGATAAGGCCTTCGAACACCTGCGAGGTGCAGCTCTCGATCTGGTCTTGGGAGCCGGCCATGTGCAGGAACTCTTCGCAGTTGGGGCAGCCCTCGTCGCGGAAGCGCTATTTGCACAGGTGTGTCAGCATTCCCGTTCACCACCACGAGCGATTTCCCCTCTCACTTTACCCGGGGATTGGAAGGGGAAGAGGGACGTACAGCGTAGGTCATGACGATGGAGCAGACCATGCAGGCGCGAAGGTAGCGCTGCTGGCCGGGGGCGACGAAGTTATCAGCCGACATTTTTCTCCGATCGATTTGGGGGAATGGAGGATATCTCGTGTGATGGGTCGGCCGTCGGGAGCGTCTACGAGGAACAATCGCGTCCCTTCGTGGTCGTCGAGATTTCGTTTTGCGAGGCTGCCGTATGGGAGAGACTGGTTGGACGTTGCAGCTCAAGATCGAAAGTAGTGTAGCTCCGGGTAGGAAGCTTACAGTTTGTACCTACGGATAGCCGGCTTTGGATGATATATGCAATTATCGGGATCTGGGTGCACCCCACCAGAGGAGAGCTCTTCAGTCGCGCTCGAATCATATTACATGCCACTCACTCACTCATTCATTGATTCGCTCGCCCACTGACTCAACTTGATTTGAAACCTACTGTCAAAATCAACGGCGTTTCAAAAGGGATATCAATCATTCTCACCAAGCGGAATACAAAGTATAAAACGATAACGACGACAGAACCCCCACGGTTACCCAAGAACCGCCTCATATCCACCATGACGACGCAAAACTCGTCCACGGGAGAAGCATCCTCCAGCGCCCCTCGAGGAACGGGCCAAAGGTCCCACGAGCTCCTCACATGCACCATAAAGACCCCGCCCTACTCATACGTCCGGCTCGAGCTCGTTGTCGACTCTCCGCAACCACACGAGGCGGCGGAGAGCTTGGATAACCTTCAAGTGCGCTCATACTGCAGTACCGCTCTACGCCAGTTCCTCGGCGCCACGGGCTCCGCCATCCCTATTGACATCTTCAAGATTGACGGCAACCAGTGTTGGCTGCGCGTGCCCCGTCCGGACCTTAGCCCCTTCGCCGCCGCCATCACGGCGTGGGCCGGCGTCTCGGAGGAGGGGGGCCGGCGCGTGCTCCAGGTGAAGCAGTGTTCGGACTACCTGGGCGCCATGGCCGGCGCCGAAGGCCAGGACAAGCTCTGGTCTCCGTGAACAGGGGGTTTGTCATTTCTCGGAATCTGCAGAAGAACGGGATTTGGCCTGACACCCAAACATCATCTTATTCTAGAGCCGGGGGTTATGGTTGAACGGTCCGCCAGGAATGAATCACTCCAAATTATCCGCATGGCCAAACCCACGCTGCGACCTAGCTCCCCGTATATGCGCCGATCGTATGCACCGTGTATGCTTGCGGATGCAAAATTTATCACTTCATATCCCCGGGATGACGAGTCCGCGGTTCTCGTCAACTTACATCAGAGACGACATGAGAGAACTCTGGGCATAAGCCTGGGGAGGTGGAAAACATCAGCGACGATGTCATGTCAACGAGAGAAGGGAGAGGATGGGCCAAGCCTTACCATGGGTTTGATGTCCGGGTGAGGAACAGCGTCGAACTGCTTGAACTTCAACTCGTAGTCGGGGCCGATATTGATGTATGCTCCCCTGTTCTCGGTGGAGTCGCAGTATCTGGGTGCGGAGAAGACTACGGGGGTTAGTCTAGGGCGTAAAGCAATCCAAGGAGAACTGAAAACTCACCAGTGATGCAACGTCCGTCGTGCTGCACCTCGTAGCCATCCATGCGAACTTCGTGACTGCGAATGACGGCCTCGAGACCGTTGTTCTCGCAGAACTTTTTGGTGACATCGGGGCCGAACTGCATGCCAACGCCACGCTTGCTCGGGCCGCGGCCGGGCTCATCCTGGGGGTCCGTCCACAGCATCTCCATCATAAGACCGGCCTGGCCAGGCTGGCGCTGGGCGTGTCTGTCGAGCTTTCGGATGTCGTCCAAAGTAACCTTGTCGTCTGAGAACAGGCCACCGTGCAGCACAAGGTACTTGGTGCCGATCAGAGTCGCAAGAGGAAGGGCCGAGAAACTCTCGGAGAAGAGCTTGAAGATTCTGCATTTCGACAGTTAGCAGGCATAGTTTCACGAGCAACCGGTTTGTTGGCGTACCTCTCGTTGTACTTAGCCTTGCACTCGCCCTCAAAACCGTAGACACGGTTCATGTCGTCGGTCTCGTGGTTGCCACGGTTGAGAAAGAAGGCCTTGGGACGCAGCCACTTGTAGGCGTAAAGCAACAGGGCGATCTCAGTGGACCATGATCCACGATCGACGAAGTCACCGTTGAATAAGTAATAATGCTTGTCGTTGGGCGTTCCGTTGAGACGGAACAGCTCCATCAGATCGAAGTACTGGCCTGCGCGGTGTGTCAGTACCTTCCTTAGTCGAACCTCGCCGCACTTAGCCTACCGTGTGTGTCACCGCAGACGGTGAGCTGGGTACCCTCGGGAATCTCCATCTCCACCATCGTCGGTTCATCATAGACAAGCTTCTTAACAGCCAGGATGATCTGGTAGACATATTTCCTGTGGATCTTCTTGCCGATCTTGAATCGCTCCGTCATGTCATCGATGAACTCCTGAGTCATCTCCTCTCCCAACCTGACACCGTCGTAGTCATCCTCGACGGTGATGGCGCTGAGATCGAGGCCTTCAGCGGCCGAGGGCTCATCGCCGACCTCGATGGCAGCGAAGAAGTCCAACTTGCGCACAATCTTTTTGCATTCATCCAGCTTCAACTTAGCATCCTTGTTGTTCGGGTCGAGTCGTAAGCACTCCTTGAAATCTGCGACGGCATCTTTGGGTCTGAGGCAAGCAGTTTGGGCAAGCCCTCGGCGGAAGTAGGCCTATGTTCGCATCGACGTCAGCACTTGGGCCAGGCTCCGGGCTTCATTCGACACTACCCACCTTCACAAACTTGGGGTTCAGCTCGATCGCCTTGGTGCAATCCGCAATAGCATAGCCGTATGCCTCGGATTTGATATTTGCCTACTCGGATTGGAAGTCTTGTTAGTCACGCGGGCAACTCAACAGCGTCGCTTCGGCGCAGGGGGATGAGGTGACGGACCTGAGCGCGGTTGGTGTAGAAAGTCGGCTCCTTATCGTTCAGCTCAATGGCCTTGGTATACAACTCGATAGCGGTCGGCCAATCATGGGCAGCAAAAGCTTTGTTGCCATCGTTTTTAAAGGCTACTGCCCGCTCTTCCGGCGTAGACATGGTGGAGGCGGCGGTTGTCTTCTTTTGCAGGATCAAAGTGTGGGGTAGATTATCGTAGGCAGACGATGGAGGGGGAGAGAGGACCTATCCTATCTCTTTGGCCCACGAACTGTGTCCTGCTTCTGGCGCGAAACTTGGGTGAGGCGTCCAAAAAAAAAAAAACCTGAGGTGCAAAATGGGACGGGAAAAGAAGGGTGGAATCAGCAAAATTTGTACAGCATGCGGCAGAAGCACTTCGAATGTCGGAGGATCTGGGCCTGGGGGTTCAAACCCAGAAAGCTTCCAGGTCCTTTCGCGACGGTTCGGCCCTTAAGCCCTCCTCGGAACTAACTGGCTAACCCAGCTGGAAGACAGTGCCGTCGCACGGTACGGATGCGTTACGGTGGGGTGGGCACTCAATTGCCACTTGTGGAGCCTAGCAGGGACATCGAAAGACACTGCACTGCCGGGGAAAGCTTTCCGGTCGAATCAAGCAACAATACGCCTCAGTAGTCGCATATTGGGCCTGCCATACGGGTTCTTATCGCTTATCGGAACGTCATTTCGTACCGAACTGGAGCGCAACCCAGATTTCGAGATTGGCCTCAATCCATCTTACTTGACCTGCGTGCCCTCAGCGCGGAACCCGTCATATGGCCGTAAAGGCACAACCGCCACGCGTATAAAAGCAGCAAACCGGCATTGTTATTTCTCAAACCCCTCTGGATTCCAATGATGGAGTCGCAAGACCGCGCATCGAATGCGCTCGTGCGCAAGCGGGCCGACACCGAACTGATGCCGGCACCGCCGCCAGTAAAGAAGATCAAGCGCCCGAAAAAGGTCATAGACGAAGACACATATACCGATGCCCTTTCGCAGATCATCGCACGCGATTTCTTTCCCGGGCTTCTGGAGGCCGAGACACAGCAAGAGTATCTCGACGCCCTCGAATCCAAAGACAAGGCATGGATATCCAACGCTGGGCAGCGACTACAGCGCGTGATGACTCCGGGGAGACAAAGGCTGAAAAGACCGGCGCCTCTCGAACATGGAGGACGCACGCCGTCAGCATACGGTGCAGACACGCCATTGTCAGTTGTATCGACAGTCGCTGAAGCGTCAAAACCAGCCGTGGACACCAACATGAGCCTAGCCAATTTCCAAGCCACATACACAAGTGAGGATAACGAGAGCTTTTACAAGCTTATGGACAAACAAAACCAGAAAAAGGCGGAGAAATACGCGTGGATATGGCGGGGGAACAAGCTGCCGTCCAAGCAGATGATAAAACAGGCCGAGGTGGAATCAAAGTTGTTGGAAACAAGGAGCTTGACCGATGATGGGTGGAAGCGGGATAGACTGGCCATCAAGGATGTCGATGACCGTCCAGCGCAACCCGATACTTGGAACGCGAACCCGAAAAACAATCTAATGTTTGGGCCGGACGGTGTTGAGGACGTCTACGAAAGCCCAGCTCAGAAGGCCCAAGCCGAGTCGAGGATGGCACCGAAATCGATCAACTATCAAAACACGAGGATACCGCAGCCAGTGATCGTCGAGCGACCGCCATCACCAACCATGACCGCCGTCAGAGACGCGATCGCTGGCAAAACGCGGAAAGAGGACCAGGCTTCGACCGCCGTGGGTGGAGGAGAAACACCTAGGGTGAACGGATATGCGTTTGTTGATGACGAGGACAATGAAGAGGTCCTGCCTGCCCCCGTAATCCGTCTAGGCCCGGGCGATGCCACGCCGAACCCTTTCAAGTTGCAAGACCAGAGGAAGAGAGAAAGCTTGCACCACCGGCTGGTTGAGCGGGCAGCGCAGTCCAAACGAGAGTCTGCAAAAAATGGGCTGACCGGGAAGCCGGAGAAAACACCAGTGCCCAAATTTCCGTCCAGTCCACGAGTCTCGGGTGGCCTTACTCCGGCCGCTCAACGATTGTGGAGCAAGATTGGCAATCCAAGACCTGGGAGCCCAAGTAACTCTTCTTCAAAGGCAACGCCCATGAGGGCGAGGGGCTCACTTCTGAAGGGCGGATCCTCAGTTAGGCGGGAATAATGGCTATGAGAATCACCTGTAATGAATAATGACGGACGCGAAGTCACAAATAGACCAAGGATACCACACCAATAGAGAGAAGTCTTTAGACTGCTTAGCTTACACTCAAACGCTTCCCAGTTCACAACTGAATCCGGTCCTCCACCTAAACGTAGTAGCAATCACTTAAAGTGGAAGGTTGTAAGCCCCAAACTATCTAGTTTATGAACTCGGCATGTGACTCTTGGTCGACTTATATGACCATCGTGGTAAGGGATACGGCCCCAGATTCGCTTAGCGCATAATCCTAGTCACCGACAAAATATGCATATGAAAAGCTCGTCGAGCTATTGTCACCCTTAGATGCATATAGCATCCACTCAATTTTCCCTCCATGACGAACTCGACTTAGAGATCCCGGACGTTCCTGAATAACGCGAGACAACCCGGAATTTCGGGGGGTGACTATCACTACGACAGGCGCTCGGAGTGAGCGGAAATTGTTTCGTCCCGATGAGATTTGCCGACTTCGCTGTCGATTTGGCAGCGGTACTCAGCGCATCGCGCTCCGTGGCATCCAAGCATGTCGCGCTGAGAGGTCGACAGCTCGAGAACTTCACGAAAGCGTCAAGCTTGACGCGCAAATCCCCGACGGCGCCTCAGTATACACGAGACAACGCCACAACACGGAAAACAGCGACCACGCCCGAGGATGTAAAATCCCAAACACAGGCTACAACAGAAGTGTTTCCCTCGCAAAATGAGCCCAGCCCTCAAGCCACTCACATCCCACACACAACTGCAAACAGTTTCCAGCCCCCTAATATCAGAAATGCGTCCGGAAGTCGGCCAAACTCTGGATCTGTTCTCTCCCAGTTGAGACAATCGAGCCCTTCTGGATTTCCCTGGTCAGATGCGTCGCTATTGGAGGCAAAGGAGATAGAGGCTAAAGCCGCTACAGCAGCTCCTGCGAGCACGGGCCCGACAGCTTCACACGGCGCTCCTGTATCCGAGGATCTCGACGACCTTCCACCAGGTGTCAACGTCAACATCTTCCATAGTGCCCGTGCAGCTAAGCTGCTGGGTAAGGGTGAAGACCAGGCGAAGGCTACTTTTGGGATCCGGAAGAAGCTTAAGCCCGTTGGTCTGCCAGAGTTTGTTGATTTCTCTAGATCGGTAAAGGAGAGCGAGAGGGCTTCGTCTTCGCCAGAGACCAACTCAAAGTTTACTCATGAGGCCCCCGAGCCCCACGTAATCGAAAATGGCACCATCAGCAAAGCCAAGCCGATTACTTCGGAAGCCCAAGAAGTCGGGGTGCCTGTCCCAACGTCTGCTCAACCGGTGTCGAAAGGCGAGCCGTCGATTGAGGCTGTTCTGGAAGCCGCGGCTGACCAGTCAGCCCCACCAGCATACGTCCTCCGAGAATCGAAGGTGCCGGCTACCCGTTTGAGCAGACTTTGGAACTACGGCGGCCTGGCGGCGGGCATGATGGGGGGTGCCATCACCGAAAGCATCGGCAGGGCGTTCGGCGGCAAGGGCGAAGGTTCCGTGTTGCTCAGCGCTGGCAATATGGAGAGACTCGTTGCGAAGCTCTCAAGAATGCGCGGCGCCGCCTTGAAGATGGGCCAGATGATGAGTTTCCAAGACACCAAGATGCTTCCCGGACCGATCCAGGAGGTCTTGCAGAGGGTGCAGGACCGCGCCGACTACATGCCGGCATGGCAGAGGGATAAGGTCATGGCGGCAAACCTGGGCCTGGAATGGCGCGAACACTTCGAAGAGTTCGAGGAGAAGCCCGTCGCCGCCGCATCCATCGGCCAGGTCCACCGAGCTACGCTCAAAGATGGCGGTCGTAAGGTTGCCGTCAAGATCCAGTTCCCGGGCGTCGCCGACTCCATCAACTCGGATCTCGACAATCTCAGCATCCTCCTGACAGCGACCAAACTTCTCCCCAAGGGCTTGTATCTGAACAAGACTATTGACAACGCGCGGCTCGAGCTCGGCTGGGAATGCGACTACGAGCGCGAGGCTCAGTGCCTGGTCCGCTACAAGGAGCTGCTCGCCGACGAGCCCGATACGTTCCTCGTGCCCAATGTACACCTCCAGGCCTGTGGCAAGAACGTCCTAACAATGGACTGGATGGAGGGCGTCGGCGTCACTCGGGTAAAGTCCTTTACCCAAGAGCAGAAGGACTGGATTGGCACGCAGATCCTACGCCTTTGCCTGCGGGAGATCACCGAGTTCAAATTCATGCAGACGGACCCCAACTGGACCAACTTCCTCTACAACGCGGCGACCAACAGGCTCGAGCTGCTCGACTTTGGCGCCTCGAGGGAGTACCCCGACGAGTTCGTTACGCAATACGTTGAGCTGCTCGCGGCGGCCTCGAGGACGGACCGCGAGGGTGTGAAGCAGCTCTCAGAGAACTTGGGGTACCTCACCGGCCACGAGAGCAAGACCATGGTGGATGCGCATGTCAAGTCGGTGCTCACCTTGGCGGAGCCCTTTCTCGACTCGGCCCCTGAGGTTTATGACTTCCATGACCAGACCATCACCGAACGGGTCAAAGCCCTCATCCCCGTCATGCTGCACGAGAGACTTGCGCCGCCGCCCGAGGAGACCTACAGCTTGCACCGCAAGCTGAGCGGTGCCTTTTTGCTCTGTGCAAAGCTTGGCAGCAGGGTCAGATGCCGCGAGATGTTTGCTGAAAGTTTGAGGAAGAAAGGGTACAATGTTTAACGCAATGGAACCAGGGGCCACCTCTCTGATGCCACTCTGTACGATTTTTTGTATCATAGCTGTACGACCAACATGTGTAGACTCCGCCACATCACGGGAATTATAGATAAAAGATGTCAAGTCCGAGGCCTGGGGAATCATGTGTATTTTCAGGTGACGGAAATGTCCCCCCTCCAACTTTTTATTCCCTTGGCCTTCTCTGCAGTTGGTCAAGCTCCTTCCTCTCCCTGCCGACGACCTTCTTCCTCTTCCGCTCGATCGTCCGGTCGATCTGCTTCTTCTTCATGCTGGCGAACTGATCCATCAGGAACCTCTTCTTCTGCTCCGACTTCTTGAGGTAGAATGGCTGCTTGCCCTGCTTGACAAGCTCCTTCTCCTTGCGCTTGTGCTCCGCCACGACCTCGGCCTCGCGCTGCTTGCGCTCGCGCGTCTTGATCTTGGACTCCATCGACAGCAGCAGCCGCTTCATCTCCTCCTTCTTGCCGGCTTCCTTGGTCTTCTTGATCTCGGCCCGCAGCTCCCGGATCTCGTCCTTGCGGTAGTCGTCCAGGAACGCGTACGCCTTGCGGGCCTTGGCTTCGTCTATGGGCCCGCTGAGCGGGTCGAACCGCGGGTCGCGCACCTCCATCTTGGGCACGGCAATAACCTCGCGGCGCCGCGAGACGGGCTTCTTACTCGACTGTTCCGTCGGCGCGTGTTTGCTCGTGCGCTTGGCGGTGTGAGCATTGTAGTTGGGCTTCCTGCCGACTTCCTCCGGGCCAGAGTCCGAATCGGATTCCGAGTCCGATGGCTCCACGCCTCTCTTACGCCGTCTGTTGAGCGCGGGCATGGAGGCCTGAGCTTTTGCGAGGGCGCCGAAGGAGACTGATGAGATGTCGATGTTTGACTTCTTTGGTGGGGGTGATCCGTCGGACTATTGACTTATCAGTAACGAGCCCTGCGTTTTTAAACCAATAAAAATTACACACCTTTTCGTCCTCATCATCTTGGCCCATCTCATCCTCATCACCTTCACTCTGGTCGTCGCCGTCCTCATCCATCTCCTCAGGCTCACTGCCGACATGCTCATCGACTTCGGGTTCCGCCTCTCTCCGGGGTCGCACGCGGCGCTGGAGGCCAGAAACGCCTTGTTTCCTCTTTCCTGATAACATGATGTGCGATATGGTGTGACAGCGGGTTGGGTAGTGGCTAAGTGAAGATCGAGGCGAAGGCCAGAACTTCACATGAGAGGTTCAAAGTCGTCCATCGGTCCCCGCCGAAAAGTTGAGCTGACCAATCCGGTCGTCTCGTCACTCGGACGGGTACTTATCGATAAGATGCGGGCTGAGAAGGTTTCTCAAGTACGACAGGAAACAAGTCCCTTTTGAACAAACCTCTCTCCACAATCCCCAAGACAGAAAGATCCTAGTATTCTGCGCATTCGGTTGGTAAGCTCGCGGCGGATCTGCATTGAGAACTGACGCCAACTTGTTATTTCTTTCTTGCCAAACCCGACCCAATTGCCATCCCAACCGCAACAGCTCCTTGAGGTCACACCCACGCATGCGCCCCCCCTCTATCGCCAGGGTCTTCATCAGATCTCAACAACCTGTCCGGTGCCGCTTCACCCAAATTACCGCTGTCGCCGCCGCGGCGCGCCAATACCCAAACACACAAACCCGTGATCCGGTGCAAAGTCAAGAGTGCGATCACAATCGGCGGCCTACTTTCAACACCCCCAATAGTGCGAGTCTGATCTACGACGCCGCCAAGATGGACATGCCCAACATGCAGTGGTGGGCGAAGCCGGCCCCGACCATGATCGCCCCAGCGAACCAGCAGCTCAGCAGCAACGGATTCACAATACCCGGCCTCGGAAACGTCGCCAATGCTCCAATTCCTGCGTCTTCTTCTCGGGCGAACCCCCTTCCCGCCCGACCTGTTACCGCAGACCACATCACAAACCGAAAGGGACGCCGCACGCCGTACGTCCCACCTCACCTTCCCCTTACCTCTCCTCTGCGCAAACCTCTGAGACTGACACCTCCGCAGGGCTGGTGTCGCATCAGTCAACCGCGATAAGATCCAGGCCCCCAGCGCCGCGTCCGGCGGCGTCCCCGACCCGGCCCCCGAATATATGCACCGCGTCTCTCTCCCGTCGGTCGTCCTCCCCGCCCCGCGCCCCATCCTCGTCGTCATGGACCTCAACGGCACGCTCCTCCACCGCCCGAACCGCCGTCAGGCGACCTCCTTTGTCGAGCGACCCCACGCCAGGCGCTTCCTGCAATACTGCCTCGACACCTTCCACGTTGTTGTTTGGTCCTCAGCCCGTCCGAGCAACGTCCAGTCCATGTGCGACCAGCTCCTTCTGGGCCCCCCCGGCGGCGGTGCGGGCGGCGGCGCGCAAGGGGACAGAGGCGCGTACCGTCGCCGCGTCCTCGCCGTTTGGGGCCGTGACCGCTTCGGCTTGTCGGACGCCGATTA